GCCGCGCCACCACCGCCCGTCACCCCCTGGTGGTAGTGATACCGCTTCGTTTAGTGGTCAGCCTGGTGAGGATGAGTGGAGTTTACACACTTCAGATTATATATAATCTCCTGTGGTGTTTATATGAAGCTGGTGTTATGGCGAGATGTCTCTGGTGCCAAGGCGACGCGTGTCTGGTGCTATGGCGACGCGTGTCTGGTGCTATGGCGACGCGTGTCTGGTGCTATGGCGACGCGTGTCTGGTGTTATGGCGACGCGTGTCTGGTGCTATGGCGACGCGTGTCTGATGCTATGGCGACGTGTGTCTGATGCTATGGCGACGCGTGTCTGGTGTTATGGCGACGCGTGTCTGGTGTTATGGCGACGCCTGTGTGGGACATCAGTTGCATCAAGTTGAGGAGACTGGCAGCAGTAGTGAATGAAGGAGAATGGCTTTGGAAACTTCTTTCTGGTGCATGCTAGGATCTGCCATCACGGCCGCCGCCACACGTATTATACTGTTGCCGCTCTCGCAATACTGTTGCAACTACAGAGGGATTATGGCAAACATCAAATCTCACATTGTTTCCTCCCTCAGACCACCACCTGTGCATCAGGCCATCCCACCTCCCTCCTCTCCATCACTACCCGTGGAGACAGGGGGGGGGGGGGAATGGTTGATATAGCCTAGGCTACTTTAAACCTTAATTGGTCGTTTCCGCCAATGGAGGCTCGTTTATTTGACACCAGATGTTCACTCTGTGAGTGTTATCGCGAATAGATTGCAGATTTCACAAACTGTGTTTAATAGATCTCAGTAAATAGATAAGTGTAGATTTGAATATGATGAATAACTCCTTATATTTCTGGGTTGAGCAAAATTCAAACTTAGAATGGGGAAATAATTTTAATTCAAATAAATTTGTATAAGTAAAATATCTAAGAGTGTATCATAAAAAAAGATAACAGTAGTAAGTGTACATTAACTTATAAAATGTTGTTGAATATGGCCGAAAGGGTAAGAGTAATCATTCTAAAACGAATCTTCTCAATATTTCTTACGTTTTTCTTCACTGTCGAGAGTAATTGAAAAATTAACTCTCCAAAATGTAAGCCCCAAAGAAAGTTGTGAGACTACGTAACATTGGTGTCCTTACATTCTTGGAAAGCCACTAACGTACATAGCTTTTCGGGTTTAATGCATAGCGTTTGTTTAATTCATAAACAAATTTAAAAATCAATGGAAAATAAATACAAAATTCCAAATAATACACATTGCAAAAAGGAACCCAGACCCCATTTTCCTTGACAACCGTCCTATCCAGTATACTGATGTAGGCAGAATACTGTGACTCAAGATTAATAGAACAAGAACAAAAATCACGTCGAGGATAGAACAAACAAAGCGAAAACAGCCTCAGAAAAAGTTAAGAGATTCCGAAACCTTAGCACGAACATCCCAGTTATATTTATATAAGGCTCTAATCCGGCCGCGTCTCGAATACCAACAGTATCACTCCATACCTTCAAGAAAACTAGTCCAAGAAATGTGTAAATACTTCATTCATAATGATGTGCTGCCCAAAATCTTAGCGAAGTATCCAAAATTTGCTTACTGTAGGTAATGCATGCACATGACTGTAAAGCCCAGTTGGGCGGGTGTGGAGCAAGACTAGTAACTGTGACTCATCATAGATGTAAAGTGCCTTTTATAGTGACTGTTGTGAGCCTCTTGTTGATCACTTGTGACAAAAGATTATTGATGTGTGTATTTGTGTTGGTGATTAAATATGTGTGTATTTGTGTAGGTGATTAAATATTTATGTGTATGTATATATGTATACGTATATATATATGTACATGTATGTATGAGAATGTGTACATATATATATATATATATATATATATATATATATATATATATATATATATATATATATATATATATATATATATATATATATATATATATATATATATATATATATATATATATATATATGCGAACAAGCCTGAATGGTCCCCAGGACTATATGCGAATGAAAACTCACACCCCAGAAGTGACTCGAACCCATACTCCCAGAAGCAACGCAACTGGTAACTACAGGGCGCCTTAATCCGCTTGACCATCACGGCCGTCTGTTGACGTCCGTGACGGCCATCACGGCCGTCTGTTGACGGCCGTGATGGTCAAGCGGATTAAGGCGCCCTGTAGTTACCAGTTGCGTTGCTTCTGGGAGTATGGGTTCGAGTCACTTCTGGGGTGTGAGTTTTCATTCATATATATATATATATATATATATATATATATATATATATATATATATATATATATATATATATATATATATATATATATATATATATATATATATATATATATAATATTAATAATTTTGTAACTAGCGTCAAAAAATTTATTTGCTTAGCTAAACGAACTAGAGGGTTCAGTTCCTGAACGGATTATGTGCCTCTGTAATCCTTTACACCACCGCCCACGGGATGGGTATGGGGTGCATAATAAAGAAAGAAATTGAATAAGATGAGCTGTGAAACACCGTCCGCCTTATGGTCAGACAATGAATAGGCCTATGAAAGGCCCAAGAGCCTTTCTTGGGCTAAAGCAAACCCTCCTACCCGGGATTCGAACACGAAACCATCCAGTTATGAGAAACAAGGGGAAAGTTTTATATACACAGGGAAATTGTTCACTGCGCTGTACAAATATTTAGTTCTCACTGCATTCTTCCTCAGTTTTCTGTTGTTTTATTAACTCTACCCCAGTCTTAATCATCCCTCCTTACTTTGGACTGGAGTAAGGACTTACTCAGGCCTTACTCCAGTCTTCCTCAGTCTTTAGTCTTACACTCACACTCCAGAGACTTTTTCCTCTCGTCTTAATCTCCATACCCCAGACTTCATGTCATACGTTCAGTCTTAACCAGTCTTCATACTTCATACTCCAGACTTCCTGTTAGAAGTCCAGTTTGAATAAGTTTTTACCCGTCATCCTCTGTTCCTATCTCAGTCTTCCCTCCAACCTAATTTACTCTTGACAAGAGATGGGTTTAGAGAACCCAGGCGCCGTCTGTGCCCGCCAGCGGGATCAAGATCACGCCGCCAGAAGGGTTTTTATGTCTCAAGCTCACTCAACACGATAGCCTCGTCACTGGCGTTGACGATTCATCAGTATTGCAACAAATTCACTCCCAGTGGAGTATTCCTAGCTTACTATACAGATAAAGATACAAAGTAATACATGTTTATAAAAAATTCCTAAACATGTGTCCACGCGCTAGTGTCCCGAGCCAAGCTGGAAATTTTTTAGTGTCTGACCAAGGTCGGCCAGTGCAAGCTGGTACTGGATTTTTGTGCCTGTACTGGATCCTTACTCACTCTCTCTCGTTTCTTACACATATGTCCGCCTGTGTTATTTGTTTATAAATTATTTTCAAAGACTATACCACAAAATCTGTCTGTTACAAAGCAACTGTGCTTTAGCTGTGCAAGGTGCTTTACATCACTAGTGTGGAGCGGACCAGTCATGCAGCGCCCAGGGATATGGGTGGTGTTGTGCCCACTTGTATTTATTGAATTTCAAAACATTTAACAATTGGCGACGCAAACTTTTATGGAGCAGAAATTATACTCGTTCAGGTTTTGTTGATAGCTCGATAAGTTCACCTTCCCTTTCAATGCGCATCTGAAAACGTTAAATTAGCAAAGCTGTTCACAGGTGATCTGTTCGGAACTGCTGTAGTGTACACTGAAAAAAAAATCATCACACACACACACACTTCAGATTACAAAAAAATACAATGGCGTGATACGGCGTTCCACCCCAAATCGGTGCCCAACTAAAGAAATAAGGGTGTGAACACCATTACCAGCAGGCCAGAGTGTAAGCGAAATTATCGTAAAATCCTTGGGCACCAGTTCGGGCCTCCAGAACCTACCTCCCAGTGAGGGAGGGAGGGAACTATCAGAGCAAAGCGCCAAGCCATTACGACTATATAGCACTGGGAAGGGGTCAGGATAAGAATTTGGGATTGGACGGGGGGAAGGAATGGTGCCAACCTCTTGGACCGTAATAGACAGTCGGGGAAACTTCCTAGTGAATTCGGTAGTTCTGGGTTGATAGGCTTCAAAAGGCAGATGTCTGAGAATCTCCTGAACGCCGGTTCAAGTCACCTCACTGCCATAAAATGATTTTCTTATTGATATATGAGCCCTCACCTGCTCGCTTCGCAAGTGAAAACGATTGGGGTTCAATGCTGAACAGTGTGTGATGAAGGGGCAGGGGTATCGAACTTTTAAATTTTCGCACCTGTTCACAGGATGGCTATATGTTGGTGCATAAGAAATGAACTGAACTAAACAAAACAAAAGTGTTCAGACAGCAGTAATTGAGGAGCAGGATATAAACCAATATATCGGATTGTGTTCTAGAGACATCAATAGTTCTTTACTAACATAACCGGTTCCGGTCCCTGTCCTAATTAAGGACTAAATCCCAATTTAAAGAAAGATATATAATATATATATTATATATAATATGACAGTATCAGACCACGGAGGAAGAATTGAAACAGGAATTTCCTTAAGTACTTTCGTATTTAATAATACATCTTTTCACCCTTCTGAAGATGTATTATTAAATACGAAAGTACTTGAGGAAATTCCTGTTTCAATTCTTCCTCCGTGGTCAGACACTCATTTTTCATCACATTAATTTTCCTGAATTACTCACATTATATATATATATATATATATATATATATATATATATATATATATATATATATATATATATATATATATATATATATATATATATATATATATACATACATACATACATACATACATACATATATATATATATATATATATATATATATATATATATATATATATATATATATATATATATATATATGGCAATGCTGTTAAAGAACAGACGGATAGGTTACTAAATAAGATACTCAAGTGAAATACAAAACTATGACACGAATACTCACAAATAATGTTTAGAGGGAACGAGAAGTATAATTAATGTCCAGTGTAGGTTTGGGAGCGCGACTCGGCTACTCGTCCACACACAGCAGAGGCAGAAGGTATACTGAGCGAGGACTGCTGAGGGTAGTAAAAGAATGCCGTGCACGCGTGTGTGTGTGTGTGTGTGTGTTGGAGTTGGGGGGGGCACAAGATGGGCTAGTGAACGGATGGGGGGAGGGCTCCGCAACCTGTTAAATCTTACCTCTCTCTCTCTGTCGACACCTGTTGTTTCCATCGCAATTTCTGATTATTTTCCCTTCTGTATTTTTAAGTCAAATGTTGAAGTATCTCCATTCCTGTTATAACTCCCCATCCCTGGTGTTACTCTCCTCATCCCTGGTGTTACTCTCCTCATCCCTGGTGTTGTAACAGCTGAAGCTGTTTTAGATAGGTGATTGTAAGGAAAGCAGTGGGATACGCTCTTGTACAAAATTTGCCGTTTTTATTATTATTATTATTTTCTACCACAGACGTGGCCACACATTTACAATGCTAACTAGAATATATACATTTTCTTCTATCCTCCATGGACAGGGTGAGAGATTTGTCAAACATACAGTTCAGAGTTTTATTGAACAACCACAGAAGGTGATCGTAGTGCTTTTAAAATGTTAGGCTAAGCTTCATACGTAAATACATAGATACACAGATTTATGAATGCACTAATGTGAATTTATTATGGTGATATGTAATTCTGATCAGCTTTATACTTTATACACATACACATACATACATACATACATACATACATACATACATACATACATGCATGCATACATACATACATACATACATACATACATACATACATACATACATACATACATACACACATACATACATACACATATATTTGTCTCTTTTACTCTGACAGGGTGAGATAGCTGACAGAGAAACTAGTGTGCAATTAAGAACTTAACCACTGAAGGTGATTAAGATGCTTTTACAAGCTCAGGTTATATAGTTACATTACATGGTTAATCTAGGGTACAAGTCCAATATATCATCAAGTTTTCCAGTACTCATATAGCAGTTACAGAGTTCAGCATAACTCAGCCCAGGAGGGCGAAGTCAGTCAATATGGGACATTCGACAATATAATGTTCAAGTGAGTGCATGTTTTCTCTTTCACAAAGTTGACACATTGTGTACTCGACATTTGGGTTTTGATAAAGCTGCCAGATACGTCTATATCCCAGGCGTATTCTGGCAACTATGACATCACATTGCCGGGTTCTTGCTCTATTAGTCTCATATATGAATGTCTCCTCACGATATCTATCATAATATTTAATGCTGCAACTTTCAGGTCTTTGTGAATTTGTTAGGTCGGTGAGATCTTCATTAGATATTTGTTTAAGTATTCTCTTTGTCACTGTTAGTGAAACACCCATATCAATTTCTACTATTGGTTTTCTACTGGCTATCTTTGCAAGCATATCAACAGTGTCATGCCTTGAGATGCCAAAGTGGAAGTGTAGTCGGCTTGGAAAATCTTGAAAAGGTTAATCCCGGGAGATTAGAACGAGGGGTGGAAGCACGATCGCCAGCTCCTCTTTGTATTATAAGTACCATTTTTGAGAAATTCTTGTATTAAAGTAACTGTAATTAATAATCCCTGTTGTCAAGCATGTAGATTTATTTAACGTCATTTAGGAGTAAAGAATCAAAAGCTCCTCTTTAGTCAAAGGCAGATGACGGGCGTGGATTTGGCACCACCAGCTTGGTCAGGTCACCAGGAGTCGCCTCTACCCTCCCTCTACCCTCAAAGATTCCATCTTGGATATTCAGTAATGTAGAGGAATTTAAGTCTTTCATTTAATATTGTATTTATTAATTTTAACAACTAATTTGGGTTAAGCATGTATGTTAAGTTACACGTATGTAAAGTCAAGATCAGGGTCCGTATACTTGCACAAAGAAAGTAATGTCAGTAGTGAGGGTACTAGTTCGTCGAGCAGCGTACTCGACCCGATCTGGGTCAAGGGGTCACCAGAACCCTCCATTTTCATTAACTCTCAAAGCACAAAATTCAGATCACTAGCCAATATTGTAATTGGATATCGTTTTTTCAAAGTTGCTTAACAGTGTTACCATTAGTTTCAATAAGAATTTAACCATCTGGGTTGGCTAGTAAAAATCATTAGTCTGATCAATTAACCCTGCCCTGTAATTGATAACTAGGCGGAGGAATACTAGGACAGTTCTCTCGGCTTGAGAAAGGAGTAGAAAACGGCAGTGTGGTTTTGAGGAGCAGAGAGGTCACGACCTCTCCGTAGGGTGCAGTCGCACCTCCACAGATCTCCAGTATCAGCTCTTGATACTGGTAATGGCTCCAAAGGGAAGCACTTACGGGCTATTCATGCCCGTGCCACCTTTTGGGTGGCTTAATCTTAATCAATCAATCATTGAGGAGCAGCTCGGGAAGGTCAACCATTCTCACCTCCAGAAACCAGAAACACCAGCAGCTGGTCTTCTTAGATTAAGGTAAAAGTTGCTGTGAAGTTTAGTAGAGTAAATGCACCATCCGTGCCTCAGTAGGAAAATAGGTCATTTAGGGAGTGATTTTTATTAGTTACTTTTTATAGTTTTGTTAATAAACGTTGTTTAAGAATATTTAGTATCTGAGTTTTTCCATTATTACATTTATATATGATTGTCTATACAGTAATTGTCTATGAGCTACAGTGTAGCTCTCCCCATCCCTGGTGAAACTTGGGAGTCATAACATTGCGATTAACAAAATAGTTTTGGTGACAGTGTACATCAGCAGGTGGTGCACACTCCAGAGGGATATGGTAGCCTAGCCTAAGCCTAGCAGTGGTTAAGTCTAATAAGTATGCTAGCTTTACTGGATGATCCATAGATGTGGTTCTTCCTGCGTATTAGAGCAATGATATATTTTTTCCCTACCACAGACGTGGCCAAACATTTACAATGCTAATCAGCATATATACATTTTCTTCTGACCTCCATGGACAGGGTTAGAGATCTGTTAAACATATAGTTCAGGGATTTATTGAACAATCAACCACAGAAAGTGATTGTAGTGCTTTAAAAATGCTAAGTTAACCCAATAAAATCTGCAGACTTCTAGATGTTACTACTGCTCGGCTTAGACTCGGTTACAAGTATCTCTGGGAATTCTCATTATCTGCCGATGTAGACCTGACCAAATGTAAACTGTCAACAAAATTATTCGCACTCTCTTCGTCACTATGTGATGGAGTGCGAAAAGAGACGTGAATTCAGAGACAATTCTATAACCAATGTTCCTACGATGTGTAAATATTTCATTCAAAATGATCTGCTACCGGAAATTTTAGCTAAATATTCCCAGTTTGCTAACTGTAGGTAGTAACTAAGGGACTGTAACCTATCCACCGCTGTCCACTGGATGGGGGGCGGTGTGCAGGACAAACATATTAATTGTGACACTAGCTCTCCTCATGTCAGTTGCTTAATTTAGAAACTGTACTTGTGGTCGATCTCGAACCCATTGATGATGTGGCGACTTATATTGAATTTTGTAACCAGCTTATCAAGATTGTAACTTGCTTAGCTAAATGAATTGTGGGGTTCAGTCCCTGAGCCCATTATGTGCCTCTGTAACCCTTTCCACTACCGCCCACAAGATGGGTATGGGGTGCATAATAAATGAACTAAACTTAAAAAAAACTATTCAGTGTCAATCTCAGTTTTCCTATTATTTAATCTCCCGCCAACTTCAATTAGTGTTCCGCATTTAAAGTTGGCACCAGATTCGATATTGAACATTAAAGTTTCGATTATTCATATGATTAAAATTAGACAAATATTGTATTTTAAAACGTGTGAAAACTTTAAATTCTCCCCAGTTGAGTATCCCATAGAATTTCATATTAAAGAAAACCTTGACATGAACTTATCAAAGAAAGCGAGTTTACAGTCTCCCTCAGTCTCGATAAAATATTTTCATGGGCGCACAAATTCAGTGAGTACAAATACACAAATCACAATACAGTACAAGAATCCCAGGTTAATATAGTAAGCACAGCATATAAGTGTTACACTCTTGGGGCAAAATTCTTGTGCCTCCTAAGCAGCATGTTATAGATTTGGCTTTAAGAATTGGTTCTTATTCCATTTTATTGTTTATGTATATGTTGCTTAGTTGTTATACCCTTTCTTGGTATATGTATTGTTTATATTCAAGATTTATAGTGTTTCGTCTTACCCTGTTATAGTTGCTTTGTGCCTCCTTGCTGTTCTACCGGTTTTCTCCCACCTTTGCTCTTAGCAAAGGTACTTCCCCCTTCCGTTTGCTGGAAGATTCTTAGATTTGTTAGCCCCCCTTCATTGCTACAGTATAATTATTCGGATGCTCTTTATTCATCCAGGATTGTTAATTAAGGTTTCTCTTAATTCCTGCTGCCGGGCTCCCTCCCCCGTTTTTCGTCTCCGTATTGATTCAGCTAGGGTTTCCCTCTCGTCTGTGCTCTTGCCTGTCACGATAACACTGCACGCCGCTTCTGCCCACCCTTACTGCCTTATATCTTTCAGCCCGGGGGAGGTGAGCTACGCGACAAAAAAAAATCGACGCACGCTCGGACTGGACCAGGTATCGCTTACATGGTCAGGAATCAACACTCTTCGGATCCTACAAGCACAGATCCTACAAGCGCTCCTGTCACCAGGCGAGATTCCTCCAGGATCCTACGCGCTGCCCTCTCGGCGCTAGGCTTGACTTCAGATGACTACGCCCCGCACCCAGCTGTCTCGGGACGGGCTCGCCACATCAGAAATAATGGCAAACGGCAGGCGGAAGAGTAGTGCCCACATCCTACGTCAGACGGGACGTTGTTGCTCTGCTACATTGAGTGACTCACGCGGCCAGCTGGCACTCGCCCTTCGGGGGGGGGTCCGGCCGCTGGCCTGCGGTGGGGGTGCAGCGCCGGTCCCCAAGTGTCCCGCTGTCCGCAGCTAATACTTTGCCCAGTCTAGGTGCTAGTAAGCCCTACTTGTAGTCACACCCCCTTCTCCTTATCCATTAGGTCTTTTACGGCCTCTTGGCCGGGTACATTACGTGTTATGTGGTCTCTCACTTATTAGTTATTCTTTGTGTCCTGCCTGTTATATCCTAGTGTTATATAATTACTACACATTTGCACTCGGCCTTAATTCTAGTACCAGTTAACCTTTAGGTTTCTGCAGAATTAGTTTCCATGTCACTATAGGCTAAGGTCTCATACTTACTACGGGTGTACCTTTTAAGTTAAATCTAGTCCTCGGACTTGGAATTGTTACTGTTAATTCTTACTTTATATATTTACTTTATATATTTTAATATAAACGTTATATAGTCCTTAAATTATATATTTTGAAACTTTATATATTTACATGTTCAATATTAAGTTTAATAATATCAACTTTGTTATAAGCCTATAATATAAACCGTGTTTAATATAAACTTTATATAATTACTTACTTTATATTTGAACTTTATACATTTACATGTTCTGCAGAATTTAATCTTCAATAAACTTTAACGCCCCATACTGCCAGTATCTTTCTCCCCCTGGTCAGAAAAAAATATTTTCATGGGCGCACAAATTCAGTGAGTACAAATACACAAATCACAATACAGTACAAGAATCCCAGGTTAATATAGTAAGCACAGCATATAAGTGTTACACTCTTGGGGCAAAATTCTTGTGCCTCCTAAGTATTCTGTCTATCATACCATTATCACACATCCAAACAATTTGATGAGGTACATTACTTATTTCCTTATTTCTATAGTTATCAATACGTTGACACTAATACATAATGTTCTAAGGTGTGGGCGTGCGGTATACTACATAATTTACTCCTTATCTTTTTCACTGACCAACACCGAATTGCCAGATATATTTATAACCTAATCTTAATCTCATGTAAATTGAATCTTTCCAAGTAGACTTTCCTCTACCATAGGTGAAGGACGAATTTGTATTATTGAATAATTCTTCCCATCCACTAGACAGTGTGATATTGTAATTGCCAGAATTAGGCTGGGATATCGATATCTATGGCAGGTGGCTGCAGGTGATGAATCCCCCCAATGGGGAACATTCCAATTGTAAACTATGAGAACAAGAGCCGAGACACTCTCCAACACTATCTGCGATTGCCCTGTTATAAGTGACTTTTGACCAAATAGTATGAGGTACTGTACTTTGAGCTCTGAACTTGTATACTATAAGTATACACTGAGAAATTTTGGAAGATACTCTTGTGCTGTACCCAGATTTTGCTAGTGGAGGCTAATATATCAGTCTTGCATTTCATGTTCTCTCCTGATTTTTTAGTCAGTTTTGTTTTTGTATTGAGGCTGGTATTTTCTCCCCCGATTCCATGTATGACTAATCATCCTGTGAGATAGGAATATTAAATGAACTTGTAGCTAGTTTTTTATCTACACTATAATCATTCATATAGAATAGGGGTAGCAAGCAGTACATTGCTGTATATACCCAAGCTTGTTAAAGAAGATCAATATAATATAATTTAAATTATATACAAAAATGTACTAAATACAGTTTAGGACAAACGTTTACTTACAAATTTACCAGTAAAATATTATTAGAACCTTAATAAGCCTTCAGAACATGGCAAACCCCATGGCAATTCCTCAAAATTCTCAAATGACAGGGTAGACAAGGATGTATTATTTAACACGGGTGGTACACGCACAAGGGGGGAGAGGACAGGTGGAAGCCGAGTGAGCACCCAAATAAACCACAGACATTAGAAAGAACCTTTTTAGTGTCAGTAGTTAGTAAATGGAATGCAATAGGAAGTGATGTGGTGGAGGTTGACTCCACAGTTTCAAATGTAGATATGATGTGGCTCGGGAATCTGTACACCAGTAAATTGACGGGACCAAAGAGCCAAAACTCAACTAGGGAAGTACAACTAGACGAGCATCTAGATAACTGTGCAAGTAGTTTAACCAGGGATGGGGAGGGAACTATCAGGAGAAAGCGACAAGCCATTACGACTATAGTTCTTTGAGAGAATCTGGATATGGATTTGGGATGGGACGTGGGGTGTAGTGGTGCCCAGCCACTTACACCAGGGTTTCCCTTATTTCAGAATTGGGAGCCAGCTAGGCTTAGGAAGTCCCCATTAACCAGCGATTTCAGCCCTTTACCGTGACCTCACCCCTAAATTTTGTTCCGTATATTGTATTTGGGAAATATTTTTCAACACGCGTACACTATACCTTCCGTGATAGTATTGCTAGCATAACTTTCACAAAATTAAGCCAAAACACTTATTTGCCTAGTTCAGTTTATATCAAGACATTTATTAAAGGCTTTTGTTACTTCATCCCATCAGGCTGTTTTTCCCGATCTAACAATTTGTACAATTTTGGGGGGGGGGGCATTCCTGACCCAAACACTAATGTAGGCAAGATGTCTTTACTCCATGCCTGTGGCAGAGGTTTAATTTATCTTCCTCCAAAACCAATTACTATTAGTTTTGGTCATTTCTACACTAAGTTACTATTTTAACGCCAAGATTGGAGTACTTGCCACCACCATTTCACCAATCTCTCAGCACTAAACTATGCACTATCACACGCAACTTTAAAAGGCGGTGTAGAAGTCACAATAACGTAGTTTAAAAAAATGCGTTCATAAACCTATAAATAAAACAATTATCTAGACATTAAATTTCCTAGTTCAATTTTTTTAAATGAATGCTCGAAATGCTAAGTGTGTTGGTGGCTTTGCAAGAATGTGAAAACAATATGTACAGAATTAACAAACCCATTGTACCTTTTAAATTATAAATAATTCAAATACTTTTAATTAGTTTATCAATGGTGGCAATTATTTTTTTTATTTTCAGTAGCAAGTCCCTTATCCATGTAAAATTAAATGAAACATTTTATAATCATTAATACTCAAATCTTAACATGCTGAATTAAAAGTAAATGAAAAACAATTGGGATCTTGGTTTTTATTAGCGAAGGTCAAAACAATTTAGTTTTGGTATAGCATTGCTTAATTGTTTCAATGATCCAGTTGTCAGGAGGCTCTGAAACAAGAAAAACTATATTTAGTTACAGCAATCAAACTTTTAAAGTCCAAAACATATTTATGGTTATAAATGGTACTCAAAATCCCGAATGAATTAGAGGGACATATCCCGCAAATTAGAAACCTGTCATATGAAGAAAGAATAACAAGCTTTATGTACATTCTCTGGAAACAAAGAATTAGGGGCGACATACATGTACAAGGGGATGAATGGACAGAGGATATTAATATGAAATTAAATGTATTAACAATAAAACGAAACAATGGGTATAAATTGGACAAGTTTAGATTTAGGAAAGACCTGGGTAAAAAATTGCCATTCACTTGTGTGAAATGAACATTCCATTCACCTGGACTGTATTTGTCTAACCGTGTACCACACCCATGTGAGGCTGTAGATTTATCGACTGGGATATGAGCAATCTTCAAAGTGAAAGTTTCCAGAATTGGCATCCAGCTGCCAAACTGGAATTTTCAACTTTCCCCCCCTGACTACTACTGAAGCCCAGAGGGATTACCGACCCACATCATAAATGTATATGATGCGACTCGGTAATTCCTATGTTTCAGTAGTAGTAGTGGGGTGGGGGTGGTGAAAATTCCAGTTTGACAGCAGGATGTCAATTCTGGAAACGCCTTTTTAAGATTGCTCATAGCCTAGTCGATAGAGCTACAGCCTCATGCATGGGGTCCACGGTTCGAGACCCCATATAGTCCAGGTGACGAACCTGGGTAAATACTTCGTTTGGTAACAGGATTGTCAATTTGTGGAACCACTTACCGCATAACATAATAGTAGGAGGTTCCCTCGATTGTTTCAAACGCAAGTTAAGACATATGAATGAAATTGGGCGAATATAAATAGGAGCCGCCTCGTATGGGCCAATAGACCTTCTGCAGTTACCTTCATTCTTATGTTCTAGTACACTGCCTAATGGGCCATTCTAACATCACCCAATATAAGGTGCAATGTTTCATTAGCTTTTAAATAAAAGAACTGAATCACACATTAAGAAGGCATCTATACTCACTTGAAATTTTAATGTTACTATAAAAGTGGGCTCATAGTTTCTCCTCTTCTAGACCATACTTTGGGAAATAGAAGACAGGCCGCTCCTCACCATCGATATCCTTGTAGTCTCCAATTGCCACCATACCTTCAGGATTCATAGACTCTCCTGTGAAGAACTGAAGGTCCTTGAACTTCTTAAGTATATCATTTAGAGGCTTTTGGATTGCAACAAGCTTATCTGCCCCAGGAGTGCCTTCAAGCTTTCCCTTCAACCTAAAAAATATGAAACAAGAATTATGTAAATATGTAGAGAATCAGAATTAACATAGCATGGAAATGTTGTGTAAGAAAACACTTTCGATGCCAATTCCCAAAAACCGTTAGATTAGGGTGCCCAGATTGCTTTATTGCCATTCGCAAGTATATATTATTAGCTATATTTTCAGCTTTGGAGGAGTAAGTATTTACATTTCGTAAATTTCACAAATTTACAAAAAGCTGCAAACATTTTTTAAATCTTGTTATGCTTTCATAATTTAAGTAATTGACAGTACTGTATATACAAAGATATAATGAAAATGGTTAGTGTTAACGACATTCTGAAGCTAAGATTTTAATAAATTTAGAAAAATTCAATATTATCCTCAATACAATTCATAAAACTGTCTAGTCTTTTCAATGAAAAGAAATTTACCTAGCAGTAAATTTGTTACTATTTAATAAAGTTTAATTTTAATATTCATGCTTATGCTTTAAAATGGTAAATATAAAAAACTAATCTGAAAACCGTATTGAAGAAAACTTCCCCCCCCCCCCAACCTTCCTCAAGGATACATTAGATTTGCATCTTTGTGAACTCGCAGGTCCATTCTAATCTTGTTGCAACACTTGCAAAAGTCAGAGGCACGAGATCTAGCAATGCTCCAAGAACCACAAATGTAAATTAATCATACATTAAAGTATGAAGACAACTCAAGACAATGGGGCAAAATGCCTTAACCACTGCATTGCACAACACACCTTGAGGCTCTCAACAGGTGGTGTGCAACGCACCTCGGGGATCTTGTAGATAAAGCATATCATTCAAAACTCCCGTAGCTACACAGGGTTTACATCTGCTTCCTCGGGGCTCTTAAAACATATGCCATTTAGAAAAAAATTCATGGCCAACATTCCCAGATGTGACAGCCTCAGTACCGAGTGAGCAACCAAGGCTAGCACATGCAGCATCAGCTAACAGCACTGCTGTTCAGCTTGTGACCACAGCATCACCTAAGTGTCAAATTATATATGTAACTAGTAATAATTAGCCAGGATAGTATTACAGAAGTCTGACTGTGATGACTGTACAATGTTCAGATATCAGTGAATCGGTGCTGTTCAAGATGTTCACAGCGTTAGCCACAGTACTGCCAATATTTCACCCATCTAAGAATATTCAAACTACTTCCATGTTCTTTTACAAAATGTGGTAAATTATTAATTTACAAGATTTAGTGACCAGGATTCTGACAATAGTAGGTTTGTGGTGATAATACTGTACGTAATATGGTGGGAAGGTTAATTTTGGCGAGAAGGGAGGGAGATAGCTGTCAGCTATAGTGTGGGGCAGCCTCTTGCTTGGACTCGCCATACCAGCTTAAGTGGCTTGCTATGGTGAACACAAATGTAGATATATATAATATGTATATATAGTGTAATAACTGCAACAGGAGTATGTTGGGAGGAGCCACTTTGGCGAGGGAGGTGGCGTCGTACTTTTAGCAATCATCTGCTGGCTGCTGTGCGACTCGTCATGTAGTGTACAGTGGCCATTGTGTTGTTTTGGACACCATACACGTTTACTTGTATAGTTAGTGAATAAAATGTGTAGATACGTGTATATATAACATGTATAAATAGTGTAATAAAAACAATAACAGTATGGTGGGAGGAGGACTGTTGGCAAGTAAGGTGTTGGAGGAGGGAGGGAGGGATGTCTAGGTGTGTCAGCTTGTTTTCTGGGCTCGCCGTGCCAACTTAGTGGTTCGTTATGGTGAACACACATGTAGATGGGCATATACAATGTGTGTATATAGCGTTATAACAGCAAAATACTGATCATATATCATACACGTCGCATACGAGCCCCATAATTTTGAGCTTAGCGATGTTTCCCACATTGAACTATACAAATTCCACAAGTTACACACTTGTGAACAATATTACAGCAAAAAACCATAGAAGAAATGAATGGGAAACATCAAAATTGTGAAAACATTATATTTGTGGCAACTGTCACCCCACGGGGTGGCGGGGCCGAGTGCTCCATCCCTAAGCGCCCATAATGTGCTCAACTTCCCAGCTCCATCCTGGTTAAAGTATGCCACAAAATATTTTTCAGTCCTGTGATCAGACTGCATTTTAATGAGAAACTTTATTTACAGCAGACCATAGGGGTGTCATTTTAATGCAGAGCAGTGAGTGGTTAAGGTAGCTCCTCAATTACTGGAGTTTCCAAATGGGAAGACCTGCTTCAAGCCAGTCCCAAAACCGATGTCGGTTTCCCAAATAGTTTTAGATAGTACAGAATTATCTCTGTGAATGCTGTCCGAGCATGCCATCGTTGAACTGCAGAGGGACAGCAAACGGGAGTTCAGAAAGGGGAAGAAATATTTATGGGAGATGTATAGGAAAGTGTAGAAGTCTGTAAGACGAGCACCAGATATATTGGCTGAAAAGGGGCAAACTTAGTTTGTCCATACCTAACACAATCTGCCATGGCAGAACAATGGAGACGACCAGGTCTGCAGGTCACCAGGCCCATACATCAACCAATATGTTGACTAATAAAAAGGAGCTCCCTCAAATGAGGGATTCTATTTTGCAAGTTCTCTGTAGTTCCTACATGTTCAAATGATGATTGGTTGACCTGGTATACTTCATTACAACCAGAGTTGTAAAAACCATATGAACACAATTGGTATACGTGTAATTATAATGGATTTTTATAACATTTGTGATAACTGCATTTGCATAGTAAGCAGTGCAAATAACAGGAATATTTTCCATATATCAAAGTATACTCTGCTACACACACTAACAACATTCTTGAAAATAAAACAATAGTTCACCTGCATTATCCAATGAATCAATGCATGATTATAACCACACTAAGGTTTAAGCAAATTCAACCACTTTCAACTTGCTCCAAATGCAACATTGCCAAACCTCATGGCTTGGGTCGGGTCCCAATAAGCCAGCCAGACCAACCGGGCTGTGGTGGACATGTGGGCGATAAGAAAGCGATAGCCCAGTGGACCAAGCTTTAAAGTCGAGCCTTGCGGAGTAGAACTCCCAGAACCCCATCAAGCAGGCATCGTGTAAAGGAAGTGAAATTCACAGCAAGGACAAGCCACTAGCTTTCCACATGAGAACCAAGGGCTGTCCTGGTTTCTGAAGTCAGTTGGTATGTATTCAGCACAGATACCATTCCTTAAACATTCTTCAAACTATTTCCATTTAGTCAGCATTTTTATTAACCCATAATATGCAGCTATCAATTTAGAAACATGTCCTTGGGAACACCACTTTCAAACTCAACTCATTTCTTAATGGGCAACAGGTTCTCTATATTCTATTAGTTGATTGCCTTTCCAAGACATTCCTGGCGTTTTGAAAGAACATTGTAGGACGTCGACGGCATGGATGGGAGTTAAACTGCGAGAGCCAATGTAAACAATACCACATGTGCACCTCTAGGTGACCAATCCAAAAAACTATTGGTCTACAGCATCTGCCCAGCCAAACTGAGTAGCTAACCAAGGAGGTATATTCACGATTTCCAAATAAATGACTTTGCAAACTATAGCCCAAATACAAGGGGTAAATGAATCATTGGTGAAAGCACTATCATTGCCTTGTGTTATATTGTACTGTATTTATGAAGATTAAATGGAGGGCACCCAAGATAATTATGTCATACCATAAGTGTTCGTTTGCCATTTTATCAATAAAAATTTAGAAGAAATTTCTTAAAAGTTCATTCTACACAAGACAGCATATTTTGATGAACAATACATTCTGTGCTCCTCTGGCTGCAAAATAAGGTTTTCCCCCCCTTATCAAGAACTTGGGCAAAAGTATAAAATTACAATAAAAGTTTTCAGTGATAAATGAATGTCTTTAGCAAGGAACCAATATGGCAGGGGTTCTTAATCTGGGGTACATGAAAGTCAAGTTATATTAAAGTACATTCATTGCATGCAAAATTGTCTTTATTTGCTCGTTTATTTCTCTAGGGAAGGGGGGGGGGGGGAGTCCATAATAGCTTTCACCAGATTTCAAAGGGGTCCATGACTTGATAGGTTAAGAGCCAATGAATGTGGGAGGAAAGTGAACCTATGCACAGGCATTTACCATGTTGGGGACATTTCAAAGATGTAAATATTCTGTTGCCCCAAAAAAATACCTGCCAGTTTCTCCAGGAATTATGAAGATGTCCCAGTGCATCAAATGTTATTTATTTTGTAAAAAGGAAATGCTAGTTCAACCAGCGTATCAAAGACATTCCACAAGACCAGTAGTACACCGTACTGTTGCTCAGTGGAACTAATGAAAAGCATACAACAAAATTAAGCAGTATTGTATCAGCTAGTTTGTAAATTAGTCCACTCACTTTTTGAGGTAATCCTTCATGTAAACAAGATAATCCTTCTTGCTACCAAATCCAGTTTCCTGAAGACGCATGTAAAGTACAACGTCGATACCAGAAACTGCATTACTTTCAGTTCCCTCATCAACCTCTTCTGCTGAAGGGTTGGCACCATCTAATGCTATATTGTCATCGGACATAGTGATGCTCTTGCCTATCACCATATAGAAGGCATCCTCGATGACCTCATATTTGTAGGTGTCCGTGAACATTTCATCACCTGGAAAAAAGTAGTACTGTAGTTAGCAATGTTATTTGAAACCAATTTTATTTACCAAATAAACAAGTCTTTAGAAATGCCGATAGTTTCATGAATATTTTGTACAGTTACTGCATTCACATACTATTTTAATATTCAAGATTTGTTCTTAATATTCATAGTACAGATTTTAATAATTATTAAAAATTTATTTGTACTGATTTTACAGCTACAAGAGAAAAAAATTCAGCCTTTATACAGTCTAGCAAGAATTTTAGGTACTGTTGTATATAGCAAAGCAGTAACAGTAAAATAATTGTGCATTAGTGTTAATATTTTGCTGTACATATAAGAATCAAACCAAGTTATCACATGTTAAATATTTGCTACTTGGAACAATGTTTCAAGTAGCACGGGCTATGGTGAGCCCATAGTTTAAGTTATCACAATTAAGGGGGAACTTGTGTGGCAAATGTCAATTGACAAAGTTGACAAAATTCACAAAATGCCTTGTAAAATTAGTTTATGTATAAAGGTAGGGTTAAATAAATAAAGTTTTATATTTGGTATGAACCCTTTAGTTTTAGTATTTGGACTACAGCACAGTAATACCTTAGCAACTTGCTAGGAAACACATTAGAAAATACTCCATTCCCAACCCTCCATCTTTATACCAATATTCTTGCAGATCCAAGTTTCAAAATCAAAATAAGGAGAAATTTTATATGCTAGTTATCTAATAAAATTAATTTAAGTGGAGCATTTAATACACAACTTGCATCGAATAGGTCACAAGATAACGGTCATTTATACACAATTGTGAAAGTGTGTCATCTTATTGTAAAAGCTTTAAGAATCATGTTTCCATATGCCCCCGACATTTAAAGAAATCCCCTTTTTTTCTGTGGTCTATATGCATTATTGGAAACATTTCTAAATCTTTCAATTTCTAAATCCATCTCGAGGATGGCTACTTAATGTAAACTTTCACATCAGTCCCAAAAACAGAACGGTCCTGCTAGTACAGTGCCCCACAGGCTAATTCAAATAGTGCATTGCCCCTTTGGCATGTACAACATGTCTTTAAACCCTTTAGTGTATCATTCCTTGTTCATAATCCTTAATTATATGCCCAACTGCAAATAACTCCATTTAAATCATTTCCGGTTATGATTATGCGCTTATCCAAGGTAGGATTCCCTCATTGCAAGTTTCTCTAGCTTTCTAATTAGTCTTCTGCAACTATCAAAAAGCTCTGCTAAAAACAAGGTGCATAACCTCAAGCCATTCCACTATCAAGTGCCTCAAATATGCCAAATAGAATTAAAGTAAAATCAAATATCGAAGTCAAATAAGAGCAGCTCACAAAACCATGCGAATCATTTACAAATCAATAGTTCCAGATGGACACTAATGCCTCTTACAATAAATTCAACACATTTTCACCTAAAATGGGTAGACAATTTACCTCCTAATATCCAAATATTAAATAACTCAACAAAGGCTTACTGTAATACATTATACATTACTCTAAACCCTTACACAAGTCGACTCTTTTATTGATACAGTAACCTCAAGTCCCATGACAATAGAATACAAGTAATTACATAGCCACACACGCACACCACTTCCCAAACATTCATCCAAAACTCTCTACTGCCCGTCAATTCTGCCAAATTGGGCCTAAGGCTGTAGGCCTTAGGCCTCCCCTGCCGTGGTAGTGGTGTCGAGGGTGGAGTCTTGGGGTCAAGGCCACAGCCGCCACCGGCTGCCAACAATGTTATATTTACACGTGTTTGTGTCTACAATACATTCCTTGCCTCCACTAACCCATCTTATTATTTTATTTTTTGTATTAACTTTTTTTTTTTAATTATAATGAACACTACCGTTATAGCGAAAAGTAAAAATACAACCAAATTTAACCATCACAACATCGTTCAGTATTCGTTAAAAATTTTCTATTATTATTAAGCATTGTATATACAATTTTATGCGGCCTACCAATTTTGAACAGTAACCAAGATGCTAGAAGTGAATAATCATCGCCAACCTCCCTGACAGCCCCAGACGTAAGGCAAGAGCTGTCATTCCAGCCCCTCCGAACTAAACACTTTAAAAAGTCCCTTTAAACCCAGGCGGGCGGCCACGGCCGGCCCCGCACGTCAACGTGCACACAACGAGGTCCATCTTACCGGTGACCAAGTCCTTGAAGACCTTCATGGTGGGCGGATGGAGGGCGGTGGAGACGGAGGAGCGAGGGCGGAGGTGAGCGGCTCGCTGGGGCAGAGCGCGGAAGGAGAGACCTTCTCGGGTCTTCCCACATCTTGTAAACAAACAAGTGACGCTTGCGCCGCGAACCGTCACCTCAGCCATTAAATCATTATTATTATTACCTTTTTTTCCCCCCCTCAAACTATGTTATGTACAGTAGAGAAGGTTGCGGGTAAGGTGTATAGATTGGAATCGATTTTTTGTTTTGTTTGTAAAGTATTTATTACGTGTTCAGTTTTATAGGTGGCTAATTAAATCATTACCTGTAGGGTTTTTTTTCTTTTTTTTCTATCAGGTCATAAGTTGTTCTTATTATTGAGGCTTTTATGTACTATTGCTTATCTCTCCTCTTGTTTCTGTGTTTGCATTATATATTTATTTGAGTAGTTTGTTGCAGGTTTATTTACATGGATATCCAGTCGGTGGCAACTCGAAGCTATCTTGGTGACTCAATGCATTGTTGCATTTGCGCATTTAAACATGGTATCTCCCTCGCCTGTTATCTCTAGATATATAGATTATCTTTATGTTGTAAATGAAACATACATGCTCAAATTCTAAACGTCATTAGAAAAACAAGGAACGTATTAAGTAAGGTCTATTATCTGACAAGAATTATGAAGGTCGATATATTTGATCGTTCAGTAGTTTGATAGCATCACATGCTGCAATCTGATTAAATGTGTCAGCAGAACTATGCACAAACCTATTACGTCACTTTATGTAATTTAAGGTGAATAAATTACAGAAGTTAGGGATACTTCTATCACATGTACGCTCAAGAAATGTGCAAGTATTTTATTCAAACTGATGTACAGTGTAGATTTTTTTGTCAAATTTCGCAATTAAGTGGCTTACTGGAGGTATAGTGCCTGCTTGCACGTATGTGGTCCTAGCTCCCACCTCCTCCCACAGTAGCGTGGGTGTGTGAGGGGGTTGCATGATAATTAAGTTCTTTTTTGTGTTAACAAACTAAGGTATATAGAGCAAAATGCTGCTTCTTTATTCTGTATGGAGGATTACAGAGTGTAGATCGAAAACTGGCTATAAGTTCATCTAATATCTCCATCTCACAGGATGGTTAGTCATACATGGAATCAGGAGAGAACATAAAATCCGAGTCTAATCTACTAGCTTGCACTAGCAAACTCTGGGTAGAGCACAAGAATATCTTCCAATATCCGTGGGTGGATAAAATATCCAAAGGTATATTTGTATGAAATAGTCACAGAGCTCAAAGTACCTCATAACATTTGGTCTCAAATCATTGGTTACAGGACTATGTCAGATATTATGTTGGATAGTATGTCCTATCTCTTGTTCACATAGTTTACAATTGGGGGGGGGAGGTATTCATTACCTCCAGCCACCTGAATTTACCTGAGAGCCACTAACACTAGTGACCTCAATGAGGACAGGAAGGCTTGTCGAAGGTCCCCCACATTTGTCTTGATCTTTTCCAGCTGTACTTTAAAAAGTTAACAGAGTATCGCTTCGGTTGATAGGTCGGTCCATAGGTTAATAACCCTGTGGGTGAAAAGACATCTCCTGTTCTCAGTCCTCAGTCCTACATTGTGGCTTGTTGAGCTTGAAAATATCGTTCCTTGTTTGTGTTACATTCGACCTTTTGAAGACATTGTCCTGAAAATCTTCTAAATTGTTCAGTATTTTAAAAATTTCAATGAGGTCCGCCCTGTCATGGCTGGTTTGCAGTGTTGTTAACTCTGTGGCCCTCAACCGTTCCTGATACCAGAGTTGACTTAACTCTGGAATGATTTTTGTTGCCCGGTGTTGCACTTTCTTTAGAGCAGCTGTCCTAATGAAGACATGGTCTCCATGCTTGGATACGGTAATCCAAATGGGGGCGTACTAGAGATTTATATAATTGTATCACTACCTTCTTTTCCTTAAAGGCAAAGGTACGCTTGATTATTTCAAGGGTTTGGTTAGCTTGTTTGACTGCTGCTCCTTCCTGCTGTGCAACTTTCATTGAGTGGTGGAGTTTGATTCCAAGGTCCTTTTCTTTATCAATCTGCTGTAATGTACTATTATTAATTTGGTAGTTGTGGCGTGGGTTGTTATGCCCCGCATGCAAGGACATTGATATCTATGGCACCTGCTATAGATATCAATACCCCAGCCTAATTCTGGCAATTACAATATCACACTGGCAGGGCTAGACGATTGATTGATTGATGAAGATTAAACCACCCAAGAGGTGGCACGGGCATGAATAGCCCGTATGGGCAAGTCCTCTGATACCCACTGCCTCTGTTCACCTAGCAGTGATTAGGAATCCGGGTGTTAGTCGAGTGTTGTGGGTGGCATCCTGGGGAGGTTATATCTTAATTTTAAATTAATATATATTCAATACTGTATATGAATATATGGGGAATACTCAAATGCTTCATATATCCCAAGTATACTCGAAATTCCCACAAACGCCGCAAGGCACAGCATGAGGGAAACAGCCGGAAGGCTACACACGAAATGCAAAGCAAAAAAACTAGAGCTGCAAGGCCACTGCAAAGAGTGGACTGGAAGGTCCCAGAGTCCAAAAAGGGTTCACGCCCAAAGTCGAAGAGTGGGTTCACGTCCAAACAAAGTAACTACTGTCTAGTGGATGTTTTGTGCTGCCCGTACATATACGTCTCAGTTCTAAGCATAGATACTAAGATACATAGATCTAAGCAAACTCTTTATATTCGTACTTTCTGGCCGTGTGAGTGTCAGTGACTGCCCTTCTGCAATCCCTAAGAAATAGTGCTGTTTTTACAACAGAGATTGTAATGCCTAGATCTAACTCAATTTCAGGTTTGTCAGATACAGCTTTAACTTCCTTGTCTGTGTCATCATGTTGAACAACACTAATGTGAGAGGGTGTCCATACAAATGGGACTCTGAAACTCTTGCTCTCTGTATTAATGATGTTGTTTATAATGGATGTTACAACATTCTTAATGTTTTTCAATTGCTTGAAGAGCTGACTGTGAACTACAGAAAATTACTACGCTGTTTTTCAGTTACTGGCAAGTCGTAGTAGAGCTGTATGTGAAGAGCTAAACCAATTGTTCAGTATCGTACTAGTGGTCTGTGTACAGCAGATGTCTTTGTATATTCTACGTGCTGCTGCAGTGCGACCTGTTGACATTTGAACAGACCCATCAGTGTAAGCATAATGCTTGAAAAGTCCCCCTCAAGTTATTTACAAAGGAATCGATACTATGTCCCAGTGGCGCAGTGGTAATATTCTTCCCACGCATCGCTAGATATGGCCTAGTTCGTATCCTGGCCAGGGAGGAATGACTAGGCACCAATCCTTCGATTTTTTCACCTAGCAGTGAATATGTACCTGGTTGTTAAATGATTTGGCCGGTCGAATTACAAGGAAAATTAAGATTAAAAACCTGCCCCAAACGCAATGCGTGTTAGTCGCTATACAAGAATATAAGAACTCTTGAATCTATTTATATATTATATATATATATATATATATATATATATATATATATATATATATATATATATATATATATATATATATATATATATATATATATATATATACACAGTATGTGTTGTTGCTTTGAAGAGTGCTGGGTTTTCCTTACAGGTGTGTAATACACTTGAAATTCAGGGTACATACGTAATGGATTATCATAAGCAAACCAAAATTATATGCAACCAGTTCATCACAAACGTAAAATGCTTGTTATGGTCCAACAAGATCAAGATAAATGAACCTTGGACACGCCTCTAGCTTCCTGTCATCGTCGAGGCCACCAGATGGATGGTAGCCCTCAGGTAAATTCAGGTAAAGCATTTTTGGGCTTAGTTCTTGTGTCCATAATTACAACTGTTTGTAACCTTTTCCACTGCCACTCATGTACATGCCGGGGTATGGGGTGCATAATAAATTAAATGAACTAGAGGTAGATATTAACACACTAAAATTAGTTTCACAATGCACTGTATGTACTTTTGCAAAAATTTATTATTTTAATCATTACCATGCATTATATTTTTAAAATCTCCACGTCTTGCATTGCTGGTTTTCTGACTCCTCATCCTATGTATTCATAGTTATGATCAACATGATTTATCAATTATTTTCTGAAGGAAGCCATGCTCAGTTGTGAATAAGTTAAAACTTCCTGTCCATACATTTTATTTATCATCAGTACAAAGAAATATTTTATATCACAGGCAATTGAAAAAGAATGTGAATTACAGTAGTTTCCTTTTCTAACAAAATGTTCTATACAAAAATTAAAGCCACAATCCATAAATAAGGTAAAGACTTGCATAACAGATGAAAAGTACGTAACAACTCATACCAGGCTACAATTAGGTACATCTTTTACATTCCTATAGAATAATTAAGCCCTGAAAAGTCTGTAGCCTTCATAATAGTTAGCTTATATTTCTTTTTTACTTAATAGTTTCTCTCTCTCTCTCTGAGTAAGAGAGAGGAAAGAGAGAGAGAGAGAGGAGATAGAGGGAAGAAATAGGGGGAGTGTACTCGCTTAATTGTGCTTGCAGGAGTTGAACTTCAGCTCTTTGGTCCTGCCTCTCAACCATCAATCAATTGGTGTACAAATTCCTGAGCCTATTAGGCTCTATCATACCTATATTTGAAACTGTGTATCAAGTCTGCCTTTACCACATCACTGCTTAATGTGTGTGTGTATAATTACCTAAGTGTAGTTACAGGATGAGAGCTATGCTCGTGGTGTCCCGTCTTCCCAACACTCTGTCTTATAACGCTCTGAAGTTACTGGGCTTTGAAATAAAGTGTTTGTGTGTGTTTATATATATATATTTTTATTATGTATTCTGTATTCTTAAAAAGTATAATAAAATGCACATAAAAGTTAGGTGACGAATGCCACAAATGAATAAGATCATGTAATATCACAATATATTTCACATTAAACATTAAAATTACCCATCATGCACTTTTTGTAAATACCCTACACTGCCAGCAATTTATTGTACAAGAAATAAATGGACAAATTTTCAAGTTACATTACAAAGGTTAAATGAATAATTTTATGACAAGTCTTAGTTTCCATAATTTTTTACCAATTTTGACAACTAAGGTTCAGAGCACACTAACAGGCTCATGCCCCTTGTCCTCTGCCAATGCTCTGTAGGTAAATATAATGGCAAATGCACATCCTTGTCAGAATATCATATGGTAATTTTTCATATTTTAAAATGTACTTTTGACTAATTATCATTACATTAAATGCTGCAAGTAAATGGATCAACAGCATTTTTTGCTTGTGGCTTACAGCCATAGTCAGAATGAAATTTGGCAATACAGACTGATGGCCAGATTGTTCTTCATCTCACTGAACAAAATTATTTCTGAACTAAGAAGAATGGTAACAATTCACAGTACTACATGGTATACTCATCCTATGCACATAATTTTTTTCAAATGGTACGTAAGCACTACAGCTGTAGGTGTTAACCAACAATGCATCCATATTACATTGAGTCAGATATGAATAATGAGCTTTACTGTGGATCTAGTCGATTATGACACTTGCTTCACATAATGATCGAACTCGGTACTGCATTGTGGTCTTTCTCAATAACGGAATAACTGACAGCTCATGATTCACATCCGACACCTGAAGATATTATACTAAGAGTATAATATCTTCAGATTCTCAGTATAACTTAACTAACAAGATATTTATAATGGGATTCCTGGCTTACATCATTCTGAAATTTTAACTAAAAAAAAATAAAAAAATAAAATTAGATATATAATTATAAATTTACCCATTACCGTTGTTGGTTTAACCAATTATTTCTCAATACTGTACTGTACATCTCTTAAGGGCCAGTTCGGAGAAATGTTATGTCGAGTCCGGTAGTACAGTGGTCTATGTCCGAAGAGGAACTCTGATTCATATTCCGGACAGGGCAACAAAAGCTGGGCATTTTACCTCTTACCTAATGCCTCTGTTTAACTACCAGTAAAATAGGTACCCAGGAGTTAGGCAATTGTTGTGGCATAGGAAAAAACTGCTCTCAACAATGGAAATTAAAATGCACATACAATTGAGGGAATGTCGCGTATAGTAATGGAATACGTATATCACTGTCAAGGACTAGAAGCCAGTTGAGCTTCTCAATGTTCCACTAACCATGGGCAAGGCAGACCATGCATTCACCCAAAGGTAAGCACCCAACCAGTTACTGGCCAGACCCAATAGTGCTTAACCAAATGATTTGTACATCATTCACTATGTCACTGCACAGAATGGGGAAATGTCATGAAATGTACCTGTTAATGATTGTGGGTTCTTCATTCACTTTACAGTAATGTGAATTTAGATTCCACAGTGATCACATCATTAATAAAAGCTATATAACAATGCTAAACACTACCAAATTTGTTTTCAACCAAACTAATATCTAGTCAATAAAAACACTAGTCATAGCACAAGGTTGCATGTATTGCACTAACGAAGTTAGTAAAAAAAAAAAAAAAAAAAAATTCATAGTATCTTTGCTTTTAGAGACTATATAATCAGATCAACTGTCTATATGGAGATCACTTGAAGTCAGACTTCCGAACGTCATTTTTTTTAACAAAGCATTTTGAGAGCGACAGAAATTACATATTAATGTTCGATTCGGAATAAACTGCACTAGATTTATTGTAACAATCCTAGTCTTCAGCAGTCAATTGTTTTTTTGGGTGGACCATTCATGATGTCTATACTTTAACAAGTTTACGAGATAAAAAATTTCAACAAATGAAAACATCACGGTACAACTGAAAGTGACTAGCAATCGAGTAATCTTTCTAGCATTGTTTACAATGGTCCTCATCATATCTCTTAAGTGCCCTCTAGGCATTAACTTTTACTTAGATTTTAGTGGTGTGGTTACTAAAAAGATTTGCAAAGGGTGACAAGTGACATTATTTCATACATGAAAAGGTATCCTGAGGCTCTGCACTTTGTACATATCAGGGATTGCACAAGTTTGTACATTCAAATGAGCTGCAAAAAGAACTGTAGAGACTAGCAATTACATTAATTTGTAATGAAGCCGTTTGACATGGAGAAATGCAGGTCACCAAAGTGTGGGTGTGTATATGTATGTATGTGTGTATATATGTGTATATATGTGTATATATGTGTGTGTGTGTGTGTGTGTGTGTGTATATATATATATATGTCGTACCTAGTAGCCAGAACGCAATTCTCAGCCTACTATGCAAGGCCCGATTTGCCTAATAAGCCAAGTTTTCATGAATTAATATATTTTCTATCATTTTTTTCTTATGAAATGATAAAGCTACCCATTTCATTATGTATGAGATCAATTTTTTTTTATTGGAGTTAAAATTAACGTAGATATATGACTGAACCTAACCAACCCTACCTAACCTATCTTTATAGGTTAGGTTAGGTAGCAGAAAAAGTTAGGTTAGGTAGGTTAGGTAGCAGAAAAAGTTAGGTTAGGTAGTCGAAAAACAATTAATTCATGAAAACTTGGCTTATTAGGCAAATCGGGCCCTGCATAGTAGGCTGAGAAGTGCGTTCTGGCTACTAGGTACGACATATTTATATATATATATATATATATATGAGGAATTATTTGAGTAAATACTGCAAGGTATAAAAATGCTGCATCAGCAGTGAAACTTTTTAACATAGGACATCTGCTAATACAATAAAAAACCCTTATATCTGATAACTGCACAAATGTTTATCAGCTCAATATTGTTACATAAGAAAAAAAATGATCACCGTTAAAACTTTCGCTGGCCCGGCAGGGCACCCAAATCGCACCTGAAGATAGGCTTAGCATTCCCGGTGAGCACATAACCCAATGTTAAAACTCTTTCACCCACAATGTTTATACTTAATAATAAACCATTGCAAAATGTTTACATGATGCCATTCGCGTCATCCCACATACTCCGTATTTTGGTTTGATGACGGAATATGCGGCATTAGGCAGAGAAAGTGTTAAGACCCCCCATTCTACTTATAATCTTTCACAGGCCCAAGTGAGCACCAAACTCCCTGAGCTAAGCAGTTGCCACACTTTATGAGAGAACAAACACTAAGTAATCAAAATGTTCTCCACTTTATATTAATGTTAAAGTGGTTTTACAAAGTTTTAAATAGAACAGCTGTATAGCTCAAAACATATTCAGGAGGAGATGAGTAGAAAATTTCAAGACAGAGTAAAAGTTATGACAGGAGACACACTTCATGTAATAGCAGTAGTACCTTTGTGGAGGAAAATGCAGAGGCTTAGCTTGAACCATCTCACTGCACAGCATGAGATGGCGTATTCGGCACAAATATATATACATCGAGTACAGTACTTTAAAAGTTTAACTATGTATAAATATACTATATACAGTACAACTGTGTGTAAGTGTTTAATGTCATTGTATCCCAAGATAATGGTATTATTTGAGCATGCAATAAAACCAACTTATTCTCGATCAAACATGACAGTGGGTGCCAAAGAATATGTAGAAATTATTTCACAAGAAGCAGAGCACTATTCATTTACACTCCGCAATAGGCACATGGGTTTGAAAACATTTGGAATAAAGCCAATCTCTGTATGCTAGAGGTACATCAAGCATACTGCGTATGTCACAAACACAAAGTATGAACACCTGTTTATAAATGTGTGCCTTTGACTGGCAAATTCAAGTGTTTCTTATAACCTGATTTGTATTTTTCCATGCAAACATCAACAAAAGTTTCAGGAGGCCAAAATCTGTGGTACCACCAAACAATGCCAATTTTACAATAGTTTATTGCTAAAAAAAGGAGTAAACAATTACTCCTCAAGCACCATATTGAGTAAATTTATGTGCAACTTTGGCAGCATAAAAAACTATAAACCAATTAGCAAATAAGATTAAGGCTAGTATATAAAAAAATTATGGATTTCATCCATAAACTTGTGCATACTAGTTCTTAAGAAAATAAAATTATAAAATATAGAACAATCTATTTTGCAAGTTTTGAGTGCCAGTATATTATATATACTGTACTGTATTGCAGGTATACCAATGTCCACCTATAAGCTGTAACTGTTCACATACAGTATGTTCAGCCAATCTCCATATTTATATACAAACTGTATAATGTATATAAATTTACCGGTGTATATATATATACATAATATACATGCATACATTTACTTTATATTTTTAGATATACCACATACACAATTGAACTTCATTTCACTGAGCAATATGCGTTCACATCATTCAAGTCAATGTATTTACCAACACCACCACACTAATATTTCTCAAATGTATTTACCGGGTAATAAGTTTTTCAGGTACTTTCTACATTTTACACCATCACAATCTACAGTAGCATTCTTTTTTGAAGACTACTTTAAAATTTCACAGAAATTTTCAAACAATGCTTTATATTAACTTTCCCATTATTATCTAGTATTTGTTCTGTATTATGTTTCCATGTCTCCATAACCAGTTTTCTTTTCCCAAAACTTTATTTGCAACATTGCCAAATTTAAATTGGCCTCGTGCTGCTGTCGCTGCCACTCGTGAGCTTCCCGCTGCTGCTGATACTTTTCTTGTAGAGTTTTACGCTCTAATCTTAAATTTTCTATTGAAAGTTGGGCTTGTTGCATTTGCATTTGAGCAAGAAGAATATCCTCATCACATAACTGGTCCATTTTTTGTTTTCTTGTTCGTCTTGATGGGCCAATGTTTGGAGTTAAATCAGAGTTTGGCTTCTCATAATAAGATGTTTGCTCACAATTCTGAGAAGTATCTGATGCAGAAGATTGCCCAGTCTGAAAACCATCCATTCTGACAGCAGAGTTTGTCGAGGTTTCTGGCATCAAACAATCTGGAACCATGTCCTGGGGATTCACCACAACATTTTTTACATCATCGTCTGAAATAACAGCAAGAAACATCAGCACATATTTCAAGTACTTTATATATAAAATTGAGCATGTAAGTAGCATTCTAGTTGAAATTTGCAATGGATTAAAAGTAGGATCTTTAAGGTTTAAGGCAACAGTTGTGATGAACATCACAAAAATAAACTTCATGATGAGAGATTCTCACAATAGAGAAAGTATTGTCGAATCTCACACTTGAAGAAAGTAGTAATGGGACGATACTGCACTAAAATTTCTAACGATTCAGAAACCAATTCCTCTAAAGTCTTGATTCTGATACAATTATAGATTCCAATTCTTTTCAAAAATATGGTTGGATAATTATTTTTCTAAAAATAGTTCTTTTAGTTTGAAAAAATTAATGATTTACATTATGAGTATTATGAGCATGGTATAAGTATTAATAACAAAATAGATTGATTTAATAATAGAAAACAATTGATAAATCCAGCTTAACCTTCTGGAAGAAACCTGGAAAGTGAAAATATTCCATTATACATGCAGATATTCATGCTTTAATTGTGTACTACACAATAAAATACAATTTGTAATATTATTTCAAATAAAATTATTACAACACTACCTCAATTAAAGCATAGCTAATTCATTTTTACTCAAAAAATAATCCATAATCTATAAAACAAGACAATAAGAAACACTGAAGGCATCTCTTTTTACCCATCACAGGTGAACATGTTATGTAAAATTTACAATACAATAAGTGTTTATTTTTCAAATAGTTACAATGCAATAGTAGCTGTTCAATTAAAACAAAATACATTTTTGGTTTATACTGAAAAAGCAAACGTTAACCTATATAATGCAAGTAGTATAATAAACAAATTATTCAATGAAACCTAAACTCTTAAATGGTAATGTAAAAATGCTAGCATCTCTCCCATTTCTGCTTGCATTCTGTTTCCTTTTGGCGAGTTAATTTTTATATTAAATGCTAAAGAATTATTTTAAGAATTGGAAATATTGTACTAGTAATGATAAATTTCTCTCTATTCTGATAAAGATTCGGATTACTGTGAAATGCTAAATTCTTCTAATTCTCGATACCACTTCCATCGTCTCATCACTATAGTAAGGTTCATCAATATGACACTTTTGAGGGGGGGGGGGTGTCAGAAATGATAAGGAAAAGGTAATTTATACAACAGCAGGAAAGAATACTACAGTGCAACAATACAACCTTCCCTATGCAGTTCTCAAACAGCTTATTATTAAAAGAAATGAATCATCTATATTTTACATTTGAAAAAAAAATACTGTACCTAAAACCAAAATGTTTTATATTCCTAATAGTATACCTTATTTTCTATACTGTATATACAAAAACACTTAATGGGGTTTCTAGTATTCTGTAAAACACATGTATTCAAAAGTGAAACATAAGTTTAAATTAAATAACTTTGTAATTTAAAGTTACACAAATAACACAAGACAGCATGACTATGTATACTAGATTAGCAAAGTTACAGAACACTAAAAACATTTAAATCATGCACTTCCAGACCAAAATTTAGCATACAAGGATTGAGCACATTGAGAACAGCTTCTACTTCTGGTGTAACAGACGATGGTAGAGATCGATTATCCTCAGATCCGTTTCGTGTTCCTCTATCGCTGAAAGAAAAACAAATTGTTAACAAAATATATTACTGCAAGGCCAATTTTATGAACACAAACATACTTATCACCAGACTAACTGGTGTTAGTCACTGGACTAAAAACTTTATATTGGTCAACTAAAAAGGGATCCATGTTTCCCCAGTTACATACTCTACAAATTCTGAAAAATTAAAAATCCAGTATTGAATGTAATGAAAAGCTTTTTTTCTGCTGGGTCTTTTTAGTGATTACCTGAACTACCCACTTGGAAACCATACCCTGCTTAAACAAATCATGTGCACCTACTGACACTAGGACCAGAATCTGGACCCGTCAATCCACAGTGGAGCCTGGGACTGCAAGATCCCCACAGTGCCAAAGGAAGCACCACCAGGAAGGTAGAGTGCACCAAAATAAGCCACTGTATACACCTCCATTGTAGGGTTTAGATTATGGTCCTGGTCTCTGGTAAACATACGCTTCATTGAAGCGTGGTTTTGACTATCCTGTAAAGACTATCTTGTATACAAGTTTACACAGTGCAATTACCTGAATTTACCTAAGAGCAACCATCTCTACTGGCCTCAATGGGTAAAGGAAGCCGGTGGCCTGTCAACAGTCTTCCCTATATACCCGAGGATCCTCTTTGAATTACTTACTTTATTTTAAATAGAACTCAATCTACCAGAGAACTGGAAGCACTATTTAATTAACCATTCACTTTCAGAATAAAGGAGCGAAGTTAAACACAAGAAGGCCATTAACAACATAGAAATATACACGAGTCCAAGTAAATAAATGTGAGCAACTAAAGAAAGCCTCTATACTCCGCCACACAGTGAAGACATCACACTACAAATCAATCTGCATTGCCTCTACACTATCATTACCACAAAGCGAGGGGTTATTACTTCTCCAGCGCCTTCTTGGCTCGTGCTTTCATGTTTTCCCAGCACCGTCTTAACTCCCGGCTGCTCCTGGGCTGAGTGGAGGGATGAGCTGAAAACTGGGCCGCTATCACTTCCCACACTTGTTCTTTCTCCCTGTTAGACGCTCCGTCTCTTTTCTTAGACTCCACGACATCTTTGTGTTGCTCTATCAACGCTGTCAAGACCGTCTTCTCTAAAGGTATAAACCATTTTCTTCGGCCCTCAGTTCCTTCACCATATTCCGCCATGTTGATGTAAACAACTCAAATTTGTTGCAGTTTTACCAATGGTTCAGGAATTTAGACCTTTTACAACCGAACTAAATAACCTTTGTCTTCAGTATTTTTTCAATATCAGTCTTTACAAACATTAAAATCAATAGTTGTATTCAAAACTATCTCAAGAGGGAGATGATTTGTGCTTTATTAGGGTAAAACAACAAAGACGAAAAATTTCAAGGTTCAACTTTAACGTGGCAAAATCATTGAATTAAGTACAAGACACCTGATTGGTGTAAACTGACCTATGAGATACGCCGTTATAGCCCAGTTATGAGCAACGCACGCACGAACGCTACACTCCCTCAAGAGCCACTTGATTGTCTCTGGAGAAGTTAACGTCAAACACAAATTAAAATATATATCTTTATGCCATGTTTCTTTAGCTCTTATTTGCCAATCAATAACAAATTTGCCTTCATATTAGTAGGAAAATAATCGAGAGCCGTAGAGATGAGCAATTAATGTTTGATCCAGCGCCACATATTTGATTCCCAGTGCGTTCGGGAACAGGATTTACATATTGATATAAATATCACTAAGACCTATATATATATATATATATATATATATATATATATATATATATATATATATATATATATATATATATATATATATATATATATATATATATATATATATATATATATATATATATATATATATATATATATATATATATATATATATATATATATATATATATATATATATATATATATATATATATATATATATATATATATATATATATATATATATATATATATATATATATATATATATATATATATATATATATATATATATATATATATATATATATATATATATATATATATATATATATATATATATATATATATATATATATATATATATATATATATATATATATATATATATATATATATATATATATATATATATATATATATATTATATATATATATATATATATATATATATATATATATATATATATATATATATATATATATATATATATATATATATATATATATATATATATATATATATATATATATATATATATATATATATATATATATATATATATATATATATATATATATATATATATATATATATATATATATATATATATATATATATATATATATATATATTATATATATATATATATATATATATATATATATATATATATTATATATATATATATATATATATATATATATATATATATATATATATATATATATATATATATATATATGACAATGTCAGACCACGGAGGAAAAATGAAACAGGAAAATATTCCTGTTTCATTTTTCCTCCGTGGTCTGACATTGTCACATTCTTAATCACGTGTTTATTTTCGTGATATACACATATATATATATATATATATATATATATATATATATATATATATATATATATATATATTATAGGTATCGGTATATACAAGGTATCGATCATCTGAGACAAGGTATCACTCGTCTGAGACAAGTTATCGCTTAGCTGAGAAAAGGTATCGCTCAGCTGAGACAAGGTATCGCTCAGCTGAGACAAGGTATCGATCAGCTGAGACAAGGTATCGATCAGCTGAGACAAGGTATCGCTCAGCTGAGACAAGGTATCACTCAGCTGAGACAAGGTATCGCTCAGCTGAGACAAGGTATCGCTCAGCTGAGACAAGGTATCGCTCAGCTGAGACAAGGTATCGCTCAGCTGAGACAAGGTATCGCTCAGCTGAGACAAGGTATCGCTCAGCTGAGACAAGGTATCGATCAGCTGAGACAAGGTATCGATCAGCTGAGACAAGGTATCGATCAACTGAGACAAGGTATCGCTCAGCTGAGACAAGGTATCGCTCAGCTGAGACAAGGTATCGCTCAGCTGAGACAAGGTATCGCTCAGCTGAGACAAGGTATTGCTCAGCTGCGGAATGACACAATTCATCCCACAATAACTAGTACTACCACTACTGCTGAGATACGGCTCTACTATTACTATTATTATTAGACCATCATCGTTATGGTGAATAAATATTTATATAGTATTTTTCTTTTTATTCCTGCGGTGTGTATTTTCAGGTCTCGTGTTTGTGGCACGGTTTCACCCTTCCCCCGTGTGTGTGGCTTCGCTGTCTAGCCATTGGCATAGCCTAGTCTCACATCTACTGGAACGCTTAACACCCGATACATTAAAGGTAACTTTTCATATCTGACACATTACGTCAGGACCTCTGAGTTATGTGTGCTACTTTTGTGGCATGTATGCTACCTTGTTGCTAATATTAAACATCGAGATCAGAATCTCTACAATTTTTTCCCGGGTTTCTGCGCCCCGCGGATCGATTAATGAGGTAGCAGAGTGAAATACGATATCTTTGCGCGCGTATACATAATGTAATGCAGATGCTATGACGGTCCAGAAAGTTGTTAAAATATTGGTACCAGAAATAAGTTGAGTTATGAGGACAGGTTATGAGTGCTTAACCTATCTACACGAGATCTGTCAGAGATGATGTGATCTCAGCGCTTATTAACATACTCAGGGGAATAAATTAAGTGGAGAGAGTATGGCCTTTTCCTGGCCATAAGGTGGAATGCATAAGGCAGTGATGTGGTGGAGGCTGACTCCATACACAGTTTCAGATGTAGATTTAATAGAGCCCAGTAGGCTCAGGAACGTGTGCACCAGTTGATTGACAGTTGAGAGGCGGGACCAAAGAGCCGAAGCTCAACCCCCTCAAGCACAACTAGGTGAGTACATAGGGTTCAAGAGCTAACTGCTCGATACTTGCAGGCACAGATAGTAAAAACACACACACACACAACCTCTTCATTTATTGGTATAAATGAAGCCCCAAGAGGGTATGAATAAGTAGTGTCTTTGTGAGAGTGTTGTGTGGCTTCCTCAACCCCCCTGTCTCTTTCTCAAGTCGGAGAACTCTCCTCGTGACGTCAAATATGGCGGGCTGGTACACTTCTGTTTGTATTGTATCCATTGCTATCCCACTGTCAGCGACAGGAAGCCTCTAAGGCATATCGAGGTCCCCCTTGACCTTGGTCAAAAATTTACCTTCCCAGGATGCAACCCACAACAGAGGAAATTACAGGCACATGGAATCAATGGAAGAATACTAAAATGTATAAAACAATGATTAAAACAAAGAAAACAAAGAGTCATGCTAAATGGGAATGAATCTGACTGGAGAAATGTGTTGAGTGGGGTACCACAGGAGCCCATTTTTGGGTCAATCCTTTTTGTTATATACATAAGTGACAGAGATGATAATATTACAACCCATATGCAGATAATACAAAGATTTATGGTAAAATGGGAAATAATAATAATATTGAAACCCTACAAAGATATCCACAAGTAGTTAGAAGACTGGCAGATGCTTTTTAATGTCGACAAATGCAAGACCACGCATGTGGGGCATAACAACCCACGCCACAACTACCAAATTAATAGCATTACATTACAGCAGATTGATGAAGAAAAAGACCTTTGAGTCAAAATACAACACTCATTAAAAGTTGCATAACAGGTGGGTGCAGCAGTCAGAAAAGCTAACCAAACTCTTGGGATAATTAAACGTATCTTTGACTATAAGGAAAAGAAGGTAATGGTTCAACTGTATAAATCTCTGGTGCGCCCTCACTTACTTTACTGTATCCAAACATAGAGACCTCGGGCCAGATTCACGAAGCAGTTACGCAAGTACTCACGAACGTGTATATCTTTCCTCAATCTTTGACGGCTTTGGTTACATTTATTAAACAGTTTACAAGCATGAAGACTTGCCAAGCAACTGTTTTTATTGTTATAAACCGCCTCCTGGTGCGTCGGAACTCATTAACTGTTTACTAATTGTAAACAAAGCTGCCAAAGATTGAGAAAAGATGGACAGGTTCGTAAGTGCTTGCGTAACTGCTTCGTGAATCTGGTCCCTCATTTTCAGGACATAGCTACTCAGGAGAAGGTGCAACACCAGGCAACAAAAGTCATTCTAAAGCTAAGTCACCTTTCGTATTGGGAACGCTTGAAGGCCATAGGGCTAACAACACTGCAAACCAGGCACGGCAGGGCGGATCTCATTTAAACTTTTAAAATACTGAACAAGTTAGAGGATGTTGATCCAGATATTTTCTTCAGAAGGACAGATGTAACACAAACAAGGAGCAACGGTTTCAGGTTCAACAAGCCACAATGTAGGACCGAGAACAGGAGATGCTTTTTCACCCACATGGTTATTAACCTATGGAACCGCCTACCAGCCGAAGCTGTAACTGCCAAAACTGTGCTGAATTTCAAAATATACCTGGAAAAGATCATCAAGGCAAATGGGGGGAGGGACCTTCGATAAGCTGCCGACTTCCTGTCGTCATCTAGAGCACTGGGGTTAGTGACCCCTAAGATAAATCAGGTAAATAAGGTACATCTCACTGAATTTGGGCTACCTGGGTCAAGGTAAAGTCACTGTTCTTGGTGAAAATTATATATATTGCACATTACGCTTGCTTCGCCAAACAGGAGATTCCTTGTTTGAGGCGTGGAAGATGAATTATGTCACTATTGGGAGCTCTCTAGAACGCTTGAACCAAGAGTATCATCATTCCATATCCCAAGCTACCCAGCTGAATGTTTTCCGCCTCATTTACATTGTTGTTTTAACAAAACTCAGGCAAGTTCAGATAAAACATTGGAATGTATTGTACTACATTCTCTTGTATAGAATGAGAGCGTTACTGTCTCTCAGCATAGCCCTTAATCTTGCATGAAAGATGTATCACTGCGTGATCAGTTTCCCTACCCTACAGAATAAAAAAATAACATACCTCTTATTTAGATAATAAGTTTGCTTTTGCCAACAAAACATGTCAGTCTGAATGAGCTCACCAATATGACTGTTGTATATGGCTTCTTTTCTGGATCAAAATTTATTTATCAAACAGAATTACCTGAATTTTCCTGTGGGCTACCATATGTAGTGGTCTCGACGGGGACAGGAAGCCAGCGAATTCTCAAAGGTCTCTCCATGATTACTGAAGATCTTTATCAAGCTGAATGTTATCTGTGGTGATGTGGTATAGCAGCGTAGCTATATGCATTATAGTTACTCTGATAGTTTAGGATAAGGCACTTTAGTATGACAGCTTCTTGACGTTGGAGACGCTCGCGAGAACGGGCTGGAATAGCGCTCTTTGGGAAGCCTAGTTCTAGTAATTTATAAATAATTATAAATTACTAGAACTAGGCTTCCCACAGAGTGAGCGTGTCCAACGTCAAGAAATTGTCGAACTAAAGTGCCTAATTGAGGATTTAGAGCTATCACGGCTATGGCGGGGGTACCATCACAGCTACGGGGAGAATGTCAATTATGTACCTCACATATATTAGGCCCGTGTGGGTTTTAAGTTACACCAATATTCGCTTTAGTGCTTGCTCAAATGCTATGGAGGATATGAGCACATGAAAAAGGTGCCATGAGGAGATTCTCATACTAAGTTACTTAAGGAACTCCATATACCAACGTCTCAGCTTTCAAAATTTATGAATAAATAACATCTCTCATACTTGATTACTAGTATTACAATTAAATTAGGAACGTATAAGATTCACAATCTTTACCAAGACAAGAGCGACACACTCCTGCGACGTGAGAGATTACCCCTTTCCAGTTAAACTATCCCCAGGACGAGAGTCAGATTCCATATGACTGCTCCAAAGATTTTCTCATAGATATATCAAGTTATTGTGGTTTCCCTGTGTGACTGTCCATACCTTCCCGTCCAAAAAGCTAATTAAAAATTAACCCAAGCATCATCATGATACAAAACACAATGGCTTAAGCAAGACAGATACTCTGAAAACAGTCCCTCTCTCAATCCACATACACTACACTAATGGTCCTGACATCACCCCACTGGTGCTGCCGGAAGTGCAGTTGTAACAGTGAGTGACAGGTGCTATCAGTAGGAGTCCGTATAAATAGCCCAGCTATTTATACGGACTTAAAAATAACAAATAAACTCCGATTAAAGTTTCTTCATCTTAAAGAAATTAACTTTGTACACAAATGAAAACATATCAGAACAAAATTTATACAATAATTAGTAAATAACACTCATTCCGAATTGCTGTAAATTAGGTTAGTTGAGTTTATTTATTATGTACCCTATAATTATCCTGTGGGCGGTAATGGAAAGGGTTACAGGGTTGTGCTCAGGAACTGAACCAAAAATTCATTTAGCTAAGCAAGTTACAGTATTGATTAAGGCAAAGTTAAATTCACACCAGTTCCTCCATATATTTTGATAAGCCAGTTACAAACTTCAATGCACATCGTCACATCAACAATGAGCTTGAGACCGACCACAAGTACAGTTTCTAAATTAAGCAACTGATATATGTGGAGAGCTAATGCCACAATTGATATGTTTGTCCTGCACACCGCCCCCCATCCAGTGGGCAGCAGTGGACAGGTTACAATCACTTAGTTACTACCTACAGTTAGCAAACTGGAGATATTTGGCTAAGATTTCTGGAAGCAGATCGTTTTGAAATTAATATTTACACATCTCTTGAACATTTGTTATAGAATTGTCTCTGAATTCACGTATCTTTTCAGTGTGCGAACAATTTTGTTGACACAATTTACATTTGGTCAGGTCTACATCAGCAGGTAATAAAAATTCCCAAAGATACTTATAGCCGAGTCTAAGTCGAGCAGCAGTATCATCTAGAAGTCTGCTGATTTTATTGGATGATCCATAAATGTGTAGCTCCTCTTGCATGATAGTAAGATGACAAATAGAATTATTTGTGTCATTTCATTTTGTCTCAGATCAACAAAGTTTTGTTGAAGTTCTTGATAAATTATTACTCTCAGACTACTTATTGGCAATCCAAGGTTATACTCAATTTCTCCTTTAAAGGTAAATTCTTTGGCTAACTCATGCACTCAGAGGCCAACATGAGATGGAATCCACATGAAATAGACTCTTGTTACCATCAAATAAAAGGGCCCAGTCTTTGGAATTCACTTCCCTGATGAATTCAAAAATTGTCCAAACCATCCCACGTTCAAAATTAAAACCAAAAAGTAGCTATAATTTCATTCTCATAGTTTCCTACATTGTGTTTTAAACTCACACTGTAACTTGTACTACCCACTTCCCCAATATTAATGCTTAAGACACATATCTTTACCAGTGTAATTACCTCAATCAATTTCTTTCTTTATTATGCACCCCATACCCATCCCATGGGCGGTGGTGTAAAAGGATTACAGAGGCTCTGTCAGTTTATAGTGTAGTTATTTATTGATATAAAACCTTGCTACAATGTACCCTTTCATCATACCTGATATGTTAGACTAAGGATCTGCCCGAAACGCTATGCGTATTAGTGGTTTTGTAAGAATGTACAAATACCAGTCTTAGGTAATCTCACCAACTCATTATACCTTATTGTGAATAAATAATTATTATTATTAGAATTATGTTAGTGGTGTTTGGTTGCAATGTCCAAATTAATCATTAAAATCTGTACTAAAACAACTAACAGTATCTTATTGTATACAAATAAATAAAATAGTAGATAAATCAATTAATTAAATAATGAATAAATATATTTTTAAGGGTCGCGGTCAACATTTGTTTGGAAGATAACATATTATTGACACTGTAAAACTAACTCTTGTAAAACTACACAAATGTATTTTGTATATTCATTCTTTTGCTATGACTCTAATAAGAATCAAACTCGGTGCAAAATATATTTCTCTATTTTGTTGTTATTACTTAAGAATTTTGCGTTCCATGTGGATTTTGGCGAAATAATCTTAGGAATTATTGGAACGGAGCTCATATGATCATTACAATGGCAGAAGAGCGAACCCCGCTCATCGGAGGTGGACAAAATGGGCTTGGACAAGCTTCGTACGGCGGGCCAGGCTCGCCCACCAGCCAGGGTAAGTACGTTTGGTGTAAGAGGAGCGGTGAGAGCAGCCAGGAGGGACATTATTGCTGCTGTAGAGTAGAAATCTGCGTGTACGGCACTTGACACCTTGTTCACCCTCGGCTCCGCTCTCTATCGCCCCCCTCTACGATAGTCTTCTGACGTTTCTTCATCACGGTGCCGCTTTGATTTCTCTCGATCCGGGTGATTTTGGGCCGCCGAGGGCCATGGCTGTAGTTTGATATTTAGGTAATTGTGAGAATTGAAGGAGGAGATGGGTGGGTCCCGGGGTGGGTGTCACCTGAGTCACTGTTGTTGATGGGTACATCTGTCACATGATCACTCGGCTGAGTTATATGTGTGTGCTGAGGGAGGTGTTCCTGCTGGAGGTTGGGTCTCCTGACGCTGCCACGGGATCCACAGGTGTCCGGGGACCAAGCCTCGACTCTGGGGGGCAGCTGCCAACACCTGCCAACAATGGCTGAAGTGTTGTTCCATCTCGAGTTCAAGTTGTTGTTGAATACCTGAATATGCCTCCTTCAGAGAAATTCTTATCTACAATCCCATTATTTAAATAGCCCTACTTAATCTTTCAATTTTCTATATCTTTCTTGCAACGTCACAATAATATGGCTGACAGTAAATAAAAAAAAAAAACTCGGATGAAAGGAAAGGGATGATGTTTTGGATCATCCTGGACCCTTAATGGTAAGGGTTGACTTGATTAAGGTCCAGAATGAGGTGAAAAAAATAAAGATTTTTTTATATTTGTGGGTTTGATTATTTCTTTTATTGTATTTTGAAGTTTTACTATGTGCATTTTGCTTGCTATTCAGCATTACCATTAAGGTAAGCACACATGTATGCAATGGCCTGCTTGCATCATTTACAGAATTGTGAAACAATAGGTGCACATTTATAATTAAGAAATGGAACCAGTCATGTACTGTATTTTTAAACCCCATGGTGTAAATTAATATTTAATTGTATAAGAGCTGTTGATATCAAAACATTAAAAAATCTAATGATAGTGCACAGGAAAATGTGTGTAGTATTTTCATATTTAATACTGTTCAAAGATTTGAACACTAGGGCTGCATTGTCTAAAGCTATAGTTCTGATTGTAAAATTGGGGTTAATAATGAGTTGGAGGTTGTCTTAAGTCATAGATGTTGAAATGTCTTTGATTTAGATACAGGATTGAATAGAAACATTTGCAAATTCAGGTGATACAAAAATAGGGCTGTAATAGTTTGTCTATTTCTGCTACTGTATTATGCATTAGCAGGGCTGGTAAATATTTTAATTGGTTTTTATTTAAGATATGTTTTACTAACTTATTGAACCATAAATTGTGCAAGATAATTTCTTTCTGGAATTCATACCTGTTGGTTTGATTAGACAATGTTTCCTTAAGCCTGATGCCTCTGTGGTACCTAGGAGTTAGATAGCTGTTGTGGGTTACATCCTGGGGAAAGTCAGTAGTTTTGCTATTTGGTACCTTAATGAGCCCTAACAGGCTTCCGACTATGGAAAACCATAAGGTCAGCTACACTTATTGCATGCATACTATGTTTTCATTGTCTGACCTCTTGTAACAAGAGGTCAGACAATGTTTATTTTCTGCAGAATACACAGTATCATTATTTAAAAGTTGAAAACATGTCAAGCTATAGTAGTAAGGTTACATCAGGAAAGGGGAATGAATAGAAGGCTGGCACTTGTTTATTGGTGAGCTGATCCAGGAAATTCTTTTTGGTGAATTTTAAATCACACATTTGATTTGTCAGCTCTGAAATCTTGCAAATTTACACTGATTTAATATTCCATATTACAATATGGAAACATGTTATGCTGGTATAGGTAATGATAGATCATGTATTGTTTGCTAGGCCAGACAGAATTACAGGGCCTTAATGGCTCTGTTGTACTAGGTTGGAGTAAAGCTGTTCTCATAATTTTCATGTATTTTGAGAAATAAGGTACATTTGATTTATTTTTAGGCTATTCACCTTTGCAAATTTGGGTTACCCTGACTTTAAAAAAAAAAAAATTCAAGGAAGGTTTGTCATTTTAGAAATCTGAAGAATAATTGATGTGGTTTTAAGAAGTTTAAGAATTGCTTGGGAATAATGAGAATTGATACTGTACTGTAGTTGTCAGCAAGTGTTACTGTATGTACTGTTCGTAGCTTGTCATTTTCTATTTTTTGACAAGCGTTGTTCTTACAGTATTAATGAAGCGTTGAATTCAGCGGTTGTGTTAGCAACTGATAGCACAAATCTGTACAGTACATCTAAATAACCATTATGTTTTATCAATTTTTTTTTGCCCCAAGATAAGAGATTAAGAATGAGTGGCACATCAGATACCAGATAGAGAATACGAAATTTAGCTATAGATGCCATAGAAATAAGGAGTTATAAATAAATAAATAAATAAAATTTTATTCAGGAAAAGTACATACATGTTTGATTTACAAACATAATGTTGGATTTACTGTATAGATAGAGCTAGTACATAAAATACCTAAAGCCACTAATACGAATAGTGTTTTGGGCAAAAGTTAATTCAAAGCTTCAAGCAAAATGGTTACAAAAAAGATTTATAAAGGAAGTTTTCAGTTGTAATGTTTTAAAAGGAATAAAAAATGGACCCAGTATTGACTTTCAAAAAAGTCAATAGGTAAAAAAGGATTAACCACTGAATTATATTTTACTGTTCACAGGAGTCAAATTTTAGGATTTATCACTAAATCATACAGTATTTAAGAGTGCCCTCCCATATACTGTATTGCAACTGTAGAAGTGTTGTTTCTGATAAAAAAAAAATGATCATAGTGAATATAATTGAGCCATGGAAGAGAGGTGACATAACATTGAAACCAAAGCATTAAGGTTTAGATGGTGTTTACCAATGATTTATGCAGGACTGTAACCTACAGCTGGCTGGTGGTGGTGAACTGGTAGTCTGGTAGAATAATGTTAACCATGAGCACTGAGGACATAATAGTCAGTTTAGGGTGACTGTAGAAGTTTTAACAGATGGCTTGATATTGTGTATACATTTTGCTTTCTCTTTTATCAAGGGGAGCATGTACTATGAAAAGGCAAGTGGACAGATAATTTCTTTTATTTTGTGCATAATTACTACTAACAAGCACACAATCGTTATATAGACCTGTCTTACATATTAACATGTATTGTATCGCTTGCTTTAAGAAATATTCAGACAATTTAATAAAAAAAAAGGGAGGATGCAGGGAGCAGATCCAGAAATCTCAGACTTCACACAGCCAGACTGGATCCAGAATGATATAAATTTTGGAGGTGCCACTGTATTGTACTTTGTTTTTTTATGGTACATTAAGTGGATTAAAATCAAATTCTTGCCAAGCCTACCAGTCTCTGCCTGTAACCTTTCTTGTAAATCTGAAATTATTCTCAGCAGCAGGTCTAGCTAACTGGCATTTTTTCAGGAAAATATTAATTTACTTTTGAATTAGCTGTGGTTCCATCATTGTCCTGATCATGTTTTTCTGTGCAGGAAATAGCTGGCACTGAATTTCTGTAGCATGATCTGGTGAAATGGCTAGAATGTACAGCAGTGTTAATAAGTTTGTGCCTATGTCTTTATAAGCTTATTTTACAAGCAGATTAGCTTTATACAGCAGGTAGGTGCTGTTAAACCTAAAATAATTTATGATCTTTATTGCTTAAGTTGGTGATGCATAATAGAAGAGTAGAAGTTAATTTTTTAGCCTGGGAATAGCCAAGTGATAGGTTTATTCCATGAAAAATTTTTCCAGTCCCCTTGCTTTTACAATTGTAATGAACTACAGTATTCAAGAAGTGGTTGGAGAAAAGATATGATAGTATTATCTCATTTAATATTGCTTGAAACAAATTTTTAATGATTTTAATATATGGGTACATGCCATGAGAAAAGCATTAAGTATTAATTTTTTTTTAGTTTCTAAAATAAAAACAGATTTTCAGGATGGAAAGAAACTACAGTACTAATTTTTGGCACACAACAGATTTTATGGCCAGCCTTGGTGTAGACACGTCTGAAAAGTATAGTTATGTGTACCTTGTAATTCCTTTTTATAATCTTTTAAAAGTTTAGTGCATTCTTTAATTTACAATTCAGGTTTTTGAAATTATAGTTTATTTGCAGTACTGGTACTGTACACAAAATGCAACATTGTGAGCCCCATGGGGAGTGTTTCTGGCAGTTCTAAGGTTAACATATACATAAAAAAAGAATGTTAGATGTTTTATTATGTGTAATTAGTTTATTACTTTATATTTTAAAGATTTGGTAATTTCATAAATGACTATTTTTTAGTAAGTCATAAAATATTTGCTCAATCTGTTGAGTTTCTTTAGAAAAGAGTGAATAAATTATATGTAATTTAGTTGTATTAATTTATTAGTGTTTTTATATTAAGGAATTTTAAGATAATGTATTCAGTTTATTATTGGATTGTTATTCTCATGTAACGATCAGCCAAGACAAGTGGGCCTCTCCTTTTTTCTTCCTCCCCCTTATCCCTCCCCCTCTCACTCTCTTCTCCCTCCCCCTCTCACTGTCTTCTCCCTCCCCCTCTCACTCTCTTCTCTCCTCCCCCTCTCACTCTCTTCTCCCTCCCCCTCTCACTCTCTTCTCCCTCTCCCCCTCTCACTCTCTTCTCCCTCCCCCTCTCACTCTCTTCTCTCCCCCTCTCACTGTCTTCTCCCTCCCCCTCTCACTGTCTTCTCCCTCCCCCTCTCACTCTCTTCTCCCTCCCCCTCTCACTCTCTTCTCCCTCCCCCTCTCACTCTCTTCTCCCTCCCCCTCTCACTCTCTTCTCCCTCCCCCTCTGCTGAAGGCAGATTAGTTTCACCCACAGAGGGATCGTAAAACTTTGGGTCATGTTCCCCTCGCAGTCCTCGGTAGGCCTTGGTGATACCCAGTTTCGTGAGAAGATCCCCCCTCCTTGCTGTTTTAAATGTTGTCATTGGGCAAGGGCCAGTGCCTCGTTCTCACTGGCCTGGGGACCTAGGCTTGGTTTCAGCTGATTGGGTAGAGGAGGAGGTAGTTCTAGAGCATGGGTCCATGAGGGGTGGAGCCAGGACTCTACCTTGAAGCATACAAAACAGAAGGATAGTTAGTGATCTTGGGGGTGCCAAGATTGCCCATCAGGGGGTGGGTGATCAACCAGTAAGCCATGAACACAAGCTGAGAATGCAGTATGAAGGTATTTGTTAGAGTTCCTATACAATTTGTAGTCCATTATCCATGTTTCTAGGATAGAATGTCACTAGTCTAGGGGTTAATCTATTTTTTCATTACTGAATAAAGTTACCGTAATTTATATCCTGTGTATTTAATATATTTTCATTTAATTCCGAGTCTTGGATCTTGAATTGCTTTGGACTTCACCTGTAATCTGATGAGCATTTTTTGCTGCGAGGGCAGGCTCTTTCCCAGTTCTTTGGGGTTATATCAATGCAATTATTACAGCATACAGGGTTACAAGTTATAGCAGGCATTAGTGTTACCATAGTTGTACATTAACAACTATATTAGATTGTCATAAATGTTACAGTGGTAGCAGTAGTGTTTGTGACAAACGTTACACTCGCAGGAGGTAGTGAAGGAACAGTGGTATCACCAGTTGGCCCAGATGAGCTACCGCCACCGTACACTCCCTCATCATCTGGTGTGCCCATGGTCACTTGCCGAGTATGTCAGGCCATGATTGACATATCGGGCAAAATAGATCAACACGTTGTCAAATGCAACCAGTGCAATGAAGCGACGGTAAGTGTGAAATCAGTACTGTACTTGGGAAATTTAGGTAATTATCTGTAAAAAGCACTAGGCCATTATGACTGTAGCATTTGAAAGGGATACGAGAATAAGGATTTGGTATGGTACTATGGAGGGTGGGGATAAGGAATGGTGCTCAACCACTTGGATGATCGGGGATTTTATGCCGACCTGCAAGCGAGACCATCGCTCTACCGTCAAGTCCAAATGGTTTGACTGCACTGCACCGTACTTGGGAGAGTTAGTGGGCATGGTACACGGTATGGAGAGGTGGGTTAATGATCATTGGAGGGCAGAAGTAGAGGAATGGTGAGGGAGAATGTCAACTTGTCATTAATAATACTGTAATAGGAATATTAATATTGGCAGCCATTCAGATTGGAAAACGTACCCATCAAGGTTATTTACTTAACGTGTTTAACATGAGCACTCATTGTCATTGTTTTAATTTTGTCTTGATTTGGTTTGTATTTTTAAAATGATGAAAATTGTGAAATTCGATTAGAGGTGGTCATTTCTCAAATATGGTTAGCACAAGGCATGGTTCACTTCATGCAAGTTGGGTTATTTTTGTGTACAGTATTTAAAGCACTTTGAGATTATATTTTTACATTGTGGCACCTTCCAAATATGAAATACCTACTAAACCCCCAATGATAGGTTATGTTTACTTACTCACAGTTTGAGTTCAAATCTACAGCTGTATTTGCTTATTTGTAGCTGGGAAGTGGTAGGCATACTTGAAAATTTATTTAATTTTTTATTCTATTTTATTTATACATACAAGAGTTGATTCTTGAAAAGCCACTAGCACGAATAGCATTTGGATAGATCCTAAATATTAATTTTCCCTGGAATACGACCCACCAGATCATTTAACTACCATTCACTGCTGGGCGAACAGAAGCGTACAGTTAAGGATTGGCACCTAGTTAATCCTCCCTTGCCAGGATACGATCTTGGGCCAAATAGCTTGCGAAGGGCAAGGCGAGTGTCTTACCACTCTGCCATCGGGACGACAATGTTTAGATATTTTATTGAGAGGAGTAGAAAAAGTTGACTTTTAGAAAGCATCTGTTGTGCATTGCAAAGTTTTTATTTATAAATATCTTGTATCTCATGCCTCAATACAGTATTGTAGAAGAAAATGGTCATAAATAGAAACAAGTTGTTTGGATCTGCAGTACTCAAGTTTTGCTTATTGAAATTTTTTTCTAGAAGATATAAAAGTATCCACTAATCAATGACAAGTGATTTATGGTATTGTAAATATGTTTTTTAAGTATTGCTTATATGCCTTTACAGCCAATAAAGAATGCTCCACCTGGCAAGAAATATGTTCGTTGCCCATGTAACTGCTTATTGATTTGCAAGAGCTCATCACAACGGATAGCTTGCCCACGACCAAATTGCAAGAGGATTATAAATCTGTCCCCTTCTCCAGCCAATCCTTCATGGCCCAATGTCCCTGGAATGTGCCGTGTTACTTGCGCTCACTGCCATGACACTTTCATTGTAAGTAGACTTTATATTGCATACACTATAAGAAACTTTAGACTATTTCAAGTATGGAAGAACATTTGGTAGTGGACTAAGAGAATTAGTCTATTGGAACAGACTTAAGAGTATTAAAATATTGTTCTATGAATCTTGTCTCATCACTTTGCACACACTGTACCAACAAAAATATTGTTGCAACTGCATGCCTTTGGGTCATAGATTGGGAGTGCTGCTTGAGATGCCCATAATTTTGATGTACATCTGTGTGTGTGTGTGTTCGAGGTTGGGGGCAGGATGCTGGGTGTGTTTGAGGTTGGCTAATTTTGCAGGGTGACTGGTGTGTCTGGGGATGGTTGTAGGTAGATCTGGGTGGAGCCCCATGTCCCTGCTTTCCCTTTAGTGTCATTTGCCATTTCATGTAATTTCCAATCTTGCTAAATAAAATACTGTCCTCACTAAGAATCTTCTAGCTGACAAGGGTCTCCAAACTTTTCAGTTCGAGGACCACATTATATATTCTACGCATTTGTGCAGGCAAAAAAAAAAACTATAAATGAATGAATGTTTCATTTGTATATTTTTGGGTAATAAACATGTGATTCGATTTGGAACAAAGGAGAAATGTGATGGCTACAAAGAAAAGATGATGTGCTTACACTAGGAAATTAGATACACAGTAAATTAAAAAACATGGGGCACACACGACTGAAAATGGGTGTTCGCCAGGCTGACAACACACTATCTTGGTGGCATATGGGAAGGAGCATGGCAGGGAGGAACTGGATGTATTGACTGCCTGACCATGTGGTTAAGAAAAATTAAGTGAAATAATTCTATTGGTTATAGATATTTAAGTTGATGCAGGCTGGATAAAATATTGCTGCAGGACAGTTTCAAAAACCATGAACTAGCATTATTTTCTACACAAATATCAATTTCTTATGTAATTTATTTATTGATGACTGTTTAGTGAAAATGGTTACAGGTATGAAGGGAAGCTGAAGGGTACATGGGAGTTGAGTATATGGGAGGTGGTGGAGAGGAAGTGTGGTGAGAGATAGAGAAGATAGTGGTGATGGGTGTAGATGGGGGGTACCTAGTGGTGCCTGGGTAGTGAATATGGTTCTAGTAAAGATGAATACAGTGATGAGAAGAGATCATGCGTAGTTTAGATAGTGTAGAAGGGTGTTTGTAGCAAAGATGGTTACCATGTGGAAAATGCTGTATGGTTAAAAGTGGTCAATGAGGATACTGTAGTATGTATGGATGCCACAGATGAAGATGTGGCATTGGTCACCCGAGCAATGCAAGGTACCCCTCTACTATGATTATATTAGCATCATGATAGGAAAGGAAATTTTATTGGATAGCACAATTGGTGGGTACTTTGTTAAAACTGTATATGTTAACCAGCATTTGCAAGTGCAAGTTAATAAGGGATGGTAAATATTTTTTTGTTTACATTGGCTATACAGTATTCTGATAACCTTATCAATGTATTGACTATTTACTTTTTTTAAAGTTTACTGTAGCAATATGCCACGTTTGAAATAAAGGTTTATAATTTTAATAATCATAATGAAAGTGCAAAGCCAGTATGGCTGTATAGCACTTGGAAGGAATACAAGTTTACAGTCCTGGGATACAAGGACAAGGAATGAAGGAGAAATGTTGCCCAACCACTTAGACCATCATCATTAATGTTATCTTTTTGAAACTGAATTAGCGTAGATATTTTGTTTATATTGATGTTGCATTGATGTAGCAGTATGCCACATTGACATAAAGGTTTATAATTTTAATAATCTTAATGAAAGTGCTGCAAAAAATAGCCGGGACTTCTTAATGATTTATTCTGTACTCGCTGGTTCTCTTCTTTAATGGGTTTAGTGTACATATTATTGTAATGTTAAGATTAGGTAATTTATTTTAGAGTTTAAATACTTATGATATTGAAATTAATTTTTTTTCAGTTTAACACACTCAACAATGCTCTTGCCAGATGTCCACACTGTAGAAAAGTGTAAGTACAGTATATTGATTTGTTGGATAAGTGTTTGACATAAGCTTATGTATTGACAGTAAAGTTCATTAGGTGGGTAATGTATCTTGCCTAGCAAATATTACAAAGCTGCAGAGCAACATATTAGCTTTACATTCATGTGAAAGCACGTACATTTCATCTCGTACATATACAGTAATTTGGGATGAAACAATAACCACTGCAATGCTCATAGTGCCTTAAGGTGCTCGATGGGTGGTGCAAAATTTTGTTGAATTTAGCAGTTTTAATGTTTTTTGAAATGGAAATAGTTTTTAGCAATATTTTGACATTTTTCATATTCTTAAAGTTCAGTTAATGTTAATAATTCATTAACCCCTGCACCATGAAGTTGTCACACAGCAGTTGTGCAGTGCAAGGGTTAAATGATTTAGAAAAATGGTAACATCTGCATTATATGAGTTGTACTAATGTTGGAGTCTAAAGGTATATGGCAATGTATATTTTAAACATTATTTAACAAGAAATTTTAACAATTTGGGGAAATTTGTCTTAAATTGAACATTTACCAAGGTTAGACTGAAAGGTTGGTCTAAATTAACATTTAGTTTCTGGAATATACAATACTGTTACTGGTTTATGAAAGATATTTCACTATTCTTGCCCCAGACGACCAAGAATCTTGGAATGCAGTTAGAAATCTTGTTATAAAGTAGAATGTTTAATTGGGTTAAAAAAATTAAATTCTTGGCTTATGCACCAATATTGTATCTAGTGATTTGTAGTAATTTAAATTAAATTGAAGATAATTATAATGCTGTATATGGTCCCCCAGAAAACCATGCCACAAGTTCATTATTTAAAAATGTAGACCTGTGTAGTTTCATATGAATTTTTATGAACTAATATCCTAGTCAGTTTATTATATTATGTAAGAAGACTGATCCTTTTGAGAATCAATTGGAACAATGAGGTGACTTGTATTGGCGATCAAGGTGCTCCCAGGTGCACACTTTCCCCTTGTACCAAGACTTGGAATAAGTTGTAAACTTATTCCTAGTCTTAGTACAGGGGTAAAGTGCATGACTGGGAGTGCCTTGATCGCTTGTTAGAGTTGCCTCATTGCTCCAATTGATTTTCTCATTGATATACAATATACCACATTAGTGATTTCTTTGTAACTGATCCTTTTGTTATACCCTGACAGGTCATCTGTTGGTCCAGAATTTGCCCGGTGCCGAGGTATAGGTTTTGTAGTAGTTGCACTGATTTTCCTTGGCATTGGGATTGCTCTTATTATTACAACTCTAAAATTCACATCATCATACCCTGGCATCTATGTAGCATATATTGGTAAGTATGTGCTTTTTATTTAAAATGTTCATGAATTTTAATGCTGTTTATATTGATTATTCCTTATTCACAAATGGACGTACAGTACTCCCAGAAGTTTTCCCCCAAATAATTCAACAGTTAACCGTTTAGCATGCCACTTACAGTAAAAAATAAGAGCATAGATAAGCATTTTCCAGTAGGTGTGCACTACCAAAGCATAATGTATTGTTAATAGTTATTTAAGTACTTTTAATGGCATATGTATAATTTACCTGTACATCAGTAACCTTCTATGGATAATTAAAATTGTTATTCAGTGACAGAACAGGAAAGTTGTCTTGGATACAACAGTTTTATCACACTTTTAAGACCATATCTAACCTAGTCAGTAATTTTAGGTGTGGATTGAACTGATTGATATGCAAGTTATAAAAAATTAGAATTACTCTTAACATTTTGTTTGAATACTGTACAGTGTATTGAAGTATAACCATTAATGTTCAATGGTGACTGATATCAGCCTTAGCACACTTAAATGAAGTCATTGAATGTTTTGATTGGAGAATGGTCTGATTTGTACATGTTAATTATATTGGATCTATTGCATGTCCATTTTTATCAGTCAAAATTTTATTTTAGATTGTTAATACTAACTCTAATTCTGGCATGCTGAATCCAAAAAGGAATGAAAATTGTTTGTTCATAAATATCCATGCTAGTGCTGGGTAAATAGAGCTAAAGAACCTATGAACTCTTGTATATGCAGGCATTTTCTAGATGGAATGTAATGTGGTACATGACTTGCATAAAGGTCCAGTTTCTCTACAGAAACCAGCAGTAATTACCCATCATTCTAGAACTCTGCAAGTCCTGGTAAAAGCGCTTGGCTTGCTCGTCACTCACAGCATCCAAATTCTCTAGGAAAATCTCGGTGAAAGTGCAACAACTAATTTTTGGTGAAATTTGGTAATACATTGCCCTGTAGTTATCAAGTAATATTACTAACCAACTCAGCTTTCAGAGCTATTGTTATCAAGAAATCTTTTCACTATTTTAAATGAATCCCAAGCTGCTGGTTCAACACTGCAATTTATGTTCAAAAGTTTTTATGAGAACATTGAGAAAATGCCTTCCTGCATTTTAGCATCAGTCATATTAAGGAAAAGCTTTTTTTAAACAATGAAATGTTTGATGTTTATCAGGAGCTTTAACAAAGTTTTACATCAGTGCCCACTTTTTGTGCAACGATGGAAGCACAAATGGTCTCTATGGTCTTTATAGGCCAAAACAATCATGACTGCAAGAAACCATGTGTAGATAGGTGCCACAGGTGCTTAACCCAATTGCCTTTAAAGCGCAAATTTTGAAATCACTCGCGAGTGCAATCTGCAGTGGAAAAGGTATTTGTAATTTGAAGGTACACTAAAGATTGAATAATTTTAGCTAACTTTTACATGTTAAAACGAGAAGTAAATTACTGTTTCAATCATAATTTTGTTTCTTTCCAGTGGCTTTCCTCATCTCTCTCATTCTCTTCTACCGAACGGTGTACTACTGCTCCATGAAGATAAGTCTCATTGAAGGGCCCTTATAAGTTACTTTCAAGGGTACGAGATTTCTTCATTAGTCTGGTACCTTCTTGTTCTTGTTACAAATTAATTTTAGATGGTCAGTAGAAGGGTTTAATAGAACACAATATATTTGTGACTTACCTTTTTGCTAAGTTGTTGAACCATTCAACAACAATTAAACTGACTGTCTGATTTGTATAAATGATTGGCAATTTTGATAATTTTGTAAGCTTTTTACATATTGGTTGGTTTTAATGAGAATCTTTGGGTTATTGTAATTTTGTATGTCTACACATAACTATACCCATGTATAAATTACCTGGTGGTATGGTTTCCATGATCATTTTTGCCAGTCATATTAAGTATTATTCTTTTACACCTTTGTAACAATTTTTTTTATTGTCATTTCATGCCCTGTATACTGAATTTTATCAGTCATTAGGAGATAAATTTATGCCACATAGTGAATCATGTATAAACCATCATAAGACATGTTCAATGGGAACTCTTTAGGAAGCAAGATTAAATCTACTTTCAAGGTCATTTATGGTCGGTCTCCATCATATGAGATACTGTAGTCATTTTTGGGCTGCCACAGATTTTGAAAATGGAAAGTGATAACCAAAACTTTAAATTGCCTTTGGGCTCAGTGCTTTGCTGTTAATTATATAGCAAGTCTCACCTTGAATGGAAAAGTCACCATTATCACTTCTAATTTGCATTAATAGCCATTGTTCACATTATATGATTAAGGATTATAGAATTATCTTTTTATGTATATTAAGGACATTAATTCCTACTGTTTAAATTAACAATTGTCAGGATGCTCTTGTTGTCTTGAGATTGTTACTCAAAAAAGTTGGTAATTGAAGTCGTAGTTTATTTTAAGTATAGAAACCTGTGATAAGCAAATGATCTTAGGAATCTGTCCTCTTTGTACTGTAGTACTATTATGCTCACATAGTACTGAATTCTTAAATATTCTTGAGGAATGCAATACCAGGCTTGGAAGATAAAGCTAACCGACTATTGTTCTCCTTTAGTACATGGAAACATCTTAGAAATGGGGTTTGAGTTTTGCTTGTTTTAGTAAAGTTTGTTTAAGAATTCAATTCTTTGTATCTTTATATAAATATTACTCGCAGCTTTCAATAGGTTTGATCCTTAGATGTGCCCGTCCTGTCAAATTGTCATCCAAAAATAAGCCTTATATACCAGTTTGGCACACTTTTTAACAATCTAATAAACTCTTAGCCGTTTAAAAATAAGCACCACATCTGGGTAAATTTATTTTTTGAATGAAGATGGTGTAATAAATGGGGTATAAAGCATGTTGAAGCAGTGTATAACAGTGAGGATATATCATTCAAAGTAGTGAGATGGGATTACAATCTAAGAACCAATTTTATATTTAAAATTTACATTTGTAATTTATCATATTAGATTATATATGCGTGAGCGAGTTTGAGCAGGATTCAAAATGGTTGGTATTTTAATAAATCCACAACTTTCCAAAGTTTTTATATATTGATATGGTTATCTGACCTCGAATTTTAAAATTGTCACCAGCCAAGTATCTTCATTGACTAAAAATTACTGTAATGGGATTAAGTAACATCAGGTGACTGTAGAGAGCATGCCAGATTTGCCACTAGTTAGTCCACTCCTGCATTTAATTATTGTATATAATGTTGTGTCATTAACACGTATTTAAATAAAATGAACTTAAAATCGGAAGTCAGCATCCCAGAAAGCGTACGATGCATGACTTGCAGGTCAGGTTACACGGCTCGTGTTGCAGGCTATCATGGGAGGGTCATCACTCGAGGCCATTACATCGCCAGTCTACTGGCATTCAATAGTGAAACTTTTTCTTGTTATACAGGAACTATATATATGGGTGAAAATATCTTCATGCATTATCCTATGATGTTTTGGAGAAAGATTAGTCTTAAATTTATTTATGTATACTTGATGTAAAATGTATAAGTTGGAAAAATTGTGCAGTTAAAAGGTTAGAGCTCTAGTGACATTCCTATAATTATCTGTACATAAATTATCTGGGGCTACCAGAGTATTTGTGTAGAAAGTGTTTATGCTGTATACAAAATAAAGTCACTTTAATGTGTCAAGTCAGTCTTGCATTTATTTTATTGCCTTAAAGATTAAATTATTATGGATGGCTAACTCTGTAGGATGTTTTGTATCAATGCAGCAGCGAGGAAAGATTACTTCAAGCACTTTCTGCATGAAGGTTGAGATAATATTTACAACAGCTACAGGTAGTAATGTGGAACCTTTTGATTGTACAGTACAGTATTTGACCCTCTTCTATTTATTCATACAGAAATACTGTAGCCTGAGCTACTCTATCCTCTTGGGATGTATTATCTAAAAACAGGCGTTTGTAATATTTAAAAAGACTCAAATTTAAAAAAGTGAGCAATAAAGGAGACTGAAGTTTCATAACTTTTATTGTTAGCAAAATATCACATACCAGTTTTATGTAACAAATAACAGAACCTGTCATACTCCAAAAAAAGAATCCTAGATGCCTAGTTTCAACTCAAAACAGCCCTAAGTAATTACACTTAGATTCTTGCCAACCTGCTTAAAAGCTTCAACAGTGCGGTCAATGTCATCAAATGTATGGGCTGCAGAGATTTGCACTCTGATTCTTGCTTTGCCCTTTGGTACTACAGGATAGCTGAAGCCAATCACATATATGCCTTTCTCTGTTTGGGGTAACAAAAAGTCAACTTAAGCATAAGAACAGTACTGTATGAGTGATGGGCAGTATATAGGAGCTAATGACAAGCCAAATAAAATAAAACTTAAAATGCACTACTGTATATGTTGATATTTCAGATTTACAATGGATTACTAGCACAGATGAAAACAAGTCCCCTTTTTTAGAAAAATTAGGAAATATTTTTGATCAGGGGAATACTAATATGATTATCAAGCCCAGTCTGGAGGGCTAAGAACTACAGTACTGAAACTTGAATGGGAATGGGCCACCTTTTGAGTGGGAGGGATAATCTGGAAAATAAGCAGGTGAATTCCAGATGCTAGAAATAAACAAGTGAATGCAGTGGAAAAACAACTATGCACATTTCTAATTCCCCACTCAGTTTCGGTAAACTATTTTAAACTGACTTTCAATAAATATGATGTTCACCTCAGAATATTTTAAGTGAAATGGGGGGAAAAATACATGTTGCAATTAAAAACCTACCATAATGTATACACCACATTCATCCTACCATGAATGTGTGTGATTTATACAAACACTAGCCAATGAAGGTGCTTACCATTCTTTTGATAAGTTTTTTTTACTTTCAAATATAATTTTATTTATTTGGAATTGTATGATCTGTGATACTTCCAGAATATCATGAAAATTAAGTATTACTTGTTGGGGAGGAGAGGAAGGGGGGGGGGCCAAGGTGAACCCTGAGGCAATGTAAGTTAAATGTAACTTACCCATGTAAAGGTCGAAGTGTGAAAAATCTATTCACTACCTATGCTATGTTCCTTAATTTTGTTTTAGCATTTCAAAACATCCAATCAAACAAGGTAATGCTACTGGTTTCCTCTTTCCAGCATTTTTACCAACTTTTGACTAAAGTCTAATATAACAAAAATTTAGACAACCACTGTTTCCAAGCACCTTGATTGCACCTGGCACTTCATTAATACAGTACTATACTTTCTCATTACCTAATCCTGTATTTGGCATTACATTCTTAACACATATAATCTAACTTTTCTGTCAGGATTTTTACATTTATATTTACACCAATCAAGAGGCATTATAATAATTTCTTTGCTGCACTATTTGTTACCTTCAATGCAAATAGAATGAAAAACCACTTACAGTAGTTATATTTTATTCTTATATTTTGTCTGTAAAAATTATTAATTATGTCAACCTGTCTAATTTAAATATTAAACAGCAGCACACAACAACTTTTACCTACCTAACATTTGGTCAGCAAAATTTGAAGCAAGACGAGCATCTCCCAGCATGACGGGACAAATGGGGTGGTTATCACCCGATACAGTGAAGCCTGCATTCGTCATTTGAGACCTGAACCTCTCCGTGTTGGCTTGAACTTGCTCAGCAAACCCTGAACTTCCAAGGAGCAAGTCAAATACCTGTGGGCATTTGTAGTAAACATTACAGTAAAACATTCTTCATAACACTGATCTTTTTAAATGTAAATTTCAAATATTTATTGCTAATTTGTTATGTACAATCTATACAAGTGAGAATGTCTGTGTGTTTGTCTGACTAAGGTTGGAGGCTAGATAATTGAGGTTAGCCTCCCCTAACTATCCAAGGTAACATGGGGAGTATGGGAGTGTCACAGGCCAGTTGGGTTAGCCCCAGTATCACAAATATCAGCATTTATAGTGACCACCTGCAATTATCATGAAATCAAGTCTGAAATTAGGGATGCGAGTTTTCCATAGTTATTAGCAGTTTTTTCAGTGCTTTTAATCACTGCTTAACACTTTCGCTGCCCTGGCAGGCTACCTGACGCGTACTTCAAGGCAGCCCGAGCGGTGAGCGTGAACTTCCCATAACCCACAATGGTTTTATACTATTTTTAGCTTTCTGACCTCAATTTACGTATCACGTCATTCAATTTGGTATCAAATTGTTCACAATACAATGCTCTAAAAAAATATGTTCATATAAGAACATATAATGCTCACTTTCCTATACTTTAGACCCGCCACAAACTGCAAGGTAGCAAGCTCACCAATACACAAAAATGTTTATATTGTACTCTTTTTAGCTTTCTGACCTAAATTTCGTGCTACCTCATTCAATTCGTATCAAATTGTTCGCAATGGAATGCTGTAAAGGGATATTTGCATATAAGAACATACAAGTCTCACTTTAATATACTTTTGACAAAAATTCAATATCTTTTCCCTCATACGTGTTTCTTTCAATGCTTTTGTCATGGATTGGCTCTGCTCTTGATCAGTATCCATCTGGAAATCAATTTGCAGTGTTTATAAAGCCAGTAACAACAAATACCAGAGAAAAAATAACCAGAATGGGTAACTTTTAGACTCGAGGGGAAGGCCGCGGCTGTCACGAGCGAGGTCACGAGAACAGTGAGCCTCCAGCATAGGTGGGAGTGCCCACGACAGGGTCAGGATACCACGTGGGGTATACAGAGAATGGAAAGAAGTTGAAGCACATTTTAAAATAAGTCATACCCACTCTAGTTCCTTTTCTACTATGCCAGCTAATTTCTACATCTTGTGCATCAATAAGTCTTTTTGTGTAGGACACTGTCAAAAGGCATTCTGACAGTTGAGAAAGAGGCCCTGCAAAAACCTGTATATGATACTGTATGCATAACACACAATAACCTCAAAGAACAAAAGCCAAATTCTCAGTAATATTTGTGCCCAGGACAGAATCTATTAACTTAAGCCTGATTACATATACTGTACATTGTTGCAGTGAATTTTGACTAACCTTGCTGGCACATGCCACTACAGGTGGTGGCATAGAATTTGAAAAGAGATAAGGTCTTGCCCTTTGCCTGAGAAGTGTGATCAGCTCTTTTGGGCCAGTAGTGTAGCCTCCAGCAGCACCTCCCAGTGCTTTGCCCAGTGTACTGTTGATTATGTCCACTCGATCAGTGGGTATACCAAAATGCTCTTCTGTTCCTCTGTCCACAAGAAAAAATATGCACATATAGCTACCAAACATGTTTAAAAAGAAGCCATTAAGAGCCATAGAAATAAATTGGTATTTACAGTATTTATATCTTTTTGGGTTTTATGGTAAATTTGTTTTTCATGTTTTACAGTAATTATTTGCATATTACAGTATTGGCATCTGCTGATAATTGTTGTTAAATTATGTTAAGACATTTACTGAATTCATTTACTTGAATTTTATTAGCATTCAAATGTTTAAGACTAAATTTAATGATTTGTTAACCTTCCTGTAGCTCCAAAAAATCCGGTAGCATGGCATTCGTCAATAAACACCAAAGCTTTATATTTGTCAGCTAGGTCACAAATTTCTCGTAGGGGAGTCACATTGCCATCCATACTGAACACTCCATCTGTTACTATTAGCTTTATGCGAGCATCTTGGCATTCTTGCAGCTTGGCCTCAAGATCTAAGAAAAAACATGATGATACTTAGAACATGCTGTATTCAATACATAAAACTTATTATACCGTGTAATAATTATTTCCCATACTAATGACAATACAGTACTGTATAAGGTTTGTATTTTACATCTTTCATGAAGTATTACATACATAAATCACACACACACGCACACCACTTCACCAAACTGAATATAGTATTCATCTAATCAGGTTTACTACATATCTAAGCAAAACATACCTTGCATATTCTTGTGCTGGTATCTGAACTTGCGAGCTTTGCATAGTCGAATTCCATCAATTATTGATGCATGATTTAGTTCATCTGACAGTACAGCATCAGAAGGGGCAAGTAATATTTCAAACAGTCCTGCATTAGCATCAAAACAAGAGGCATACAATATTGAATCTTCTCGGCCATGAAATCTTGCTATTTTCTCTTCCAGTTCCTATAGGAAAAAACATTTGTTGAAACCAAACATGATTTTACACAAAAATATATTACTTCTAATATCCAGGTAATACTTTGAAGCTAGTGAAGATAATATGAGTTCAGAAGTAACAAGTTACTTTATCACAATTAGTTATAATGTATAATATTGAATAATTCACACTATTTTACACTAGAAGGTACAGAAGCAAATGTCTACTGTGTGTTTCAAGGCTTAACATTTCCTTCCCTCAGGTCATCTGAAGACTTAACCCACTTGTTTTCCCATTGCATAATCTGGTGATACCATTCTACATCAAGAACCTTAATTACTGCTGGGAGCAATGGAAGAATTAAAAACTTTTGAAACACATGAAAGTGTGATATGGAAGAATGACTATGACAGCATGAACAATGTGGATCTGAAGAGAATGCCAGGCAAGAAATAACAGAGAAGCATGTGTGTTAGAAGAGTGCCTAAATTCTAAGTCAGAGAATATATCAATATCAAATGGAGAATATACTCGGCATTAAAACTTGCCTCTACCCCAATGCATTAATGTTATACACTGATAATACATATCATTTTATATATATTAAATTGTAATTTAAAAATGTTATTTAAAAATTACAAAATGTAAACAGTATTGAATACATGTACAGTATGTAATTAAAATACTTTTATATCATAATACTGATAATTTTGTTGTTGTAATAGTAAATTACAGAGCAACAATACCTTTTAATTTTTCCTAGGAATTATTGGGTATTGGCTATAAGAAGTTATTATTCCTGTGACAACATTTATATGGCACAAGTAATGACAACATACATAGATAATATTAGTACTGTAATGTGTTGCAAGATTTTAGCCAGGTTGGTAAGGACTACCAATAAGAAAACGTCTCAATCATCCTAGCTCCTTTAATGAGATATTTCGCAGCAGACTCACCGTGTGAATGTCTTGGGTACCACATATGAAGCGAACTGATGAGAGTCCTGCTCCGTATTTATCTAGTGCATCTTTCCCAGCTTGGACCACTTCTGGATGGCTCTAAGGAGAGAACAGAAAAAAATTGAAGTGGCATAACGAACTTTGTGCTTGAATTAAAATATTTAAAATTTCCCAAATTTCATAATGTAAAACCCATAATAATACTCGGTAACATAATTACGAGTCAAAAGCCTAGTTTTACCGAATCAATTTATATACAACAAGCAGGGTACACCTATATGCTCAACCAGAATGCCAGAGCAGAATGATTACATGGTACAAAAAACAAATATTCAAATTAACTATTTTATGTGCTAGTACTGGGTATAGTACTAGCACCTATACCTATTTATACTATACTAGTATAAATACCTATATACTATATAGTATATAGGTATTTATAGTGGTACTGCATAATCCCAGTGTTAAAGACTAAGGTACTACAGAGTAATGGTTGACCCTACAACAAAGACAGTATGCCTCCTTGAGTGGCTATATATGCAACTGTAAAATTTTGTTCCTATATTTGAAAAGAATATATACAGTACTATACTGTATTCTATATTACATCAATATTAGTTATAATTAAGTTACTGTAAAATCAGTGGTCCTCGTGATTGATTTTTATCAAACTTTGCACATTACAGTACATCCAATAACTCTTCACAAATTACTGTACATACTGTACTATGGTTTTATGTCAAGTCATTAATTTGACTTATAAATATTATGAATTGTACAGACAAGTCAAATGTTCTTACTGAAAGACCTAGGTAATTATTTGAGCAGAAGTTCAGCAAAGTTGATTCCTTTCCTTGAACGGTAATCTTCACCGCTTGTTTGCTGGTAATGACACGTTCTGTCTTCCATGTGCCTGCTGCCCGTATGCTATCCAGTTCACCACCTAGGATATCTCTACATGCTGCTTGGGCATGGCTTAAACGTACTCCCTTACAGCAATTTTTTATGTGAACTGCATCTGTAGAATATAAAAAGAAATGAGAAATGTTTGCCAGAATGTACTGGTGAACCTCCTTACAAACATGAATGATATAACCAACACAATCTTTCGTAAAGTGTTAAGGACTGCCATTACTGTATTATATTATATATATATATATATATATATATATATATATATATATATATATATATATATATATATATATATATATATATATATATATATATATATATATATATATATATATATATATATATATATATATATATATATATATAATAAGCCAGTTTTCATGAATTAATGTTTTTTCGTCTACCTAACCTACCTAACCTAACCTAACCTAGCTTTTTTTGGCTACCTAACCTAACCTTACTATATAGCCTGTGATGAAATACTGTACATATTTTGAAGTATGAGTCAGTGTTTGAACAGTACATCATCAAGGACATCTTGCTGACCACAAGATATGACATGACTCAAAGTACAAAAGTACCTCTGGATTATGGCACAGACAAATACTGTATTACAAAATTGTTAATGATAGTTTACTCGACTTCTGTTGATGCCCATAATCTTTGCTATATTATAAACATACAACATATATTTGCACAGCTGTAAATGTGTGTGGAAATCAGTAAAATACCCATTTATCTAAGAGACCAGTGCAAGGGAGTCCAGATACTTGAGGTGCAACAAAACTCGGCATAACAAATGTATTTCATTAGTACTGTATAGTACAGTACAGTACAGTGTACTGTACTGTATATTTATCAGTATTGTATGTACAGCATCCATTCCAGAGACATTATTGATCATCTCTTAATTTATACAATAACTTTTGCAATAAACCAAACTACTGTACTTTTTAATATAATGAGAACTTCAATAACTAAGTGCCCAGAAGCCAGCAACTTTACACTATGGTGCTTATTACTTAGAAATAGGTCAGCTGCATATAAATTTTGAGCAACTACCTTTATTATCAAAATATCTTTCAATATCACCCAGCTCTAAATGACTTACACTGTGCCACAAAGGCCTAAATGATGCGATAACTATTGAATTTTACTAGTATCACAAGTCTTTCAAATGTAGACTATTTTCTTAGTCTTGTTCCTTGCACTTCAACAATAGGCCTAGACAAATCTGTAAAGCCATTCTCTAGATACTACACAAATTTTGTTAAACAAATTCAGTGAATTCAGTACAAGGTAAACAGACTCCTCAGGGAATACCTATTATAATTACATACATCAAGAGACCTAGCGAGACACGCAAGGTCATAATACACAGTACCTGTACTGTACTGTGTATAATCACACACATTTAAGGCTAGTCCCAGAACTAAGAAGCATGAGTTACGAGGAAAGGCTGAGTGAGATGCACCTCACAACACTAGAAGACAAGAGTAAGGGGAGACATGATCACTACCTACAAAATTCTCAAGAGGAATTGACAGGGTAGATAAGGATAAACATTTCAACATGGGTGGTACACAAACAAGGGGACACAGGAGGGGAGGGGAGGAAGTCCTTCATGAAACAGACAGAGACAGATCTGGGAGTTGATATCACACCAAACCTGTCTCCTGAACCCCACATCAAAAGAACAACATCTGCAGCGTATGCAAGGCTGGCTATCATCAGAACTGCCTTCAGGAACCTGTGTAAGGAATCATTCAGAACCTTGTATACCACATATGCAAGACCACTCGTGGAGTATGCGGCCCCAGCATGGAGCCTGTACCTTGTCAAGCACAAGGCAAAGCTTGAAAAAGTTTAGAGGTATGCTGCTAGGCTAGTCCCAGAACTGAGGCATGAGTTACAAGGAAAGGCTGTGGGAAATGCACCTCACGACACTGGAAGACAAGAGTAAGGGGAGACATGATCACTACTTACAAAATTCTCAAGAGGAATTGACAGGGTAGATTAAGATAAACTGTTTAACTCGGGTGGTACGCGAACAAGGGGACACAGGTGGAAACTGAATACCCAAATGAGCCACAGGGACATTAGAAAGAACTTTTTCAGTGTCAGTAGTTAACAGATGGAACACATTAAGCAGTGATGTGGTGGAGGCTGACTCCATACACAGTTTCAACTGTAGATATGATAGAGCCCAGAAGGCTCAGGAATCTGTACATCAGTTGAATGACGGTTGAGAGGACCAAAGAGCCAGAGCTCAAGCCCCACAAGCACAACTAGGCGAGTACAATTAGGTGATTACACATCCTTAGTCACCTGGAATGACATCCTCCCTTCCATCCCCTGCCAAATGGAATTCCCTTCCTCTCTCGAGTGCACACTGTGTGCATAGCACGAGCATCTCAATATACCACACCAAGGAATTTCTTGAGAGGATCAGTTAATCTAACCATGAAGACAGTTACCTCATTTTATGTTGAAAATATTCAAGTAAAATTTCAAGCTTTATTCAAGTTTTTCAATTTCAAGTTTTATTCAAGTTTTTCAATGATACAAGTGTTTTAACAATTATAAAATGAGCTAGCAAAACACCTGTACAAGATTTGATGTAGTCCCCATATGGTTTGGTTATACAGTACTGTACTGTATTACTGTACCGGAATTACAACTTTTGACTAGCACTTTACTACTGTAAAAAATTATAGCCCTGGATACCTGGTTGTTAACCGACTGGTTAGCAAAGCTCTCAGCTTTGCTAACAGGAGTCAGTAGTCGTCTGCTCCTGTACTGTATACAAAAAAGGTGGCGAGAAGTTTACTACATAGGCAAAACATGTGTAACAAAGGCAAACAACTCATACATAGTGTTGACATTATACAGCAATAGCGGGTAACACTCACTCCTCCAGCTGGTGACTATTGCAGCCATTGTGACTTTGTGCGGCGTTGATGGCGCCCTTATGTGAGTGTGGTGTAACCTGTGATGCTTCCCGTCTCCCTGCAGCAGCACCAGCACCCTCAACACCTGCTGCTGCTTCACTCCTCAACACACCACGTAAGAAGCCGGCCGGTATCTACAAGCACAAGCGGCAAGGTGAGCACTCAACACGGCCCAACACCCAGAGGATCACTGCTTATTCTGGTTAAATGAAAGCTCAGGGTGGGTTGGGGGTGGGGGGAGCAGCACCCACTGCCTACATATCCCTTTACAACTAATATCACGCTACAAATACAACCAACCTCCTTCAACATATAATATATGTCAAATCCCGAAAGATACTTGCAAGTATTTACGTGTTTAATACTAATGGTCTCAAACTGTTGACATTTACTAGCAAGGAAGGAAAAATTGTCCCAAATAACTGAAGTTCGGCATTTGGGAGCAGAGTGAGCGAGCCAATGGGAGCAGTTGGCAGGGTACTACGGTCCACCATAAATAACCATTACCAGCCTGTTATACCTACCATCACCTCTCAATTACTAGGGTCTGTATTTTCCTGTCATGTGCCTATAGAACATGGACTGCTTCACCCAAGCATTTTCCTTAGCTTAGTACAAGTCGAATAGGCACTAAATTAGGCCTAAAATTGTGTATGTTAAGCTTAGAATTTATTATTGGGGGGGGGGGGCTATGATAGGTTAGGCTAATTATTGTCAGTTTTACTTTTTTTACGCCCTTTGGGTTTCCAATAGTACAACAGTCTATATTTTGTACATTTCCTCTAAAATAAATATAGGTTGTATAATTTTTGAAGGGTAGGTTGTACGGTATTTTAAAAAGGTTCGCGCAAATATGATTGTCAAGTCAAAGACATGATCTTTCTGAACAAATTATGTGGAAAGGCATTACTGAACTCTAATATAAAACGAGACCTAGAAGTGGTTTTGGATAGTAAGCTGTCGCCAGAGGAACACAAAGAACAGTGTGAGAGGAGCGAATGCGTCGCTTTTCAACTTCAGATTTGCTTTTAACTATATGGATGGTGAAATACCGAAGAAACTGTTCATGACTTTTGTGAGACCAAAACTAGAATATGCAACAGAAATATGAATATGCAGTACGGTGCCCAAATCTCAAGAAACACAAAGAAACTGGAAAAGGTGCAGCAGCATGCTACAAAAAATGGCTTCCGGAACTGAAAAACAAAAACAAAAAAATACGAGGAAAAACTGGAGACATTAAACATGCCAAAACTAAAAGATAGAAGAAAAAGAGGTGATGCCACATACAAAATTCTAACAGGAATCGACCAAACTGACAAGGAGGAATTCCTGAAACCAGCAACACCAAGAACAAGAGGACACGGTTTCAAGCTAAGGAAACAGAGGTGCCCAGAAAAACATTAGAAAGTTTTCTTTTGCAAACAGAGTGGTAGACGGTTGGAACAAGCCAAGTGAGACAGTGGTGGAGGCCAAAACCGTCAGTAGTTTCAAAGTGTTATACGACAAAGAGTACTGGGAAGACGGGACACCACGAGCGTACGGTTAGTACACGAACGAGGGAGGGAATTATCAGGGGCAAACGCCAAGTCATTACGACTATATAGCACTTGGAAGGGATCAGGATAAGGACCTGGTATGGGACGGGGGGAAGGAATGGTGCCCGACCACTTGGACGGTCAGTGACTGAACGCCGACCTGCATGAAACGAGACTGTCCTGTATGTAAATCTATGTATAGATATACAGGATCTCATCCTGTAACTACACTTAGGTAATTACACTCACGCGCGCGCACACGTCTCAAGGTGACCTTCAATATCAATTCCCAATAATATCCGACTGAAAAATTGTATAAAAAAAAGGTTTGCTCAAAGTAGAACAATAATGAAAGGCAGCACACAACTTCCCTTGTCGCCGCCGCCACCTTGATCGGTACACGTCCTCCCACTAGTGTTTCTTGGCTTCTTTCCTCAGTGTTCGGCTACGATCAAGTTGCGCACAGCTGATCACGGCTACAGTCTGAAAGAATGTAGAAATACTCATGTTACGAGTAGTATACATTACCAGACGTGTTATCAGGAATACACCCGAATGTAGTACAAAGCAACATGGGAGCACGTGTGTAACTTGTACGATAATCTGAAATAAGTGCACACACTTCAGTTTCACTCATTTCAAAAGTTATAAAATGAAACGCAATCTTGATTGAGCTACAGTGGATTGTAACAACTAAACTTTAACACCAACTGGTAAAAATTGGTAAAATTTATCAATAATTATCGTTCTACATACCAACAGTTGGTGGCCATCTTTCCTGGCCTGTACGTAATATATCAAATATGAATACAAATAAAACTCCACGAAATTATCAGGAATACACCCGAATGTAGTACATAGCAACATGGGAGCACGTGTGTAACTTGTACGATAATCTGAAATAAGTACACACACTTCAGTTTCACTCATTTCAAAAGTTATAAAATGAAACGCAATCTTGATTGAGCTACAGTGGATTGTAACAACTAAACTTTAACACCAACTGGTAAAAATTGGTAAAATTTATCAATAATTATCGTTCTACATACCAACAGTTGGTGGCCATCTTTCCTGGCCTGTACGTAATCTATCAAATATGAATACAAATAAAACTCCACGAAAACAGGCGAAGCATGTAGATAAACACTAAGATGATAATATAATTGTAACTAACATTTCGACTGTAAGGGTCGTATCAAACCTAACCACAGGTACAAGCAGTACTTGCTAGTAACGATAAGAGGTACGGGAGGGGTCTTAGAATCAGTGGGTTGAGGGCAGGGATTGCGTTACAATGTTTAAGTGTGAAGTACTAATTTAACAAGATTCATTCTTCCTTAATAAGCTGAATAATCCCTCATGTCTCACTTTCACACCACCATCTTGATCATCCCTTCCTCGGTGTTTTTCCTTTATAAGTACCAATTGATTTGACAGTCGACATACATGCGAAACGCCATCTATAAACTATATCTGCTCTTATTTTCTGGTTTCTATATCAATATTTCGTGTTCACTACTACTAAATGCCAACGAAGCATGTGGGTGAGGCTACGGTCTGTGGAGCCCGTTGACCGAACAGTTACTTGCAATGATCCAGCATTTTTTTTTTTTTTTACTGAAGGAGTCTGGCGCAATTCACGTGAAGAAAAGCTTAATAACTTCTTTTTTTTACGAGAGTGTAAATAGCGCTCAGCGTAGAGAGTATAACTTATTGAGGCTTTCAAGACGACGCGACATGCGACCTCTAATCCATGCTGATCTAATGAAACAATGTTCACCTATGTTGACCAGACCACACACTAGAAGGTGAAGGGACGACGACGCTTCGTTTCACAATCGACTAGAGAATGGTACAGGACGGACCGAAACGTCGTCGTCCCTTCACCTTCTAGTATGAGGTCTGGTCAATCTATATCCCCTACGCACAAATATAAAGTGCATCAGATTTAAGGGGATTAATGGGGAAACATTTTCTATCATCCTGGAAATAAAACGTCTTCCTGTGACAGTAACTGAAGACATAATATACTTCCCAACGTCAAGTGCAACAAAGCCGTAACGCCCTTCAAGTTAACTTGATACCTAGGCGGGATTACCATCAAGATCTTCATATTCCCTGAACCACAAGTTCAAGCCTCACCTAGACCTTGATCATGGTCGCGGAAACCACCAGACACCTCGATCGTCTCCGGCTGGCGCTGCTTGCCCATGACCAATGTGCCTTTATCTTATTCTATTTATCATTATATACTGTGCAGGCTGATTCATTACAAATGCATATTTAAATAATACGGAACAAAAGGACTAACAAGGACAGATAAAAAGCATTGTGTAGAGGTGTTGGGTTCAAGTTACAGCCCCTCTCCTGTGTTAGGTAAGTCCGCTACGGGCTTACCATAGCCCGTGCTACTTGGAACTTTTTGTTCCAAGTAGCGAATCTTAAACAGCAACAACAACAGGTGCTGGGGGAGGTGAGTGAACGGCCGGCCTGATGTGTGTGTGGTGAGATCAGCTGAGGCCAGGGGTAGTGTTCTGTGGTCACATAACGGCCCGCCCAACCTCATGCCGCCTTCCTCACCACACTCACCGCAGCCACCACCACTACCATCACACTCACTATCACCACCACCGTTAATAATCATAATCACAGATGTCACCACCAACACTATTGCCCACTCTACCTACACTCACCACAACTGCCACCACCACACTTGGAGGAAGAGGCGAAGAGAGAGGGACCAAAAAAGGGTAGGGAGGTGGAGGAAAAAGGGTAGGGAGGTGGAGGAAAAAGGGTAGGGAGGTGAACAAAAAAATGTGGAAACTATTAGGTATTTCTACCTGGGATACCCAACCACAGTACCTTATTTGTAAGGTACTGTGGTGTTGTTTCTGTAGGTTTCCTGTGGCTATAAGTTTCCTTATTTTAATGTTAGTTATATCATTAAAAGAAAAATGTTGGCTCACCTTGCATTGTTTCAGCTTTCACTGGTATCACTTGAGTGTTGTTGCTTGGTCATCAATATCACAGGTCGAAGAGAAAATTCCATAAAATCTCCTGTTCATGAGGCACTGAGCAACAGTAGTAATTTACCTTCCTATTAATATAAATGGTATTACAGATACTTGATTAATGTTTCACTTGGTAATGCTAATTTTGTAGCAGACAGCTTAAGAGAGACAAGAGTGCTGGCCTCAATAAAGGAACACCAGCAACAGCACTGACATGAAAAAAAAACTTCACCAATAAGAGGGCTGACAGTAAAAAAAAAAAAGCATCACCAAGTGATTACCAAATATGTAACAATCGTCAAATCGTTTCATTACCAATCACATCACAACAACTAGGAACTGCTGCTAAAATCACAGTAACATATTAGACCTATGTAAGGCTTCATAAAATTACCCCAAATGATTTTCTGTGTGGTATTAACACTAGCAATCTTTAAAAACACTGCATATTTTATACACCTGTGCTTTGAAATGGTTGCATATGGGCCTACCTCTTGCAAGTATAATATTTAAAGTGCTAAATTTTGGTATCCTTATTGATGTTTGAACAGAAGAACTGCTACCCAGAGTCAGAAGGGAAGAAATTTATAGTGGTTAAATTATGCTTTAACATATACCAACATGGTAAATTATAAGCTATAAGGTATATTATTATCTATAGAAAACTATAGTACAGTACCAAGTTTCTCAGTAGATACTGAATCATAATCCCTTAACTCAGTTAAGAGTACTGTATTATCACATTTTAAAGAAGTCAGGCATTATGATTATGAACTGAAGTGCAGACATTCAATATTCAGTTAAAGCTGTATTTCCTCTGTGTACAACGATTCTCAAAGATAAAATAGTACATAAATTTCATAACTTATCAAAAACATTTGTGACACTGAAGAATAAATGTGATGCTTTTATCGCATACTGGTAGAATCTTGAGGTGTAGTTACATAGGAGCAAGTATTCAATGAAGGCATTCAGTAGCACAGGCTACCATCTTAGATAAATGTGCAACATTTACCTCAAATTGCCTCCAATAACCATCATTTCATAAAATAGAAGTTATCCACTCTCAAGCCTTTTCTCCATAGTTGCTTCTCAACTCCAATAGTGTTCTGCACGTGTGCTATTTCACCACTTGGCTTACAATGTGTCAACAGAAGTTTTCCTTGAATGCACTAGGTTTGGACTTGTGTACAGCCCAGTTCCATCACACCTACAGCACTGCAATATGTCTGACTTTCAACATCAGTCACAGATGGCATTATGTCAACTTACTTGGGCCATTCACCAGTCATGAATACATCAAGTGGCCAAGGATTCAAAACCTATATGCATGGCAAATAATTGGTAACCAACTTATTTTACAGAGCTTCACTTAATATCGTAAAAAGTATTATAATTCCCCTATTATAAAATTATGCATCCGTACGACACAGATTAGTTGTATCATGAATTTTAATTAAATACAATACTGAATTACAATGTAGAATGTCAGAGTTTTCAATTAATTTGGAACCTGTGCAAAATGAAACAAAATTGTATTCAAGTGAATGACTCTCTCTGACATATCAACCAACAGAAATATTCATATCATATGGCATTAGATAACATCAATACCAAAGTCACACTTAGATGCTATGAGCACTGACCAACACTAATGGTATTCACAAGTTTCAACATTCCCATTAAATTTGTGAAAAAGTACCACAAACTTATTTTGTATTAAAATTGGAAGTACAGTATTGTTTAACTTCTTAAAACACTACAACAATTAACAATTCTTACATCACTAAGTCACTATACCAAGGTATAGTGACAAATAGGTAATTTTTGTAGGTAATGGAGTTCTCATACTGAATGATCATTCTTACCAGTAATGGGCAATCTCATATTGAATAATAATTTCCACAGGTAATATTAATTCTCACTGGTAATGGGGGATTCTGCAGGCAGTGACAATTCCTCACAAGTAATGGTCATTCTTACAGTAAATGGGGATTCTCAGAGGTACCTGATATTATTGCAGGTAATGGGGGATTCTCAGAGGTAATAGGAATTCTCATAGGTAATGGTCAGTCTTACAAGTAATGGGCATTCTCACAGGTAATGGACATTCTCACATGTAATCATCATTCATCGAGATTGAGATGAGCTCATTCTCACAGACAATGGAAATTTCCAAAGGTATTGGGTCTTCTCACAAGTAATGAACATTCTCACATATATAAATAGTGCCAAAACATTTAGATTGATAACCAGATCAGCAAAAAATGATACATGATACTCTTATACAAGCATGCAAAACATGATTGCATAATATTTAATCAACATTGGGTCAAAGTTTTCAATGTACTGTATATTCATTGTTACACCAACGTCATCTGGCTAGATTTGCCTGGGAGGGTGGGTTGGGGGGTTATATCTGCTAATGAATTTCTAGTTTTATAAGTTTACTCTTAAAAGTTTTTAAAGTAATTTTTTTCACAAATTACATTAGTGTTGGTTTTTATCCTAAGTTATTATATCTGCGAGAAGACAGTACCATTACTGTACTTAAAAGTTTGAATAAGGACATTCTTTTTCCATAATCAGAATCAAGTTAATTTAATGAAAACAATCTGACAGTTCTATGAAGTCCTTCCCATTTTGTATGTAATTATTAATGCAAACAATGAAGCAAATTTAATGTTTATACTGTATATGCAAATTTAATAATTTCCCATTTTATACAGAACTTGTACTATTAGAGTGTTGTGTGTATACAGTATTTAAATTTTCATTAACCTTCAAAGTTGCTATGAGTAATATTCAGTATAAAAACCAGCGTTGAATGTAATGAAATGCCAATTTCTAGGCGAGCCCCAGTGGCTCCCTGAAGCTACTACTATCGCTAATAGTGTGCTAAACTACTAGGCGCCATCAGTTGCGGATTCTTTTAGGCCTGCCGGGACCACAAGACAGAACCTGGCCACTCAAAAGAAGTACAAAGAGCTGTGGCACTTATAAAATTACAGTACTGTGAATTTATTTGTCTGCGCCACAACAAACCACGTTTGGTTAGAAGCTAGACTGCAGCCTCAGGAACCACCAAAAGAACTCCCACAATAATGATAAACAAACGATAAATTCCCCAAACTAGCAGTACAGTAGCTCGCTTGCCCAACTTCCCCCCCCCCCTCATTTGGTCGGAGTAGGAAGGCAGCCTGGAGTCAGCTGGCTGATCTACCCTCAGTTCAAATGATGAAAACACCTAGGATGCTCTGGGGAGGGAGGGGTGTCAGGAAGCCACAGGGGCTTATCCAGAATTTGGCATTTCATTTCATCCAACAATTTTCATTACATGCAGAGTCCAGCTCCAAAGAGGCGGGGACCAAAACTGGAGCGAGTATATTATTGGGATAATCTACTCGCTACAGACAATATCCCCTGGTTGAGACAATGAACCATGGGGGAAACAGTCTGTTGAAGCCAGACTATTCAGCTGGGAGGAATCTGAACTTTCCACAGTTCCCGAACTGTACTGTGCACTCGACGAAGGAGTAGAGACCAATGATCCTGGCTGGCTTGGTGAGTGTTGGTCATAAAGCCCTAACTGAGAGCTGAGGAGTCATGACAAAACATTAAGAGAGGGTGGAGGATGGTACCAGGACACCAACCCCAAGAAGCCTGAAGAAGAAACCAGTGACGCAGCAACCAGTGAAGGGCCAATGATCATAGCAGCAGCAAAAGGGGTTGCCCCCAGAGAAACCAGAATAGCATCTGAAGCCAAATCTCGCCCTAGCTGAAAACAGGAAACCAGAGCCAGTGACAAAGCACGATCAGGAACACACTGCCATTAGAAAGAACTGAGGGTGGATCAGCCGGCTGACTCTTGCCTCCCTCATCCACCCACCAAACTATGGTGAGGTAGGGAGAATGATCTCGCTCAAGTTTTATTAATTTTCTATCATTTGTTTACATTGTTAGAGGAGTTCTTTTTGCAATTCTCAAGGCTGCAGTCTAGCTTCTAACCAGCAGTTGTCTGTTTTGTTTCACTGACTTTTTGGGTGCTTCCCTGGTGGAAGCAAACACAAATAAGGTCATAGTATTGTAATTTTACAATAAGTTATCTTGAGGTTATCTTGAGATGATTTCGGGGCTTTTAGTGTCCCCGCGGCCCGGTCCTCGACCAGGCCTCCACCCCCAGGAAGCAGCCCGTGACAGCTGACTAACTCCCAGGTACCTATTTACTGCTAGGTAACAGGGGCATTCAGGGTGAAAGAAACTTTGCCCATTTGTTTCTGCCTCGTGCGGGAATCGAACCCGCGCCACAGAATTACGAGTGCCCAAAGTGCCACCACTCCCTGCACCTCTTTTGAGGGGCGCCAGGTTTTGGCTTGTAGTCTCCAGGTAGACCTAAAAGAACTCTGTGACTTCTGGCAACTAGTAGTTTGGAACATTATCAGAGATTACTGCTTCAGGGAGTCACAAAGGGCTCCCCAGAGAAAAGTAATAATGCCCCAACTTTGTTAACTGAGGTTAGAAGATGGGAAAAATTCCTAATTTACAAATAAAAACTCGCACACATACATGCATGCACATTACAAGCAAAAATGTTTTATAACAAAATACAGTTCTCACAATAATTCATTATAGGTCTTATTTTCTGTATGTCAGACTGATTATGCTTAATAATTAACACATTTCTACTTGTTGGATTTAATTTGAACATGCACAACCTTTCAACATACAATTTCTATCTCAATGTAAAACTTACAGCCAGGGGTGTATTCCATGCAACACCCCAAAGTTGAAGATAAATATTGGGAAAAGCCAAAAACAGGAAACCTTTTACTCTATTACAAGGTTGCCACTTGGAGAAAACTAAAGCTACAATTACCCCAAAATATCCACAACTCCTATCATGACAGATAATGTAAGGATGGAAGGGTAATTGGTGAAATTTGCTTTTAAATACAAAATAAACACGCCCGATGTGCTGAAATTTCAAATTGAAACATACTGTGGTGAAATAAAGTACTGTACTGGAGAATATCAGGAAATTTAATAACTTTGACTGAAATTGTACTAAATAAAGACAACAGCGGAGGGAAAGCTCAAGGAAGAAAGGTGACTGGATATGATAGAAAGATTAAGAAAGAAATAACAGAGTTTAAGATCCAGTAGGAATGATGGAATTTAGACAAATGGCAATGAGCTGGGATAGGGGTATATTTCAGTATACTGTACCTGGAGCAAACCTGAGAGAGGAGAGGAGAGGAGTGTGCTGAGCACTCAACACTCTTCTCAGTGCTGAGAAGAGACAAGTAAATCTAAAATTCAAGCAGTTGATATGAGCTGAATAGCATAAGAATACATGTGGTATTAGAAAGAGGGTAGAAACAAATAACAGGAAGTGTGAGCTAAAATGAAAGGCAAAGAAATGATGTTCAGAGCAGAGGAGTTGGTAAATGATAAGATACTGTATTACATAACAATTATTTGACATGCTTAATGACGAATGATAAGAATACAGTACCAGAATTAAGAGGAGAATACATAGTATCACGAGTTGTAGAAAGTTATCCAACTTTTTAGAGAGAGAAAGTAGTGGAGTACACATGAAAAAGGTGCTATGAAAACCTATAAAAATACGAGAGCAGGTTTAAGATCAATGTTTAAAAAGGAGTTCCTGAAGGGAACAGCTACAGGTACACAGCCTATTGTGGCTGCCTCCTCAGAATGTAAATCCTGGAGGCAGATATATAGAAAAACATATTTTTTTTAATTCTGAATAATATTAAAATCTTTGAATGTACTATATGCCAGGGTTCCTACACATATCCAATGGTTTTTTCTATGCAAACTTTCTGAGTTTTAGTGACTAAATTCTTAATTGTTTACAATGAACAGGCTGTAAATTTAAAATTGCAATACAAAAATAAATAAGAATACAGTACTGTATAGACAAACCTGATACGAAAGAGAAACACACAATCCTCTCTTTCTGGCAAAGATGGCCTCCTCCTCCCCTTACAGCCATCCGATCCACCCACATAAAATCCATAAATTTAAAAGAGTTGCCAGGAGTGAAAATAAAGTTTTTGTATTTTATCATTTTTGTCCCTATTTTCCCTGATTATGGAACCCTAATAATAAAAAAAATGAAATAGATATAGTACATCTTTGCCAGTACAGTAATTACATCACAAACAATAAAAGCAGCACTACTATCCACTAGTATAAGCCATCCAAATCTTATATATTGTTGAAAAATTCATTTGCTTATTTGAAGGCCTGGAAAAAGCTTACAAATAATGGAATTTTTTTCTATATTTAACTAGGGGACGGGGAGGACTACCACATACATACTGTAATAAGGAGGACTGATATTGGATTGAATTCTGGAATATAGGTACTGTAAGAGACAAGTAAGTAATCATCCAAAGAAGGTGGCAAGCCCGAGAGACTATATAGCACAAGTGACAGACAAGCACTAGAACCTGAAGGTTGTAAGTGCTAAAGAGAACCATGATATGTATATACGTCACTGTCTAGATTTAGCGAGCAAGAACAATTATTTAAAGAAGTGCCGGACCAACCAGGCTGTGGTGGATATGTGGGCCTGCGGGCCACTCCGAGCAACAGTCTGTTGGAAAAAGCTCTCACAAGTCACGCCTAGCCTTGGGCCAAGTGTGGGGAGTAGAACAACTCCCAGAACCCCATCAAGCAGGTATCAAGCAGACAGGTGCAACATCAATAATGATAGTTCCTCCGGCATAAAGTTTGTCAAGTAGCAAGAAATGGTTTTGAATCATTACCCAATATTTAAAGAAATTTTGTTCTTATAAAAATCTGTTATCTTTAGCATAATAATGTACTACATATTGTCTTCTGAGCAAGTATTTAGTTTAGTTAAGGTTTTTGGCAAAATGGTTAAGTTCCTGACATGTAAATGTTATCATCTCTTGCAAATATAGTGAACTTAATTTCTTATTATGTAAAACTAGTCTATACAACTATACTTGATTACAGTAGTACCTCAATGGTACAACAGTGTATGAATTACACCACTGCCACTATGGTACAACAGTGTATGAATTACACCACTGCCACTATGGTACAACAGTGTATGAATTACACCACTGCCACTATGGTACAGTAGTATATGAATTACACAACTGCCACTATGGTACAGTAGTGTATGAATTACACTGCCACTATGGTACAGTAGTGTATGAATTACACCACTGCCACTATGGTACAGTAGTGTATGAATTACACCACTGCCACTATGGTACAGTAGTGTATGAATTAAGGCTGCTGATTCTCAATCCATCAATCTAAGTTTTATCAGACATGGGGTAGTAGGTATAAAGCTCACTTAGCTATTCATCCTTCCTTAAGATGGGTAGATAAGAAAGTACCAATTTGTGTTGGGTACTTACTGCCACATTGGTGTGGCAAACAATTTAGCAACGACGAGTAACTTTGTCTTTTAGTTTGCTACAGGTACACACATCTGGCAACCTAGTACTTCGCTCACAAGCTGAGTCTACCAAGGAGTGGTATTACTGCCAATAACATTGTCTTTTTTTTATGTACCAACATTTCCATAATTATTGCAATTTTCTGTCATGATCAGGCCTAAAAAAATGACCAAAAGTTCAATAAGTAACTATTCATAATGCAATGGGTTAGCTTTTTTAGAATCTTGTGAATACCAAAGTATTTTAAAGCAACATTACTCTTCTTCTGATGTTATGAAACACTTTAAAAGAATGTCCTATATATGACACACAAACTTACAGCAAGTAAAACATACTTTTGAAACACACAAACCAACATGAAAGCCTTAATAAGCTCTTTCACTATCGAAAGAGAAAAAATCATCAGCTAAATTTTAATCCACTGAGAAACTTGGTGCACTTGCTTTATTCCATATACCTTATTTATAGTGAGATCAATAGTTAGACAATGTATTCCATATTAGAAAAAAATTATCCTGCAGTCAGTATATAGTAGAGTTCTTCTGTTCAGAGGTCAGCATTCTAGAATTGATTGTATTCTTTTTAAATTGTGAAGACTTTTGATAAAAACAACTGTCTTGAAACATTAGAGTATATGCATAATGGAAGACCTGATACAGCTTTCTGTCAGCAGCAACAAGCACAAAACTATAACTGTAGTGAAAAATATTTAAGTCAAATGGATTCAGCTGTATCATCCTTTATAGAAAGCTGATTGCAATAGATTGTGTAGAGATAGGTCAATGCATTTTTTACATATTTTTATCCAAAATAAAACAGCAATGAATAATATTAAGATGATCTAACGTGTCTGTATGAAGATTAAAGACGTAGGTACTGCGACATGCTTTACTACAGTATTACGAATTTCAACGAGTTATTTCCTACAAAAACATTTAAACTAGGGTGGCACTTTCTTCATATATATAACATGGACAAAAAATAATAAAAAATGCCATTACTCTCTTTACATCAAAAGTGACATTTAAAGATAACTTTAACATATCAAGATACTGCTATACCAAATGCAAAACATGAATTATTGTGTGGCAAAGCCGACAAATCAAAGCAGTATTAAGTGTCTCCACACCTAATTACTTTTCAAAAAGTAATTTCTGCATATACAGTAATATCTCAGTTCTTTTGTTTTTTTTAATACCTAATGGATTATTTCATAAATCTTAATTAAGAAGGAAGTGAAGTAATAGACAATTAAAGTAAACTGTACAATCATGGCTTCAATCTTGTATGACCAGAGTATATAAGGAATTCTGACCAAACAATAACCTTCAACAATGACTGGTAATATCTCCAATAAAGTAAGAATTGAGTTTATCCACCGTTTGCTCTTGTAGATAAGATTATTCAGGAAGAGATCGGAGCTTCTCTAATTTACATTAAAGATTATAAATTCTCAAATAAGGAAGAATAATAATGAGAATAGTGTCTCACCCATAGAAAAAATAAGCCTCTAGACTTGCAGTGGTCATTAAATGGGAGGAAGGCAACTATAAATAACCCAGAGCTCGTTCTCACTATTTGTCAACTGTAATATCACTTTTGTCTAACAAGAAACATACGAACTCGGGCAACCCCTCTATCGAGGCTGATGCTCATTAGCTTCAGGAAGAATTAATTTTACAATGTTTTTAAATTTCACTTAACCACCGTAATTTTTATGTTTGGGTTGATAACATAAAAACTGGTAAATTAAGTGAGAGAACAGGTTCAAATAACAACATCTATTATATAATATATACATACTAACAAACTAAATGCAATTCCACAAAATTGATTCTACTGTGTAAACTAAACACTGAAGAGAAAACTGTACCCGTAGCTCTCAAATTGTTTGGCTGTACAATACAGTATTGTATTGTTCATAACTTGATAATACATATCAAGTATCATACTACCAAAAAGAAGGGAAAAAACAGCCAATCTATCCTAAGATCACAAGAAAGAGAATACTTTGAAAGATATAGAGAGAGAGAAAAATAAAAAGGCATTTCTTCAGCTATTAATATGCCAGCTGATATCATGTCCCAGGAGAGTTCCTCTAAAAAGAGAATATATATATGTGCCAGTAAATAAGAAAATGACTAGCACATAACTGATGCCTACTATATACAGTATACTGTACTTAAATACTGGCAAAACTGGGCAGCTCATGGTTCATTAACTTTTTGTACTGTTATTGTTGTCTTTCCTACTAAATGTTCAGTTGCAGTGACTTGCCTTTATCTTTTCTCCATAATACCTTAATCATCACTGAACACATTATAACACCAAGCAAATGGCATCATAAAGTTTTGTTTTCTCGAAACTAATTCATGAGAATTCTTGCAGGAATTGTATATTTACAATGCAAATAGTATGATATAACATACTATATAATCTTTGGTGTCTATTTAGTTCCAAGCCCGAAACTTACTATAAACTATTTAGTCCATGCAACCCCACTTTTTTCCTTCATATATTCTGCTGATACTTCAAAACATATACCTAACATACACAAGACATACATACATACATACTGTATGTATACAGTATTAAAACATACTCTAAACCCCTATCTACTGGGTTTGCTTAATTGTTTAACTTAATAATATCCCACAGGGATTACTGATAAATTATGATGACTCTAATATGGTCAAAGAGCCATTATATAATTTGCAACTATTACCCTTAAAACAGGTATACACTGTCAATGACATAGCCACTGAAGATCTCTTTCATTCAATTAGAATGCTTTACAAATAAATATCTTAAGTATGATATGTAACTCTTTCATCCAATATGGACTTCATTTAAAGTACTGTAACATATAATACAGTTTCAATAGGAATTATTTGATGAGCTCATTGCTCATATATATATATATATATATAGACTAGCGTTTATAATGAAAGCATATCATTGGAAAACTATTGCAATACATTTGCATAAAATGCCCTCATTACAATAATAATATAGCACCAAATTTACTGTGATTACTAAATAGCAGTCAACCAAAATTCTATTCACATATATCCATTGAAGGATCTGTTCACCCTTTGATTCTTAAATTATCTCACACACACAAAAAGTAGAGACCATTTCATAATAATATGTTAGCCGCACATGAGACTCCAAGATGCTGTTAGTCTTCTCTGGACCTCATCTATCATCATACATTAGCAGTTCATTAACTTCTTTTAAAAATTTTCTCTTTCTTTAATTGATTAGGTTCATCAGAACTTTACAATAAAGGACTCTAAAACAACTGGCTGCATGTGTGTCTTTTAATATCACACCAACAACACTTATACATAAACTAAATATAATATATATTTCTTATAGCTATATTGCGCAAATACAATGTATGTATATTCTTAGATTGTTAGCCCTCATGTATTGGCAAACTCTGCATTCTAATTATATCATAACTGTTTCTTATGACAATTCATAAAGATGATGAATATCATAATTACAATTGAAAGTTCTGCAATAAAACCTAAGACCTAACAAATGGAGGAAAACATTAGCAGGTACAGTATTAAAGAACTGATCAATCATTATAGTAGTCCTATAATCAACAACATTTTTAACACCAGAGAAAACAACTGTATTAGTGTTCCTCAAGAGTCAAGCTGATCATCTTTCTCAAGTAGAGATCTGACTGCGTGGTGCACTTCACCTTCAGTGTAAACATGAGAATGAACGAGTCGCCTTCTAACGTTTAGAAAACACATCTTGATAGCATTACATAACTGGTAAGTCACATGCATTCCTTGGTTTTTTTCAATCCAGAAAAAGCAACACAGCAGCAGCAGCCAGTTGTAACAAGGATGATATAATAACTTTTATGGGCCATGGCAAAACACAGCAGCTACAGCAACAACAGTAAGACCAAGAAGCATAATCTTAATTCTTTCAAAGGTGTAAGATGTTCTCTAGTCACAGTTAAACAAGAGTTCTGCTTTCAATGCCAAAATAACATAATTAACACTTGCCTCTATTTGCATGAACATTGTTGCTCCCGAGACAACTCATCCGAGTAAGGACGAGTGTGAATCAAGAATGCAGATTAAAATATCCATGTTAATTTCTCCAACAATAGAGATGCTCAGTCTGGCATGGTTCATAGCCTATTGACTTGTAAATCATATGGAAAAACAAATATCTTGGGGTCACATATAACTTACAGGACAATACCAGCTATATAATCATCAACACACTGGCACCCACCACACTCACAAATGTGGATTAGTGGCAATATAACAAATCATGGCAAGTGCTTTCAATGAATATTTCAGTGATTGTGATTATGTTATGAAAATCCTCTCAAAATGGAAGATTTTCCATACATATATTCATACCTACTAAGGAAATATCAACCAATAAAGAAGACTTCACAACACTAATCTTTCCAAATATGTAATGAACATGAAAATTATAGTTTTCATTAAACTATAATTAGTCTGAATAAAAGAATATGTACCCAGTACATATACATTTTAATTATGCTTCTCTCACAAAGTACAGTACATGAAACACAGTCAAATAATAACAGGTGGCAGCACAGTGACAGCAGGAGTGTACTTCAGTACAGCACAGAACATAAATTGTACACCTCATGGTGGCAGAGGTAGGGCAGAGGTGCTATAGTGCTTTTCAGGGATCCGAGTGCAAGATGATTCTCTTGTCGAACTGTAGTCTTCTATGATGACAGGAATTGTTTGATAGTACACGATTCCCAATAAATCCACTTACATAATTAACCAAACATTACACTAAACCATCATGACTGACAATGTCATTCCATTCGGAACATTTATCCTGAATGTTTAAAGTAACAAGAAGGAAAGTTTCCATCACTCACATAAAATAGCTTTCCCAAGCCAATGAATTATTATTTACTTAGAATAAAACTTTGAACCATGTATGAGAAACAAAACGTGACTAACCAAAATTGCATTTAAGCAAGCGCTTCTCATTCAGTATATCACTTCATCTCTAGTCAAGAAGGTACAAGTACTGGTAACTTAAAAAAAGATATTTATGCATAACTGAGAAAAGTGCATACTAAAATGTCTGCAGCTACATAAGGTAAGTCACATTTACAAATTAAAATAAAACTTTGCCAAGATATGCTACCCTTTCAAGAAAGGGGAATTCCTGGAAGGGACATGGCATCAAAGATACCAGTAGGTTGAAATTAATGCCACAAATTCTGTTACTTTTCAACTTACACATACAGTAAATAAAAGGGGACCTATCAAGAAATACAATCACAATAATCGATACAAATTTGAAGGCATTTTCAAAATGCCCTAACACTACGAAAAACTATATTTATCCTTCAAGACCTTCGAATAATTAAAAGTACAGTATTAAAGGCAGTCCAAACAATGTCATCACTGAAAATGGGTTACAGCATTATATTTGCTCTTATGAATGACATATTTACCATTCTCCTGTTAATTTTCTGGTAGAATTTAGCAGCAACCTCTGCCACCCTAAATCTTATGATGCACTCACGAGAACCCGGCACATAGTCAACACTCTGAAAAAGATTTATTTACTTTTATTTACTTACTAAAAACGTTTTCTCCAAATTACTGCGAATATTTTTGAGACAAAATTTTAAACCATTATTTTAACCTAAGTGGATTTTAATTTATGCCTCTCAATTTATTACTTGGTGGGTATTCCTCATAACCTATTAGTTGCAAGCCATAAATTGTAAATCCAAGTCCCCACTGTAGCACTATCTACCCTTTAATAGACAACCAGTTCCATAGACTTACAAATGTATTTTATCTTTCCTGCATTGTGAAACTGATATTTCACCATAATTTTCATGGTCTGGTGAAAAGTGGCAGGATAAGTTAAAAAAAAAAAAATTAACCCATTCATTATCTTTACATTTTGTTTGCAAATCTTAATAACTTAAATAAAGTATATAACTTAAGACCAAAAATAAACTATCCAGTAAAACAATGGCATGTCATAAATCTATTTCAGACTCTCATGGGAGGTTAAAGAAATACTACAATACTGTACATGAAAACAAACACTCTTATAAAAGATTTCGAGACAAAACACAAACAAGCGTGTTTCCTTCAACAAGTACAGTATACTAATTATGAGAATTCGCTGTAATAAGCCGCTCAAATTGTTGAGATTCAGAAAACTTACCCTTTACAACAACTTTAGAGAAGAAACAGAGGTGACATGATCAATACATATATAAGACCGTGAGGGGAATAGAAAAACTGGATACAGGAAGCCTATTTAAATTAAAAAAGAGGTAGGACAAAGGGACATCAGTGGAAGTTGTACATGCAATTGTGTCGGTGAGGGGCAAGGAAGTTCTGGTTCCCCTTACAGGTAGTTTGTAATTTGTATGCACTGAAGAGGAGGTTGTTGAAGCCAATTTCATGCAAAACTTTAAAAAAAAAATTATGAAAACGTTAATGTTTGAGAGAGGTAATCAGTGTGTCCAATTTAAACGACTAGGATGCGGGGCATAAAGAGCAAGATTTCACTCCCTCCACTGTTACTGATAGATAACCAGGTAAGCACTGAAAAAAGTCATAGAAGCAACCTCCATCAATAACTTCAAAGCTATATGGAGCTAGACCTCACTTTACTATAGTCACTATAGGGGAGTTAAGCTAGTGCATAAAATACCTAGATGATTGCAAATAGTGTAGCAGAAGGATGGAAAAATGTAAACAAGAGGGTTGTGTAAGCTAAAACTGACAGTAGCCTCAAGGTATCACATGACAAATATTGTGGGGAAGATGGGAAACCATGAGAATAGCTCTCATCTCATAACTAACTTTGGTAATCACTGCCATCTATCCTCCAAGTAATACAAATGCCAAGCCATTGCAAACCCCTGATTCTTTGTGTGGTAAGTTTAAATTTCAAGTTTTAATACAGTTCACAGTTTCAACACAGTTAATGGGAAAACAATGATCATCTAACCAGTTTTCAGTAACCAAACAATATCCGTGGAACATATCTCACTCATTAATCAATACATGCCTGTATTCACATTTAAAAATTGCCTGAAAAGCTCCACCCAAAAATGTAGACCAAGATATTCCAAACTTAAGAGAAAAATAAATCAACAGATACCAATGAGAATACTGTATTTATATTACAAAGAAGTAAACTGAATGATGCTGATTCAAGAGATCTACAAACACACCATAAAGGTAAAATTATCAGTAAAAAAAGAAAGTATAAAACAAAGGAATGCAGCCATATCCATATACAGTATAAAAATAGGATATTGATTAAAGTATGAAAAGGCAAAGAAAGTGCTATACGTAATAACAACATGGTGAATAATACATTTCCCTAAGATCTTAAATATTAAAAAACTGTTTATTGAATATAGTCAAATAGAAAGAATGTGAAGTAGAACAATGTCGTATTAAATTTGTACATACCAAGGGTTGCCCTACCCCTGTATTAGCCACCATTCGATTGATATCAGACAAAGTAAGATTGGATGGCAAATCACAGAGCTGGACAGTGGGCAGATCATGTTCATCAGGTGATTTAGTCGTGGAGCCTGAACTGATTACCCGCCGGATTCCACCACCGGAACGATGCACAACTCCACTATTGCCAGGCTGTTGGGATCCTGCTGTCACTATGCGCCGACCCCCAGTATTTGCCTGAAAATAAAACAATTTAGTTTTAATTTTTATCATGGGTTAATTTGATATGTCTGCAACATTTTGTCTTCTATACTGTACAAATAGCATAATGTAACTGTTTAGCCCAGAATTTACATCTATAAAGTAGACAGATGTTATCTGTCAAAACAGTCCAATTAAAATGAATTCCTAACCTGTGATGACCCATCTGAAGAAACAACTGTCCTCTTTACAACTTTAACTTGTTGCTGCTGCTGTTGCTGTTGCTGCTGCTGCTGCTGTTGCTGCTGATGTGTGGACTGATTCATTTGAGGGATCTCCCGTAACTTGATCTGAGACTGTGGCTGCTGCTGCTGTTGCTGTTGCTGCTGAGGCATTGGTACCTTTCTTACTATCTGACGTAAGGTCTTGACTACAGGTACACGTTGTTGCTGCTGTACAAATATGATTTCAATTAGCATAGAAATAGTAAAATAAACCATATTAATCTTAGATGAATCAATGAGAAGTAATATGTGTACTATCATAAATTTTCTATTACAGGTATATGCATGTTCCCTCCCAAGTGAAATCGGGAGGGTGAAGCCTAGTACAAAGCCTTGTAGCACCCATTGTCCTTCAGTATCACACTGTAACATCAAGTCCAAAGTTTTGTCCAAAGTATTAGGGCACCTCACCATTATTTACAGCATACATATACACACAAACAGCTGATTTGTATCTCCATTCACTCTGGCATCATGCATCAATATGCAATCATTGTCCCAGTCACACACTCTTTTTTTCCTAACACTCACAATTTCTCTCAGAAATATGTTTACTGTCCAGTTTTTAATTATTTTTAATTGCAACCAGAAAATGTTTGATCAGTTTTATTTTCTAAATAATTCCCTGAATGTTTCATGGAATTATTCTTTGTTCTTGTCTTATTATTTTACCTTGGCAGGGAGTAATTTTCTAAAGTGAATATTTTATAATTGATTATATTGATGTATTAATTTTTTATTGGAATAACCAACCTCTCTCTTTATATTCTCTACCTTTATCTTTTCCTTTATATTTACATTCCACTTTTTTTTTATCTTTCTGTATTAAATGCTGTTTTTCAAGTTATAATTCAAAGTTTTCTACTCCAAAATTTTACATTTGCAAGATATAAACATCTTTAACTCGATCTAATATATGTTCACCACTCTCTGAATGCTCTTGCGTTCAGAAGCTTCAACAGCTTGGCCAATATTTTATTCTCTCTATGCTTTTTTACTTTTTTATCTCATGAACGATTTATGCTTCAACACTTATCTAACCTCAACACCATTATACTCTTCATTTGCATTATTACAACTGTTATTTAAAAACAAAATTTTTAGGCCATTCTTTACACTGTCAAAACTGTGGACTGTCCAAACTGGATAAAGTCTAAATCTCTTCTAAATTAATTGCCCTGATTATTTCATCTATTTTTTCACCAAAAGCCAATTCATTACTATCTATCTCATTACAAAGTCTGTTTCTACTTAGTCTCTTGATTTGACTAACAACACTAACCAGGCCAACTGTGACTCTTACTACTCAACTCTTCCCTTTCTCCCTCCTGTTCTTCCTCCTCTCTCTTAATCTTACTCATCCCCTCCTTGTCTTTCCCATTCCCTCCTTCTGGTCTTCCTTCTTCAATAATCTTTCTTATATGGCTAAACATGTTACTGAGGCCTTATATTACTGAACACATCTCAATAAAATCTTACAAAACAAAATCAATGATACAATCAAATATTCACAAATAAGCTGGTCAAAGAATTAAGTCATTTAATTATTTCCAGCTACAATACCAATACTGTATTGTATCACTGCCATGACTAATAATTTTCTGATGGGATGCCAAAGAGGGAGGCCATCAATTAAATTGTGTAATAATTAAATCTAAAGTGTTATATTTCAGGCCTTGATCATATTCTACAAATGGTTCTCAAAACAGTGTTCCAAGCATGAATAATTTACCAGTCTGTTAAGATCAAGGAGTACATTGAACAAAGGATAATGAATAATAATAAACAATTGAATAACCTTCCTGTATAATTCAAGCAGTAAACTGATACAATTGTCCCACTGAAAACTGTTTAACAGCCATTCAAAAGTATTAGAACAATCAAGGAATGTTGAAGTTTGGAACTACTTTGGATTATTCAACTCGAGTTGAGGGTGAACAGCTTTCGTGTAGATTTCCGAGATATTTGATTCAAATGAAATGACAACAGAATATGATCTATACATGCAGGATACCTTTTTTTAACAAGTTGCACATATGTTATACTCACTTGCTGCTGCTGGTTCATTAAAGATGATGTGCTTTCCACTCCATCCGAGATTGACTCACTTGCCTCATATTCTGTTATTATTGGTCCAATTGTGTTACCTTCTTCATCAACAGGAATCTATTAGATTAAAGACAGATCAAAACAGGTAGAGTAATTATTCTAAGCACTCTACCACTGAACGATAAAAATGTTTCCATATGCACATAAAATTCTTAATGTTCCTCTTACAGGCCATTTTTAATAAAATTGCAGACTGAATTTGAAAAACCTACTTTACTTCCTAAGATTGATTTATTCAAATTTTTTAAAAATAATTATGAGTCTTATTGAATTGTATCTTTTCAATATGGAATGCAGATACTGTACTGTAGTTTAATTAACCAAATTTTGTAAAACTATTGTATGTACCAGTATTACCAGGATATGTCTACAATCCTCTGACTCGTTGCTCGTTGTCAAATTATTTGCAGTATTCTTCCCCGACACCCAATTAATTAATATTAAATGATCTTAGATATTTATACTGACCTTAGATAATGATCTTAGATATGATCTTATACTTAGATAGCCTGTATACTGTCAATGCAGCATACAGGCACACCTCCAAAATCCTGATTGTATACAGTAATTATGAACCCAATCCCAATTTACATGAAATCTGAATTTATGTAAATTTGACCTTGTGTGGCTAGTTATTGCCAAATTTTCTAGTCTTCATGTGAAACTCAAAATGAAAATGAATCATAGAACATTGTTTTAATATACTCAATGATTTTCCCAAGGCACCAACTGTTTCCCATTAAGTTGTGCCAAAAATGCAATTAAACTCATTAAAAGTTTATCCTAATATTTCCCATGCCCTATTACCTTGAGATGAGCAAAATTTTAATTTCAATCTATTGCATGATGGACAACTAAAAAGATTTCTCCCTCAGTGCTAGTAATTCTCAGGATTAAGCCTCTTAAAGCTTATTTTTCTAAAATAGGACGATGATACCAAATGAACCAGGCTCATTGACTTTTCCATGCCCAAACCCTTCCTTTAATTCAAAATTTTCTACGACATCTTGAGAACGTGTTCTATAAAATAATTAAGGAAATATTGTATGGTTTCATAATCATTTTCAGACTAACATTTCTGGCACTTTCACTGACCTAAACTCTGACCTCTACTGAATGATAAAAAACACAAGAATACAAAATATTTAGAAAAAATAGGAGCTACAGGAAATTACTTAACCAAATGATCCAGATTTCACAGGGACCCCCTCTGAAGTCGGGACAATTTTCAGAAAAATTCACATTTTGGAGGGGAAATCTGGGAGGCTGTCATTTAGAGGGATACATTATAGGGTCCAGATTTGGGAGGTGCTACTGTTTAGCCAAATTTGCACATGAAATTTATTTCATTTCTTTCCTTACCTTTTTCACCGAGACTATCTCTCCCTTTAAGTTCTTTCGAGTGATTCTACGAAATTTTCGTGAGATTTTTGCAGCCTGTCTTTGGACAGTCTGAATCTTTTGCCCAACCTGGCCTTGTGTGAGAGAAGTTGCGTGTTCTTGTGGAGATGTTTGCACTACTTTAACCTGAAAATAGCAAGTGGTGAGTGAGCCAAAGCATTATCTATTGATATTATTCAAAACAAATTTTTTTTAAATAAAGATACAATTAAAACAGTGTTAAAACACCCAAAAAATAATAATAAGTTACCATTAATAATTTTTTTAAGTAGACTATATATAGTCTACTTAAAAGTAGACTATAGTCTACTAGTCTATAAGTAGGCAGGTATATATGCATTAACAATGTACTCTATGAAGGGAAGGTACAATGTATCCATCCCTTTGTATATAAAAATGTGCACCTGCCACCCACAGTATAGAAATATAGAAACATATTCCATCACATCGTGAGAAAACAAACAAAATGCTGAGTGTAGTGAAACACTCCATTCCAAAGTGGACCTCGGCTACTCTCACAGCCAGCTTCTGTATTGTCCACCCAGGACTCATATAGCCCACAAGGTTCCTGTGACCTTCATTCCCATAATGACTTATATTTTTGCAAATGTCCTGTCATGAATTTAAGGAAGGGTGACAATAGTGTGTGTAACTTAAGATATTACCGAAAGCACCAGCTGGCCGTAGTACAAAGGAATGGTATTAAATCCCTTGAAACACACCTTGTATGTGAAAATTATTAGTATATAATTAAACATAAATACTGTTCTACAAACTACTGTTAGTAGATCCAAACTACATTGGGCACCACCAGATATCACCACCATGATCACAAAAGGTTCTGGGTAGCTGGCAATCCCACTTAAGGCCTAGACCACCTAATCACAGCCAGGGATGACAGAAAAATAAAAGATGGAAAGGGAAGAGAAGGAAAGCACCTGAGGATCTGACCTAGAAATGAGTGTTTCACTATTATCACCACCCTAAGGCTAAGGCCCATAGCACACTACTCACTGATGGGATGATTTTTTTCTGCAACTTCGCAGGATGACTAAATTTTAAATTGTGCATTTAGAAAAATAAGCAAATATTTTGTATAGACTTTTGTTACATCTTATACTAAATAGCTTTACGCTTACTATGTTTGTGCTTTCATTTATTAATTCAACATATTTTTTTGGTGTTTTATTATAACCATTGTCCAGTTATAGTACAGCTATAATGAGAATGAATAAATCTGACACGGACTGTAAATTACCTGAAGATGGGGATTCTGGTTGAAAGAAAGACGCCCACCAAGTCTGCTTCTAACATCCCTAGTTCTCGTGACACCTTCATAGTTCTGCTGATAATCTTCATAACTATCTTCATCGTACTCTTCTTGTTGATACTGACCTTGTTGGTAGTCACTGTCCTGCTGCTGCTGCTGTTTTTGATAATTACTTTCATATCCTTGGGTAGATTCATTGTATGATGGATAATTGCTATATTGATCCTGATATACTTCAACATTTTGATGCTGTCCCTTCTGGTAATAATTGTCATCATAAGATTCACTGTATCCTTTACTGTAATCATTGTATGTTTGTGGATTATCCCATGATGGAGGTGGTTCATTATATTGTTGTTCAGTATTATAATCACGGTTTCCACTATCTTCATGCTGGGTGATAACAGGTGGTGGACCTCTTGGGGGAAATGTGTCAGGTTGGGGTATGAATGCATCATGATGTTGGCTAACTGATGGTCTGTGATGAAACTCTGGAGGAGGTACATGCGTGTTATGGGGAGCAGGGTGGGAAGGCCTAACAGGATTCTGAATGAGGGGTGGAGGCACATGTTGCTGTGAGGGAGGGAGACTAGGTGGCACATTAGAATGATGTTGCAAATCTGTCGGGATCTGATGGGGTGGTGGCGGTGGATGCTGCTGCTGTGCTTCAATATGATGATGTTGTGGCTGATGATGAAGATGTTGCGGGGATGGTGGAGGGTGGAGATGATGTGTTGGTGGAGGCTGGGAATGGAGAGGGGGTTGACTATGAAGTGGTGGTGGTGGTTGATGTGTTGGTGGTTGATGGGGTGGTGGTAAATGGCGCTGTGGTGGAGGCCCATGTTGGTGAGGTGGCATATCTGGCTGCGGTGGACCTTGATTAAAGTGGTGCCCTGGCTGATGTTGCTGACCAAAATGCTGCTGTCGTTGAATATCTTGTGTAAACATAGAATCTGCGTCGCGGGGTGGTGGTTCATTAAATGTTGGTGGAATTGATCTCATTTGGAATCCTGTGTTCTCACGTGACCGATTCACATGTTCTTGATGGTGTGATCGATCTACAGCCCCTGACCCTCTACGAAAGCGAACCTGGTTAGGATAAGGTCGGGGCCCACTTTGGTGCTGCATTGGTGGCATTCGTGGCCTCATGAAGCGAGGTCTTTGTTGGCCCGGTGGAGCTGGCATGCGGGGATTGCTTTGCTGTTGAGATTGCACAGTGTTTGCTACACCAGGGCCTGTAAACAAAATGTTAAATATTTAGGGAATTTGAATATATTATTTAACAATTTGCCTCAAGATTTTCATTTTAGAACATATTCACTCTGAAAGCCCTGCCAGCATATGCAGGTATTGTCTTGTTCAACTGCTGAACATTGATGCAGTTCATACAAATACTCATCTCTTCATAAACAGTATGCATCCCATCCTCTTAAAATGATAATATTTATAGCAACAACATGGTCAAACATACAGAAATGGACTGTTGAAGCCACAACAGTTAACATTTGTATTACTGAGTTAGCTCAAATGGCATACTAACAAATCTGAAAATAAAACTTGTCCAAGCAATCCTAGGCCTAATATATGCTATCTTAGGCCTAATATCATACATAAATATGCTATACTAGAACCAGGAATGTTTATGTTTGGGTTTGGCTAATAAAAATTTGAACAATGGTGGCTGCAACAGTCCATATTTGTATGCTTGACCAAATAGTTGCTATAAGTACTTTCATTCATTTTAGAAGGATGGGCTCCGGTATGACACACTTCCACTCTAGCCTAAACATGTACTTTATTGTCCACTAAGTATAGCCCTAGACTGCCAGTGTAATAACTGGCACAACTCACCAAACATGCCAAAATACAGTTCAGCCCAGTAGTTTAGTTTAGTTCATTTATTATGCACCCCATACCCATCTTGTGGGTGGTAGTGGAAAGGGTTACAACCCAGTACACTAGCTGGTTGTCAGGACTCCAAATGTTTGCCTGCTCAACAATGCACTGCTAAGCTTAAAAACATTTATAACTACAGTATTTCTACATTGTGCACCTATTTATGGTCATGAATATTTATTTAATATACAGTACAGTACCTGTATGTATATACAGTATGCACAATTGATTGACACAAATGATATTACTGTAAAAGGAAATAATTACTTGAATAATATTTATTCAATAAATATTGAAAGTAAAGAGAAATATATTCTGGAATCTATCAACTGTATTATGGCACTGGGCTGTGTGGTAGAGCAGTGGAGATCCCCTAAGCTTCACCCACTCATGAGGCTTCCCAAAAATCAGGACCAGAATCTGCTGCTCACAGCCCCAAAGCGGAGTAAAACGGGCCAGAAAGCACAGGTGAAGCACACCACCAGGTGGCAGCTAAGGTCAGACGATAAAATATGCAAAAAGAAGTAATAACGAACAAACCGAGCAATCTGCTGAAGTATAAACACCACTGACAATATTTAACTTTAAAAAATAACATTCAAACTGATCAAATTCACCTTTCAATGCTCTTTTGAGTGGTACATATGCTTGTTTATTTGGCTGTTGTGATTGCTGCTGATCTTGCGTTGGCTTCTGCCGCTCATTCCACTTTTGTTCATCAGGTTTCTTATTAATTTCTTTATCTTCTTTTGCTTTCCTTGATGCAATCTCAGTTGCCTTAACTGCTGCAGCAGCTTTCCTACGTGCCTCCTTTTTGGCCAGTATCTGTTCCCGAAGCTTCTTTTGCTCTTGCATCTTCCGTTGATATTCATTATCTTCATTAGAATCTGCGACTTGCTGTAAAATATAATACAGGTAACAATGGCAAATAAAATCAAAACATTTCCATAAACTTCTAAATTCAATGTACGGCTCTTGCATAATTAAATATCAAGTTAAATATCTTATTAAAATAAATATTAAATATCTAGATGTGGGTGATAGGGGATCACCCACATCTCAGTATCTCCACCCATTTTATAGACTAAACATGGAGTACCATGGCAATTCCTATGAATGAAAATGTAAAACATTCATTTCCTCTTAAGAAACTGCTTGTACTCAGTCTTATTGCTTACTTCTTCCGGTGCTCTTTGTGGGCGACTTGAGTATGTGGTATGCATTAGTGGGTGGTATGTGACTGGGAGGGTTGGGTACAGCCAAGTACAACCCAGTACATAATTTCTAAAGTTATTGTTTATTCAGCCCCTAGAGAAATGCATTTAATTACTGTACTGTATACCTGTAGGCAAGAGAAGGGTAAAATCTGTGGTGCAGTATGAGTAAGTCAAATAAGTTAATAAATAACATATTTACCTTTTTATCTGATGGCTTAGCTGGTTTTGCTGGCTCTCTGACAGATGTGTTGGCCTGGTTATTTCCTTGATTTTGTTGCTGTTTATTTCCCTGATTTTGTTGTGGTGTATTTCCTTGATTTTGTTGTGGCTTATTTCCCTGATTTTGTTGTGGCTTGTTTGCCTGATTTTGTTGTGGCTTGTTTGCCTGATTTTGTTGCGGCTTATTTCCCTGATTTTGTTGTGGCTTATTTCCTTGATATTGATATTGTCTATTTCCTTGAATGGGCTGTTGTCTATTCCCTTGATTTTGTTGCTGCCTATTCCCTTGATTTGGTTGCTGCTGGTGCTTATTTCCTTGACTCTGCAAAAACTTATTTCCAAAACTCTGTTGTTGGTTTCCTTGATTTTGCCATGGCTTGTTCCCCTGGTTCTGTTGCTGCTTATATCCTTGATTTTGCTGTGGAGTGATGACCTGATTTTGTTGCGGCTTGTTGCCTGGAGTTTGTTGTGGTTTATTTACTTGATTTTGCTGTGGTTTGTTGGCTTGATTTTGCTTCTGAACAAGATTGATGTCCACTGTCTTTATAGTTGTTAAATTGGGGTTGTTATTGACAGGAGGCATAGACAGTCTACTAGAAATGGGGCCCTTTTTGGACAGCCCTCCACGCTGTCGATTCAGTGCATTATGAAGCTTCTTCCTCTGCAAATAAAGTAAAAATTTATAAATGCCACAGAGTACCCAGTTGAAACCATCAATGTCTACTAACTAAACAGAATTACACTACCTCGATATGTCAAATCCTCGTGAATTAAAAGAAGAATATCAGAGCTTAATGATGCCAATATTAAAAGAATTGTATTAGAATATATTATAAAGAATGGAAGATGCATAATATTCCACAGGCATATTTATAATTTACCATATATATATAACTGTGTCAATGCAAACATTTACAAACAAGCAAATGTACAAAAAGAATAAGCTAAGTGATTAATTTTATGTAGAGTAATAGGATACTCTTATTCAAGATATGATCATTAACCCTGACATTGCTCTAATTGCCACATGCAGTTTTCCCATTTGATTTGTTAACTACTTTTAGTCTTATACACCTCGATGTGCCAGTTTTAAATCGCTGTGCAATTTAGGGGTTAAGTGCTGTAAAATAGAAAAGCATAACTATAACTATGTAAAGTCCACCACTTACAGCCATTAAATGTTGATTGTTAATATGATTTGGAATCATTCTCAGATGTTTAGGAGGAGAAGCATTAATAGGATCGTCAGTAGAACGTCTCTTGAGAGAGCTTCGTAAATCATCCTGTGGTGGAAACCCAGTTGGCCCAGCAACCAACTGCTCGAGTATAGCACCAGCCCCATATGGAACAATTCCTGCACTCCACTGATAATAAAAGAAAAAGGTGAAGTACAGTATTCATATACTGAAGTACATTATTCAAAGGTGAAGTACAGTATTTATGAACACCTTCAATAAATCAGGACTACAAAAAATATTTGTGCATTTCTAATTGTATTGAAATATCTAGGTAATATTCAATGTCAAAGAAGCAAAGTGCCTAAGAGGATTAGAGGAAACAAAATAGAAAGCGATGGATAATTACGATAGTAACCTGTGAGCTGGTCTTAAAAGGAAACTGTGGAAAAAGAGGATTGGGATTTAGCTGAGGAGCTGGTCCTCTTGGCATCGAACCAGGCATGGAGACCATAGGCAGTTGTGGTCGTTGCATTATGGGAGGTCCATTTCTAGGAATGGGCATATTGGGCTGTGACATTCGCATCTGTGGATTTAGTAAAAGAGGTGGACGTTCCCAAGGGGGCATCTGCAAAAAAAAAAAAAAAATGGGGAGGTAAAATCCAGGTGATGGTATAAAACATGATCAATTCAAGGATTTGGAAATACCTGTAAATACAATAAGTGTTTTTGAAGCAGTGATGGAATATCAGTTTTAATAAAAAAAAAAAGAGACTGAATTACTAATACACAATCATTACAATACCTTTGCCTTCAAGGAGATAAAAACAAATACATACATGTAAATAAATTGCTATGCTACATGTATTGAAATGTTCTTTTAGCTGTAATCTCTCCACTAAGACATTGTGCTTTAAAATGCTATATCCCTTAAAATAATTATTCACTCATTTCTTTGCATGTGATTGTTACTTAAAAACTACAAGCATTCTTTCAGTACTTTGTAATACTATATCAAACAGGTTAAAATGAGAGTAAATGCTTATCTTCCAAAAATTAGCCACATGATCCACACTTGGCTAATGTGATGATACTGTACAATTTAACCACACCAGGTTACACTAAGACTTGTTGGTCAATAAAAATTATGTCTGGGTAAATGTCTTGGTAAAATAACAGTGGTGACCTTCAAAGACATGAAGGCTCTAGAGGTATTAAGGATCAAAATACGAGAGTTAAAAATTTACTTAAAAATACTACTTACAAGCATTGGACGAGGCCCCAGCCATCCTCGAGGGCTTCCCTGAGGAGGCATCATTCCACCTCTGGGTCCACCCCTAGGTCCTCCTCTTGGTCCACCTCTAAGGCCCCCTCTTTGCCCACCAAACTGTCCACCTCGACAGCCACCTCTGTCTCGACCCCAACCTCCTCGATTGCCACGACCTCGTCGGTTGTCTCGAAAGTCTGACTTTTTCACTTGGACTTCATCTAAAAAACCAACATTGAATGTAATGAAACTCCTTTTTGTGGGTGAGCCCTGGAGGCTCTCTGGAGCTATCGGGTTAATATGCAATACATTAGACCATGGGCCAGATTCACGAAGCAGTTACACAAGTACTGTACTTACGAAAGTGTACATCTTTCCTCAACCTTTGATGGCTTTGGTTACATTTATTAAACAGTATATTTAACGTCGCTCGTCTGCACAGCTCCCACCCCCCACACTGAGAGGGGAAGGGGGGAGCCCAGACCCACCACAGCAGCTACCCAACCTTAGTTCGGAGGCTAAGCAACAAAAGCAAAACGAAACCGCCGACCGGAAGGAAGGAGGGTGCCAGGGAGCAACCTGGGCTCACACAGAAAATGGCATTTCCTTACATTCAATGCTGGTTTTCTATGGGGAGCCCCCATAGCTCCCTGGAGCTACATAACCAATGATAAGTAAAAGAGGGACACACCCAGGAGGCAGCCACCACACGCGCCTCAACTCGAAAGCTAAACAACTGGTTGCAACCTGCGACACAAACAAACACACGAGCGCCCATGACCAGGAATGTGAACCAAATATCGGGCAGTCAGGACCCTGTACAACCTCCAAAATACCCTCGTCCGAATAACAGCCCATGACATGTCGCCAGACGGCAGCCAGGCAGCAAACATCTGAATGTCATGGGCACGAGGATAGATCACAGGCTGGCTAGAGTTAATAACCCTGCAGATGACCAGGGAGACCCGAGCCCTGGAATAGGAAAAGAGTGACAACTGGATCAATCCAAAGCACATCTCGAGCCACAGAAGCCAAGGCGCGCAGGCAATGGCAAAGAGCAGCAACCAGACACAACACATGATGCACCCCAGACCTGACCAAGCACGTATCAATGACCCAAGGACTCCTCCGGAAAGCAGCCGTCTCATTCTTCACCAGAAAAGAAGGACAAAGCTGCAACTGAACAAACCGACTACCAATACCGAAGGAGGAGAGCATGAAGCTCACCAACCCCCCAGAGGCCAATGCCAACAGAAAGAGCGCCTCGGAAAAAAAAAATTTTGAACCGAAGGGGCCACCACGAATCGAGGAGGAGAGAGATAGGAATGCACCCTGTCTAAGGACCTGGTCGGCTCAGGCGGCGCATGAGTAGGCCGGAGGTGAAACAAGCTACGAGAATGCTTACAGAACGGGGCAGAAGTAACATCGACCCCTAACGCAAGCTACAGCTGTTTCGCCAGCTCCGCACGATATGAGATGACAGTAGTAGGCGTTAAATGACAATCCTGAAAGAGCCAAAACAGAAAAGACAACCCAATCAGATACAGAAGACAACCGACAAAGAGAGAGAGAGAAAATGGCAGAAAGAATGCCAGGAAACTTCAAACTGTCACCTTCAACAAAACTCTCAAGTGGGACACCTTCAACAAAGCCACCTGATCACCAAACAAATGGTGATAAACCCGCGACAAAAAGACCAGACGCGAAGAGTGTAGAAGACCAAACCAGCCATGTACTGGACCGGTCCCGAGCTGCTGAAAGAGGCGGATCCATGGAAAAAGCCTCGGGTGTGGACACTGAGCAAGCAGCACCTGAAACCAAGACTGGGCCAGCCTTGGTTTCTCATGTAACTTTTGTGCAACTCTTGTGTTCCAGGAATGATTTCCTGGAAAATTCTAATCTAAAACTCAAAGCAGGCATATGCAGGGAAATTTTGTTAGTAAAACAAAGGTATAACAAATTTAAATCAGCATTTTAAGCTAAGTTTCATAATTTTCAAGACAAACTTGCAATTTTAATATTATTATAAAATTAAGTATTATAAAATAATACTTAATTATTATTATAAAATATTAATAAAATATTATAAATATATAATAAAAATATTATAAAATATAATAAAATATTATTATAAAATAAGTATTTATTACATTATAAAACTGGACTCCAGTATCCATAAAATATAACGAGTTTAAATCCTATACTACATTTGAAACCTAAATAACCACAAACAAGATACACAATCTGAATTATTTATTATATACTGTATATACATTACACATGTTATCATCTCAGTCATGAAAATTAACCTAAATATATAATTAATCAAAACAAATGTAAGACATTCTGTGCAAAATCAAGTCTAAAGATATTTGAATGGCTGAGATTAGGTAATTATCAGGAGAAAGTACTTAGCCAGGATAACTATACAGGATAACTATACAATACAGCACTTAAGAGAGAGAGAGATAAGAACAAAGGTCTGGAATAGGACAGAGAGGTGGAATGAGGCCCAATCACTTTGACCATCAGGGGATAGCATGCCAACTATTGATAAGACTGGTTTAAACACACTTGCCTAAGGAATCTGGAATGATGCGCTCAACAGTTGTACTGGTGAGGGAGATCTTGGAACGCTCACTCTTGAACCGATCACGCCCTCTTCCTTCCTCATCCTCCTCCTCCTCCTCTTCTTCCTCTTCCTCCTCCTCTTCTACAATATTCTGAGTCTCTACATGACCACCCTCCTCGGAAGCAACTGTAACTAAACCATATTTATTTCATTATCAGCTTTCAATCGCCACTATTATCCACAAGCTAATCTCTCATTGATCATATCAAGGGTTCAATCATTTTTTACAGAGGCTGAAATGATAAAAATAGCAGGTCACTAGCACCAATTCTTCGTAAACATCTGTGGTTGTGGTAACTCATGTAGGCAGCTGTTATAGTGTAAATCATCTTAAAACACCTTCATTCTTCAGACACTTTTTCTGCATTCATTCATCAACTTTCAAAATAGTTTTTTTTTCTTCAGCCATGTACCTAAAATGCATCTAAATGTTTGCCATATCCAATACTGTACATACTGTATGACATCCTAAATAACCCCCACTTCATGGAAAGCAACACAAAATAGGGTACCCTAGCAGACCCAGCACTCACTCAGACTGACCAATCCTACTGAAAGCCAATAAACAATCCAGCTAGGACAGACCCATCCTAGGCAAAGAAGCCACAGCTTTGCTGGAGGCACAAAAACAACCCCCCCCCAGGTGATTGTGCTTGCCTCACAGCTGTGTGAGCTCCCCATGCAGGAATGTCCTATTGGCTGTCCCTATGTCAGTGACAGGCACATGTCTTGATCTGCAGCAGTTCAATATTGCAGTCTTGCTGCTCAAATCCACACTACATATAAATGTATCTGTGGTGAGGTATATGCTGATGAATGTGGCTCACATTCATGTGGAAAATCAGGGGGTTGGTATTTTCACTATGGAAAATCAGGGGGTTGGTACTCAAAACACAACGAAGTCAATGACATCATTAAGAGAAGTCTTGCCTCTGCCCAGTGTCCAGCAAAGAGTCTCATAATCTAATATACCCTGACTCTACTGCCTTTGCTGGTCAACCAAATGGAATGACACTATGCCTATAAAGAAATGGCAAACAATTGGCAGGTGACAATACTTAAGTATCCACCTTGGCAGCCACACACATCACCCTCTCTGTCAGTCAAGCAGGAGCTGCAAGAGAGACAAATCAAACAAGTACATGCAAATAGAGCACAGGTAAAACCTAGTTCCAATAGGATCCGAGACCCTTGGTCCATGGGGAGAGAGTGCAAGGAGGCTTCTCAAGGATCTTGGGTTCATCGAAACAACAAGACACCCTAGAACAGTGAGCTTCCTTTTCCAGTGCCTCAGTGTGGCAATCCAGAGAGGAAATGTCCTTTGCATCCTTGGTTCAAAAATCACCATTCGTAATGTGTTGATTAGTCACTGAAGTGCTCAGGTCCATTCTGCTTTCATTTCTCCTACATGATTAAATATTTTCACATTATTCTTCACATGATAGTTATTGATTTTACACACACCAAAAATATGAAAAATAAATTTCAGGAAATTCAGCTTGTTAGGCAACTAACAGGGAGGGAGGCATCAGCCCATAGAACAAATTGAACTTAAAAATTAATGCAAGATTTTGCAATTACTATACAGTATTCCAGATTCATTTAATACTACAAAAATATGGAATATTGAATTTGGATAAATAGCTAAACAAATTATTTACTTATTGATAAAGATCTTATTTCTATCACTAACAAACAAAAGTAGAGAAATATACTGCGTACTGAATAAGATGAATCTAAATTTGTTTATAAAATCCATACTGTAATAATATTAGTTTGACACAAAACACTGCATTCAAAACCAACTTGAGAAACATTCTTTCTGCTTACCAAGTGATGACTCATTATAATGTTCTTGAAGCTCTTCTTCATAAACTGATTCAGTTGTCTGTAATCTACTATGAACATTTTTTGAGTGACTGATTTGCCCACTATCATCTTCACCAAATTCATCTTCAACTCCTAACTCAATGATGTCTTCAACTGCAACCTGGAGAATGTCAGATTTAGTAGTTTATTAGCAAATTTTAAGCTTTAATAAGTGACAAGGTAAGTGTTTCAAGCAAAAATGTATGTATAGCACAGTAGGGCATAACAAATCCAGAACAGCTAAATATATGATCCCATGTTACCAATGTTATTTTATTATTTTGGGGTTACCTGATATGATTTGTGTAAAATTATATAAACACAATATAATGTCCCCCTTCAAAAATACAGTACTGAATCATTATTTACTAAACAATGCAAAAAAAAAAAAAACGCGTTGAATGAAATGAAACTCCATTTTCTGGGTGAGGCCCAGATGCTCCCTGGGGCTATAAGGTTGATATTTGTTATATTAGTCTGGTGCATCAGTTAACTGGAGTTCAGCCTACCGGGGACCATGAGCCAGACCTTGCTTCCCCCCCCCCCCCTCATTGGCACAGGGAGCAATGGCCTATTGAAACCCTTATGTATTTGGAGATATTCCATGTCTGCCGTCGACCGGGGTTGGCACCCAGAAAGGTAGGCATGCCAAATCAGACCCCACATGGTAATAAAATTGCAACCGAAGACTGCACAGAGAGGCAGAACTCCCCCCTACCTAAAAACAAACAAGCAAACAAACGCAACACTCTGCCACCGCACTGTTTGTCTGTGCAGCCCTCCCCCCCTCCCCGGGAGGGGGAGAGGGGGGCCTTGGACCTAACATGCCGGTTTCCCAACAGCTCCAGTTCAGAGGCTGAGCATCAAAACCCACACAAAAACCCACCAACTGGATGGAGGAAGGGTGCCAGGGAGTTTCCGGGGCTCACACAGAAAATGGCATTTCATTACATTCAATGCTGGTTTTTCTGAGGGGAGCCCCTCCGGCTCCCTGGAGCTCAAAGTAGAAAAGGGACTTAACCGGGAGGCGGCTGTCACTCGCTCCTCAAGTCGAAGTCGAGACGACTGGCTGCAACCTGCGACCCAAAGCCACACACTAACAACTTGGACCAGGAACGTTGACTAGATATCGAGCGGTCAGGACCCTGTTCGACCTCTCAAATCCCCACGAATGAATGTCAGTCCAAAACATGATACTGAAGATGGCAGCCAAAGCAGCAAACTTACAAATATCATGGGCATGAGGATAGACTGCTGGCTCACTAGACTTAATAACCCTGCAGATGACCTGGGAGACCTGAGCCCTGGAACAGGAAATGAGGGAAACCGGAACAACACAAAGCGCATTCCTGGCCTTAGGAGCCAAGACGCGCAGGTAACAACGAAGAGCCGCAACCAGACACAACATGATGCACCCCCGGCCTGACCAACCAAACATCAACAACCCAAGGGCCCCTCCGGAGTGCCTCATTCTTTGCCAGAAAAGATGGAGACGTCTGCAAACGAACAAACCGACTACCAGGACCGAAGGAGCAGAAACCCCCTGCGCCGGAGGAGAGCATGAAGCTTCCCCACCTGACCCCCAGAGGCCAAAGCCAACAGGAAAAGAACCTTAGAAAAACAAACCGGAACCGAAGAGGCCACAACAACCGAGAAGAGAAAAAGGAAAGCTAAAAACAATAAAGCAATAAAGAATAGGTATTGATAAATAGGAATATCAATAAAGCAGGTGTTCAATTGAGTAAAGGTGAAAAACATTTACTTTTTAAAGTCTCTAGAACCTAACCACATTTTTATAATACAAAGTATACTGTACCTTTAAGTTTGATTTGCACCATTTTCAATATACATTACATGGTTTTCACAACATAATGCCACTTTTCTGCAAAACAATGGGCATGGCACTGAGCTAGAGGGGGGACTGCAATAAATCCAGCAGGTTGCCTGTCCCAGAGAATATTATACCAATACACATGTACTTAAAAACTAATGCGCTTTAGAGAGAGAGCATTGACTAACCTCCTCCGATGGATCTTCACCAGCCAAGAGAGCTTCTTCTTCCTCTTCATCCAAATCATATTCATAATCCAAGTCCTCTCCAATTAGTTCGTCTTCTAACCTGCATAATTAATAACTTTTCAATACCAATATTGTATAATAAAAAAATGGGTGAAATTTTATAACATTAATCAGAAGGCTGATTTTACCACTAACGTATACTGTCAAGGAGGAACATTCTAGGAATGAATGATATGGCCACCACTATGTAATCAAGATAACAAAAATTATACTTGGAATGTAGAGTAAGGTACATGAAAATCTCCTCTCCTAGCAGGGTACTAGATTGCTCCCTTAAACAATATCCTGCTAAATCTAACCTATCCATAACATAATCTAATGCATCCTAACACATTCTAACTTTATCTTGCAATCAAATACATAAGATGCAGAAAATATGGCATGGTAGCCCTAGGTCTACATTACAGTGTTTTAATTTTTTGACCGCTAATTCAGTACAGTACAAGTATACACTCCATAATAATAAAATTGAAGTATTTTTGTTACAATTCTACATGAACCAGGATCTCACCAATGCAGGACAAAACAGCTAGGTGGTCGGCCGCCTCTTTAGAAGGGGCTTCAACAACGCATACGACAGTCCGGGTGGGATTAAAGGAAATATGCACATCGACAGAGTCAACAAAGTGTTTATGTACAGTAAACTGATACCTTGGTACTCGAACTTAATTAGTTTCAGAACGCTATTCAAGTGCCGATCTGTTTGAGTACCGAATAAATTTCTTCCTATAAGGAATACTGTAATGTAAAATAGATTAATCCTTTCTAGACCCCAAAACATACACTTATAGAAGCATTTTTACTTCAATTTAACTCAAAGTTTACAAGCCGAACATGCATTATACAGAAAATCTAAACACAATAAATATATGAAATAAATGCACATTTATTCTCACTTTATCTGTACAGTTGAAGAGTTGATGGTATGTGTGGAAGGTGGTAGGGAAGAGGAGGAGAGATGTTATCATTTGGCAGGGAAGTCCCCTGTCCATAGACATACATATTTTTGCAGACGATTAGTCACAATAATGTGACTGAAAATATGATGACCAAACCACACAACAGAAAATAGAGAAACAACAAACCACACAACAGAAGATGGAGAAACAACAATGTTTTGGTCCATCCTGGACCATTATCAAGACACACGGCTTGATAATGGTCCAGGACGGACCAAAACGTCGTCATTTCTCCATCTTTTGTTATGTGGTTTGGTCATCATATATATTTTTGCCTGTGTTTAAAAATGTTACTAAAGTGGGACATTACATTGTCATTCAACAGGTCTATAGCACAGTTTGGCACGTTGACCAGACCACACACTAGAAGGTGAAGTGTGTGGTCTGGTCAACATACTTTAGCCACATTATTGTGACTCATCGCCTGCACAGTTTGGCACAGCTAGGGACATCCTACCACGCCTCCTTCTCCTCCTCTAAAGCCAATTCCCCGGCTGCCGTGTGTTGTGACATGCATTTGTATGGTCAAGTGCGGAGCAAATGGTCAACTACCGTGTATTTCTTCCTTGAATACAGTAAAGTGTTTGATTGCAGAATTGTTTGAGTTTGAAGTCCTTGGAGTGCTGAGGTATGATTGTACTGTACATGAATAAGTAAATATTCAGCACAGTTAAGGTCGTCAGGAGTGACAAAAATATTTAGGCCACACAGTGAGCCAAAAACGTCATGGTACATTGCAGCATTGAGGGAAATGTGCATGTTCGGCTGCAAGGATAGCACCATGGTCCTCCAATAAGGAGGGAGGCAAACACTGCAGTTTTAATAAACAAATATGGAATCACTTCAGGTGACAAGGTAGTCACCGCTGTGGACTTGGGCGTTGTCACTGCCAAGGAAGTGGCTAGGGAATTGAAAGGATCAGCAGAGTGAAATGAAGATTAAGCTAGGCCCAACATACCTGGAGCAATGGAGCCTGATTTCAGTCAGATTCAGGAGTTTGGTCACCTGCCTCAATAGCTTAAGTTCGAGGAGTTCATTTACCATATGTATTATGATGTATTATGATTAATAAAGTCTGCACTCTGGAGCTGAGGGAGGCCCAAGTATTGGCTGATGCAGGAAATGAAGTATTATCCCAAGCAGTGCTCCCCATTTCCAACAGGGCAATCCTACTGCATTGAACATTCTCCAACATTGGTACAAAGACCTCTTTATTCTTCACAACCTAGCCCAGACACTCAAACCTACCTCTGGAATCAACCTCTCAAAGCCAACCCCCTCCAGCATGCTTTCTCACGCCAATAACAAGTATGCCACATGGTAACTTCGCACATACAATGCCAGGAGAGGGAAAGGTGAGAGGGGCCAAGGCAACCCCCACTAGCCCCAGAGTGACACGCTTCCCCCAACCCTCAGAGTGACATACATCAGCCCAGAACAGTAAGCATCCAAGTTATTATTAGATAACCTCTCTCACAATGACAGCAAAACCCTTGAAAGGGAGGGGGGGGGGGGTGACGCCATTTGCAAAGTTAGTTGTCACTGTAAAGGGGCATGGATACCTGGGTAGACCATATGGGCTCTGGCTCTAGAAGCATCCAAGTGGGACTTACATTATAACAATTTTTTTGTAGATGATGAGTCACAATAATGTGGTTGAAGATACGATGACCAAACCACACATCAGATGAAGAAACAACGATGTTTCGGTCCGTCCTGGACAATGATCAAGTCATGTGTTAGGGATAGAGGATGACTGATGAAAATTAAGCCACCACACAAGGTGGCACGGGTATGAGTAGCCCATATGTGAAAGGAGAGAGGTTGTTGTTTTAGATTTAGCTACTCAGAACAAAAAGTTTCAAGTAGCACGGGTTATGGTGAGTCCGTAAGTGGCTCTTTGGAGCCATTATCTGTATCAATAGCTGATATTGGAGATCTGGGGATGGGGTCTGTTGATGTGCCAATCCAATCTGCAGCAAACCTGCTGCAATCCAATGCAGCAGGACTGCTTATGATTACTGATAAAGATTAAGCAACCCTAAAGGTGGCATGGGTATGAATAAGCCATAAGTGGAGTGGGAGAGGTTGGTTGATTGAAGATTAAGCCACCCAAGAGATGGCACAGTCATGAATAGCCCGTAAAGGGAGAAGAGGAAGGAACAGGCCAATAAGGAAAGTGATGTGAGGTGCAGGTAAGAGAATAAGGTAATTTCTATTAAGAGGTAAGGTGCAAGAATAATCACAAAAAAAAGACTAGGTTTAAGGTGAAGAACAGGTAAGAGAAGGTGATTCCTAGAAGAAGGTAAGAATAGGATGATGGAAATGAACGGGTTGAGTGTAATAATGGGATGAATGAAGAATGGGATGAGGTGAGACTAAAGGGAGAGTAAGAAAAAGAAAAGGGCATAATCTTAGGTCACATTTGTTAAGAAAGTTTGAGCATTTAGGTATGTACTGTGAAAGGGAAGAGTCAACAGCAACAAAGCCAGGACTAAGGTTCACCTTAGTTCTGGCAGGACAGATATGGTTGGGCACATTTCCTTTCACTTGATATATCTGCTCACCTAGCAGTAAATACATACCCAGGAGTTTGGCAACTTATGATTCGAATCCTGACAAAGGTCAGTTGTTGACCTAGGGTTCCCTTGTAAGCCTAAGTACAGGATTCATGTCCTCTAATATGGGAATTACGTAAATGATTTCCAGTGCAGATCCCTAACAAGATTTCAAGCAGCAGTAGAACCTATATTAACTGTATATTACCTACATTCATACAGTTGTAGTGAACCAGTTAACACATAACTTACCCAGCAAATCTTACAGTTACACAAAATAAAATCTAAAACAACCAGCCGTCTATTTAACATCAACATGTATTTACCTGAGAATTTTCCTGTGTTCTTTATCTAAACAGTACTTACTCTGCCATCTCCTAAACAGTATTGTGAGCTCGTGTTTTCACTTCAGTCGGCGTTTAAACCTCAAAATATCTGGAAAATAACGATAGCATCACAGAATCAATGAATGCTACAATGGCAACAACAAACGAATGTCCCATAATCGGGAATAGAGGGAGTTCCTAAAAATCAAGACCGGCTACGCGTCTCTTTAGTGTCGTCATGCAGCCAAGAGCATCCACGTCTTAAAACATATTAAACAAGTTTATATTTTTATATCATTTGTGTACTTTTTGTAAAGTTTAGTCAAGTAAATCTAATGGTTCTCAGAACAGCTAACTTTGAATTACAGTTTTATTTATAGAAAACAAGTTTTGCTAATATGAGTAACTATTATATGTATGAAAGAATATAATCACAAAAAGTGATTCATTTAGTTTTGTGTCACTATGTGATGGAGTGCAAGCTTTCTCAACTATATGAACTCGTGTCTGCTAATCCTCATGAAATGGCATACAGAGTTATGTCACTAAACCAACCCCGCCTTGCACAGTGTTACATTTTTTTTTTGTAGGGAATACTCACTACATTAACAAAATCTTGTAGATCTGAGGCAAAGTGATATCGACACCATTAATTCTATCTATCATCATACAAGGAGAGTCACACATCTATGGAACATCCAGTAAAATCAGTAGACTTCTATAGATGTTACTAATGCTCGGCTTAGACTCTAATATAAGTATCTCTGGGAATTTTCATTACTTGTTGATGTAGACCTAACCAAATGTTAGGGGAGGGGTAGAAATAGCCTAAGCTACTCTATCCATTTGAGATGTATTTTTTTCTTATCTCAATAAAAAACATACTTGAACTTGACCAAATGTAAACTGTGTCAACAAAATTATTCGCACACCCTCCGTCACTATGTGATGGAGTGCGAAAAGATACGTGAATTTAGAGACAACTCTATAACAAATGTTCAAGAGATGTGTAAATATTTCATTCAAAATGATCTGCTGCCAGAAGTCTTGGCCAAATATCCCCAGTTTGCTAACTGTAGGTAGTAACTGAGTGACTGTAACCTATCCACCGCTGCCCACTGGATGGGAGGCGGTGTGCAGGACAAACGTATAAATAGTGACACTTTTCAGATGATGATGAAGATTAAGCCACCCAAGAGGTGGCACGGGCATGAGTAGCCCGTAAGTGGTGGCCCTTTTGAGCCATTACCAGTATCAAGAGCTGATACTGGAGATCTTTGGAGGTGCGAATGCACCCTGCATGATGGGAGATGTCTCCCTTGTGAATGTGTTAAGATGAAGATGAAGCCACCCAATAGGTGGCACGGGCATGAATTGGTAAGTGGTGGCCCTTTTGAGCCATCACCAGTATCAATAGATGATACTGGAGATCTGTGGAGGTGCGACTGCACCCAGCGTGACGGGAGACGTCTCCCGTGTTTTAAACAGATGAAGAAGATGAAGCCACCCAAAAGATGGCACGGGCATGAATAGCTCGTAAGTGGTGGCCCTTTCGAGCCATCACCAGTATCAAGAGCTGATACTGGAGATCTGTGGAGGTGCAAGTGCACTCTGCGTGACGGGAGATGTCTCCCATGAATGTGTCCAAGATTACGATTAAACCATCGAAAAGGTGGCACGGGCATGAATAGCCCGTAAGTGGTGGCCCTTTTGAGCCATTACCAGTATCAAGAGCTGATACTGGAGATCTGTGGAGGTGCAACTGCACCCTGCGTGACGGGAGATGTCTCCCGGACCAAGTGTGTGGTGACTGATCAAGATTGATTGATTGATGAAGATTAAGCCACCCAAGAGGTGGCACGGGCATGAATAGCCCGTAAGTGGTGGCCCTTTCGAGCCATTACCAGTATCAAAAGATGATACTGGAGATCTGTGGAGGCGCAACTGCACCCTGCGTGACGGGAGATGTCTCCCGGACCAAGTGGTGACCAAATGGTGCACTTTTCAGTAGCTCTCTACGTATTTATGGGCTATTCATGCCTGTGCCACCTCTTAGGTGGAATAATCTTCTTCAATCAATCAATCAATCAATCTCCACATATGTCAGTTGCTTAAATCAAAAACTGTACTTGTGGTCGGTCTCGAGGTCATTGTTGATGTGACAATGTGCATTGAATTTTGTAACTAGCTCATTAAGACTGTAACTTGCTTAGCTAAATGAATTGTGGGGTTCAGTCCTGAGCCCATTATGTGCCTCTGTAACCTTTCCACTACCGCCCACAGGATGGGTATGGGTGCATAATAAATGAACTAAACTAAAACATAGTTTCCTACCTAGTACCTTAAACTCGCACTGTATCTTGTGCTACCCATTCCCCCAATATGTGACTAAGCCATTCAACGTCACCCTTGTAATCACTGCTATCATCTTATATCATGGTTGTTATATTTAACGCATATTTTACTGCATTATACCTAGAAATAATACTCAAAATATGCTGCAATGGACCTGTTGATAATCCTCAAATTTTACTATAATGTGCCTACTAATCTTCGTCAAATTTCCTTACAATGTATCTATTAACATTTCTCAATTTTGCAAGAAATTACCTACTTGAAATTATCTGTTAGATTAAGGACCTGCCCGAAACGTTATGCGTGTTAGTGGCTTTACAAGAATGTAAAAACTTCAATGCTATGTACTCTCATAAACCCAATGTACCTTCTTGCCCACATATGTCAGTTGATTAATTTAGAAACTGTACTTATGGTCGGTCTCGAGCCTATTGTTGATATGACGATGTGCATTGAATTTTGTAACTAGCTCATCAAGACTGTGACTTGCTTAGCTAAATTAATTGTAGGGTTCAGTCCCTGAGCCCATTATGTGCCTCTGTAACCCTTTCTACTACCGCCCACATGATGGGTATGGGATGCATAATAAATGAACTAAACTAAACTAACTCTGCTTTGCATTACTCCAATGGTGGTGTTAATTGTTTCATTGCCGCAAATACATTCTTGCAAAACATATTTTGTAACAGAACATAAATTCCTCATATATGCTCTTTTATTATACCATAAAATACATTGCTCATTCCTTACTTCTTTTGAACTGAGAGGGTTATCGCATTAGGTCCCCGCCTCTCGTTAGTCTAATTGCCGGATCTTCGAAATCTTATCCCCAATACTGTACTCGATAAGTTCAATTTCATCTTCATTGTTTCAATATTAGCATTTATTGGCCATACTAACATAATTCACATAGCTTCATTTTGTAGTACCTTCTCCAATTTATATGGTCTACATTTACCAAAACAAGAAATGACACACGCAGCATTATCGATAATGGATCTCACAGTATTTACCTGAGGGCCATTAGTGACCAAACCACACACCGTAAGATGAGGAGACGACAACGTTTCAGTCCGTCCTGGACCATTATCAAGTTGATTGTGAAAATGATCCAGGACGGACCGAAACGTCGTCATTTCCTCATCTCTTGGTGGGTTGTTTGGTCATCAATTTTAGTTAGTTTAGTTCATTTATTATGCACCCCATACCCATCTTGAGGGCGGTAGTGGAAAGGGTTACAGAGGCACATAATGGGCTCAGTGACTGAACCCCACAATTCATTTAGCTAAGCAAGTTACAATCTTGATGAGCTAGTTACAAAATTCAGTATAAGTTATCACACCATAAATAGGTTCGAGATCGACCACAAGTACAGTTTCTAAATTAAGCAACTGACATATGAGGAGAGCTTGTGTCACAATTGATATGTTTGTCCTGCACACCGCCCCCCCCCCCCCCCCCATCCAGTGCGCAGCGGTGGATAGGTCACTTAGTTACTACCTAGTTAGCAAACTGGGGATATTTGGCTAAAATTTCTGGTAGCAGATCATTTTGAATGAAATATTTACACATTGCTGGAACATTGGTTATAGAATTATCTCTGAATTCACCTATCTTTTCGCACTCCATCACATAGTGACGGAAGGTGTGCGAATAATTTTATTGACAGTTTACATTTGGTCAGGTCTACATCAGTAGATAATGAGAATTCCCAGAGATACTTGTAACCAAGTCTAAGCCGAGCAGTAGTAACATCTAGAAGTCTGCTGATTTTATTGGATGAACCATAGATATGTGGCTCCTCTTGCATGAAAGTATTATGATAGATGGAATTACTGGTGTCGATTTCACTTTGCCTCAGATCTACAAGATTTTGTTGAAGTTTTTGGTGTACTGCTGCTCTCAGATTCCTCATTGACTTTCCAAGGTTACACTCAACGTCTCCTTTAAAGGCAGATTCTTTGGCTAACTCATCAGCTCTATCATGCATTCGGAGGCCAACATGAGATGGAGACCACATGAAATGGACTCTGTTACCATCATTAATAATTTTGTTGTATTTGTGTCTAGCTTCGGACACGAGCATGTTACAGTTATGTCTTAAAGAGTTGAGAGCATTAAGGATGATAAAGAGTCACTTACAATTAATGCATCAAGTTTGGAGACTTTTACACATTTCAAGGGGCATGTGGTTTAATATTAAGTTGTTCTAGTACAATCAATATTTATTGACGTTTTATATGTAAAAAGGGCTGCAGCTGGTCCAAGTTTCAGCATCGCAGCCTAAATAGAAAGGGAGAAAAATAATACGTACTTTAGGCGATTTTTCAACATTTTTCAACGTGTAACTACAAACACAAGTGTCAACCGAAATCATTTCTATGACATTCAGCTATCACATTAGCATATAATAAAGGTTTTGTTGCCAGATTTCTATCCCAAATGTATTTAGTGCAATAATACAAATTTTCAAAGTTTCCCTAAAAATTATGCAACAAAATGATGTAAGAGATATTTACATACCACAGAGTCTATCACAGATTAAGAAAGTAATTAGAAACAGAGTAATGCAAAAGATGTCAACCAAAAGAATTCAACTAACTACGAACCACTTAGTTTGATGAAAGGGAACAGTAGAGCAACAGAAGTACACTTACATCGCATCAGGCTTGGCTACCCATGTGCATTGGAAATAGGTTTACAAGTTCCTGAAGATGAGAGGAAATGTCAGCACTGTGGAGAAATGCCCGACAGACCACTGGAACATTATCTAACACAGCGCACAGTTACAAATCCATTAAGATTTCAACTTAGATTCAACAGAGCAGAAGTTGTTAAACACATGGGACAAAATCTTACTGAAGCGACCATACGAGTCATACATACTCATACTCCGCCCAAGTAAAACAAAAACAAGCAACACTTAGTGGGCCAGCTAGAGGCTCAGGGTCCGCGCAGGAATATCCCTGCAAAAAAAAAAAAACTTACTGGTTACTTACTCATGCCCGTGCCACATCTTGTAGTGGCTTAATCTTCATCAATCAATCGAAGAGCATTTGTTTGCTGTAGCGCCCAGCACAGGTTCACAACTTACAGGAGCGCTCCCGACGCACGTTCGTCTTCTACAGCAGTTGGGACAGAACTGCCGGATGATTGATTGATAAAGATTAAGCCACCTAAGAGGTGGCATGGGCATGAATAAACCGTAAGTGGTAACTGCCGGATGCTATCCTATTCATTAATATATTAAACAGCGTGGACTTAATACTCCTCCTTTAGGCGTACCAAACTCAAAAGATCTTACACTTGAAATACAACCTTGATACTACATCTGAGCTCATGAAGATTATCCCCTATCCAGATTGATTGATTGATGAAGATAAATCCACCCAAAAGGTGGCACAGGCATGAATAGCCCGTAAGTGGTGGCCCTTTCGAGCCATTACCAGTATCAAGAGCTAATACTGGATATCTGTGGAGGTGCGAGTGCACCCTGCGTGATGGGAGATGTCTCCCGTCGCCCTATCCAGTGCAATAATCTCCCTTTAACGCCCATGATGATGATGAAGATTAAGCCACCCAAAAGGTGGCACGGGCATGAATAGCCCGTAAGTGGTGGCCATTTTAAGCCATTACCAGTATCAAGAGCTGATACTGGAGATCTGTGGAGGTGCGAATGCACCCTGCATGATGGGAGATGTCTCCCTTGTGAATGTGTTAAGATGAAGATGAAGCCACCCAATAGGTGGCACGGGCATGAATTGGTAAGTGGTGGCCCTTTTGAGCCATCACCAGTATCAATAGATGATACTGGAGATCTGTGGAGGTGCGACTGCACCCAGCGTGACGGGAGATGTCTCCCGTGTTTTAAACAGATGAAGAAGATGAAGATGAAGCCACCCAAAAGATGGCACGGGCATGAATAGCTCGTAAGTGGTGGCCCTTTCGAGCCATCACCAGTATCAAGAGCTGATACTGGAGATCTGTGGAGGTGCAAGTGCACTCAGCGTGACGGGAGATGTCTCCCATAAATGTGTCCAAGATGACGATTAAACCATCGAAAAGGTGGCACGGGCATGAATAGCCCGTAAGTGGTGGCCCTTTTGAGCCATTACCAGTATCAAGAGCTGATACTGGAGATCTGTGGAGGTGCAACTGCACCCTGCGTGACGGGAGATGTCTCCCGGACCAAGTGGTGACCAAATGGTGTTTAACGCCCAGACCAGCTATAGTTTATATCAGGGCGCTGAAGTTCGGCGCCAGCAACCCTAGGGCCGGCCCTACTCAGAACCTTTTTTTCGGTATTAAACTGTATATTAATTGTGCCATATTAATAATTTTAAACTTTGTTACGAAACCATGTGTAATTGGGTTTAAGATTTGCATTAAAAACGCTGTACGTACGTGTCTATAAATTCGTTCCCAGCTGAGCACACATGCAAACTGTATAATCCATAATAACATTTGTTTTTGTCTATTTAATGGTATCCATCTAACTAATTTAAAGGTGATGTCGCCAATTAGCGTCTATATATTAGCCGGCAATTGCATGATAAAATATGGACGCCTGTAAATAAATGTATATGGGTTGACTGTAGACCGAGATTAAACATAGTCAAACAAGTTTTTTTAAGTTACCGATGACGCTATGGGCGGGAAAAATGGCCAAGTCAAATAACATCCTCATTTGCAAATTAATTCACATTATATAATCCCATAATTTAAATTCTACGAATCTCTGAAGTATATTTAATGTTATTAATTCACAACCAAGTTTCCCACAATATATTATTCTGGAATAATAACATTTATAAAATAGGAATAGATTTAAATTTGACTCCAGCGTCGAGTGATTGACGGACTAGAAAAACAGTGGCACCAAGGCGTCCACATCTTTCTCATTCCCTGGCTTTATTACTGCAAATAGCAAGACAAGCTCTCTGCGATGGAAGACCAGGCGCTGGACGTGGAGGTGGGGGCCCTGGAGGAGGACGTCAGCTTCTTCACGGACATAGACGAGTTACAGTCACACGGGATCAACGCTGCTGACATCAAGAAGTTGAAAACTGCTGGAATTTGCACTGTCCGCGGAGTCCAGATGACGACTCGACGCAAGATGTGCACTATCAAGGGATTATCTGAAGCTAAAGTAGATAAGATAAAGGAGGTAGGGGTAATAATAATCAATAATATGTGATGTATGTGGAGATCCAGCGCCTCAAGCTATCACAATCTTCTATTTTCTCTAATTGTTTATTTCATTTCATTGAAAGGCAACATTACAACAATCTATATGTCTTGACTATTAAATGTAACTTAGGTTTGGTACGACAGGTATTGTATGGTTTTGTCGTTTAAATTTCATAATTAAGTTCTTTGCAAGCCTACATTTAACACAATTCTTGTGTATAACCAAGCCTATTTTGGTTGGAAATATTTTGACTCGCAAAACTAGTAGTGTTTAAAGGGTTACGTAACAAGATGATGATTGACAACTTATCTGACATATTTATTGGTGGTATATTTACTATAACGATTTACCATTGAGTGTGCTGAAGAGAATCAGTGTTATCATGGGCGTGAGAAATGACTTTGAGCAGCACGACGCAGTGATGCTATAATTAGGCTAAGATATGTCATTTGGCAGGGCTGTAGTGATGATTAAGGAAGTGTCATGTTAGGTTATGCCATATTGTTTGTTTAAGGATATTTAATTAATACTCTCTATGGTTATGCCAAATTCTAAGGAACTTGACATAGAAGGAAGGAACTAGTTAACTTGGAATTACTGTGTTAACCCTCCCGCGCAGCTTGTCTCAGCTTGGCGTACTTGATATATCTTTATATTCACTGTATAGGTTATAGTGTAACTATATAGGTTAAAGTGTGCGTACATTTCAATATTAATGCTGACAAATTTGAAACTTCTTATAATTATTATACGTGATATACCAGTTTTATTCACTACACGTGTACAAAGATATCACATTATTGTGATGCATCTCTATATATATTGCAATGTTAATAATGAACAGTGATATCATCAATTAACAGTTATATATATAATTCCTTTAGGTAGCAGCCAAGCTGAGTGGTGGAGACGGGTTCGTGACAGCTCTAGTGGTGTGTGAACGCCGTCGACACATCTTTCGGGTGAGCACCGGGTCCGCGGAGCTTGACTCCCTGCTGGGGGGCGGCATAGAGAGTATGGCCATCACCGAGGTCTTCGGGGAGTTCCGCACCGGCAAGACCCAACTTTCACACACACTTTGTGTCACTGCGCAGATTCCCAATGAAGCCGGAACTTACACTGGAGGCAAGGTACACTGACCCGCGTTTTCTTCTTTTTCGGGATACGTGCAGTTTGCATGAAGGGTTTTCCTCCCGCTGACTGCACGAGTGGTGATGTTGACAGAGTGTTCAATGTTCATAATTTGGCAGAGATTGGAAGTTATCAATGTATTCTATTTGTGTGAGGATAATGAGAAAAATATACATATGAGTGGAAATGGACTCGGGATAACAAAGATGAGGAGTTGTGCTAATGGTTGTATCAAAGTGTTGCTGTTTTTTCGAAAAAAGTGTGAGGTTTAGTCAAGAGACTGAGTTTGTGAGTCGAAGTATGTTTGGGAGTTAGTCGCAATTCAGATAGATTAGGATAGATTTCGGTAGGGTAAGGTAGACTACATTTAGTAACATGGTGTTAATGTGTATAAGATTAGATTGGAGTAGGTTAGTTGAAGATGGGTTATGATGTCGTATTTCGAATTTTTACATCTGGGATGTGATTACATCGGTCTTCTTTGACCTGCCAGTAGTACACCGTGTTGAATATCTGGGAGTGGTCGGAGGATGTGTCGTGGGAGAATGTGGTTTATGTGTTGTTTTTTCAGTAAAAAGTGCCAGGTCGCTGGGAGGTTTGTACAGCTGGGGGCTTCTTACTCTTGGTGCCGGTGGTTGGGGGTTTGTGACTATTTGAAAATCCTGAAGATTTTCTACCAGCTGAATTTTTAACAGAAGTAATAACTTGTTTTGACGAGTAACTGATCCTATGGGTGAAAATGCAGCTGCTTTGGCCTATACATTGTGGCTCAGTTATTGAGCTTGAAGATATTAACCCTTATCTGGGTTATATTGAATCTTTAAAAGAAGTGATCTGGACTAATATCTTCTAAATTGTTTAGTAGTTTAAAGGTCTTGATGAAATCAGCCATGCCGTGTCTGATTTGTAGTATTGTTAGCCCTGAGGTCCTCAACCGTTCTGGTATTAGAGTTGACTTTGTTCTGGAATGACGTTGCTCTGACAGGATACCAAATAAATGAGAAAAACGATTCAAGCCATAGCAATTGTTACAATTCTAATGACATTTAATTAATATTTTAAAAAGACAAGATAGAAAAACATTTAACTTATAACTGTATAACGAGGCATAGCAATATGATTATGAAGCTTTATTTGAAGGTAAATTAAAAACATGTTGACCAAACCACACACTAGAAAGTGAAGAGACGACGACGTTTCGGTCCGTCCTGGACCATTATTAAGTCAATTGTCATAATGGTCCAGGGCGGACCGAAACGTCGTCGTCTCTTCACTTTCTAGTGTGTGGTTTGGTCAACATTTTTCAGTCACGTTATTGTGACTCCTCGTCTGCATTAAAAACATATTTCTTACAATTAGAGTGGTGGCACATAAATTGACAGAAAATCAATAAAATACAAAAACTAAATTGAAAGTTGAGACTTACATAGACAAAAATAAAAAATTTTGATTGGTCTCTGAATTGTGCAGATTCAGGGGCTATCGGGGATCACATTCACTTTGGTCATTGGCTCGTATCAGTGTGGTTTCATCAACAATTGTTAATAAGCCATTATTTTTGTACAGTAATCCTGTAATAATATTAAGTATTCAGCTAGAAGTACTGCTTTCCTTGTTGACATGTTTTATTCTTCCCTGTAGAATACACCATCATGCTCATCGCTCATTCTTAATATTATATATTTTTACATATTAGCAAATTTAAGAGATTATAGAGTATAGATCAAGAGCTTGCTAATGGTTCATCTAATATCCCTATCTCGCAAGGTGGTTAATCATACATGGAATACTAATATTATTATGATCACATCCTTTGTGGGCTGGAGTTACTCTGGCTTTCTTAAAAATGTCAGGAAAGGCTTGAAGTTGTAGTGACTTATTGCAGAGATATGCTATTGCTGGTGTTGATATACCTGAATCTCTTTTTTTGTATGCATTAGGGTTGGTATTTCTGAGTGATTGTCTACTTTTACTTTAAGTGAGCGTATTAGAGAGAGAACGTCTAAGGAACTGGTTCTGTATAGTCGCATTGGCTTAGTATTTTCTCCTGAGAATTACTCTATCTTACCTTTTGACAACGTGCAGAAGACTAGACTTTGATGAAAATAAACACGATGAAGTTCTTATTCCTATCCTTCTGTGTATTTTATTAATTACTGATCATCTTATCTAAAGACTATCACTTTCTTTCTCGTGTTAGGTGATCTTCATTGATACGGAAAACACTTTTCGACCCGACCGTCTACGTGCTATCGCTGATCGCTTCAACCTGGAGCAAGAAGCCGTATTGGATAACGTGCTGTATACTCGAGCGTTCACATCTGAGCATCAGTTTGACATTCTTGACCACGTGGCTGCACAGTTCCACGAGGAGCCAGGCATATTCAAGTTGCTGATCGTAGACTCAATAATGGCATTGTTCAGAGTGGATTTCAGTGGACGGGGTGAGCTAGCTGATAGGCAACAAAGGCTTGCACAGTACTTGTCCCGGCTCCAAAAAATCAGTGAGGAATACAACGTCTCAGTTTTTATTACAAATCAAATGACTGCTGACCCAGGTGCCACAATGTCTTTCCAAGCTGATCCCAAAAAACCCATCGGTGGCCACATCTTGGCTCACGCCTCCACTACCCGCGTGTCGTTACGTAAAGGACGGGGAGAAACGCGCATCGCCAAAATTTATGACAGTCCAGAGCTACCCGAAAACGAAGCCACCTTTGCTATCACTGCAGGAGGAATTGCAGATGCAAAGGAATGAAAGAGAGCATGCAGATCAGTGGAGTTGGAGGACAACAAATTAAATTGTACATTTATAAATTTCCAAGTGGGAAAGCAACAAATATGGCAATTGTACTGTATAAGACTTATTTGCAGATGATTTTTTGTTTCAATTTAATTTTCAATTTAAACATACTTTAATCTTTTTATGGAATAATTCATTTATTAAAATCAATAAACATATTTGGAAGTTTAAATAGTTTTTTATACAATCTTGTTCACATATGTAATCGGTTTTTGCAATATCGTTATTTTGTCTGCATTAAATCCTTTATTATTTTGTTCTCTTTATTTTTATTGTAAGAAGAAATGTTTATATTATTAAAATATTAAGTAAAATATTATTAAATTATTCAAATATAAACATAAAATATTAGATTATTAAAATATAAACATAAAATATTAGATTATTAAAATATTAAAGATTATTAAAATAACGAGCATGTAACTCATTATGTTGTAGTTAAGGTTCTTAGTTAATTTATTATGGACCTCTTATCCATCCAATGAGAGGTGGGAGAAAGGTTTAAAAAAACATAATGGGCTCGGGAAGCGAACCAAAATCATATATGGCAAAGGTATTCCTTACAACAAAAGTAGCAATTGAATTAGTATGGTGAGAGGGAGCGGTTCGACCAGTCCACCTGCAGGTATCTCCTGATATGACAGCGTCAAGGCCACACCGCCCAGTGGCAAGCCATTAATGAGACAAGCACCCGGATTCTCCTAGCTACCACTTTGCATCTTGCTCATCAACACACACACACTAGGATGTAAGTATATTAGTTTCATTATCATTCATCCCGTCCTCATATCCCTTCCATGTGATATATAGTCATACTGGTTTAGCGCTTTCGTCTGATGTACCCTTCAACTTTTCCAGAATCATTTATATTTCACTGAAGGAAACGTTATGGAAATAATGTACACAATGGGGGTAATGTTGTTATAGATAAATGGTACATTCATTGAGTTTTTTCTAGTGAGTTGATTGTAACATTCATGTGAAATGCATGTGCAGTACCACATAGTAGCAAATAGGTAGCAAGTTGAGGACAAAACTAATGAAAGGACAGGTGTTGTTATTCAAATTCCTTCAGCATGATGAGTGATATCAATCAACCCATCATATTTACGAACTTGAAGACCATCGTCTTATGAGTGGCCTCGACAAGGACAGGAAGCCGGTGGCTTGTCAAAGGTCTCCCATTTGTCCTGAAATATTTTATCCAGATGGATTTTGAATTGCAGCAATGTTTTGGCACTTACGGTTGGTGGATCCGTGGGTTTATAACGTTATAGGTGAAAAAGCATCTCCTGTTTTTTGTTCGGCATTGTAGCTTGTTAAGCCTAAAGCATTTGCTCCTTGTCTGTGTTACACCTGATCTCTTAAAGAAGTGTTCTGAATCAATATCCTCCAAATTGTTCAATATTTTAAAAGTTTCGATGATGTCTGGTTTGTAGTGTCGTTAACCGTGTGGTCCTCAACCATTCCTGGTATGAGAGAGTCGACTTTGTTCTGGGATGATTTTTGTCGCACGGTGTTGAACTTTCTCCAAAGCAGATATATATCATTTTGAAGATGAGGTGTAATCTTCAAAATGAAATACTCGGAAAAGACCACCATTTCCGTCTTGTCCAGCGACCGAACCCGGGTCTCTCGACCAATGAGTCGAAGGCGTAGACCACTGTGCCTATAATAATGTAAAATTCCCGTTTGCCAACAGCTTTGTGTACAGAATGCATAGTTGACATGCAAATCAAAGGTTCCAGCTGTGACATGCTGGTTTTAGGCCATTTTTGTGAAACGAGGAAAAAATGACAAAGTTCAGACAAATAATGTTAATATAATAATAATGTAAAAATGTGAAATAAAATGTAAATGTAATTAGTGGCTCTCAAAGGCAAATGTATAAGCAACCCTTAACTCATTAAGACAGTTATGAGAGTAACTTTTAGCTCATCATGGCAATTGGAAGTGATTCTTAATTAATTAGCCTATCAAGACAATTACAAGATTTAACCTTAGCTCATGAAGGCAATTTTCCTGAGGGCCAATCTCTCTCTAAGGGCTTCGACGGGGACAGGAAGCCGGCGGCTTATTAAAGGTCTCCCTATTATTCCTGAGGATCTTCTCTATCTGTATTTTGAGCTAAAGTAATGTCTTGCCATTTATGGCTTCGGCAGGTAAGTGATTCCATGGGTTTATGGAATCTTCGGGTCTATGGGCGAAAAATCATATAGTGTTTTCTAGCCAAATTGTTGCTTATTGAACTTGGAGTAATATCCTACAACTTGTTCAGTATTTTAGTCCTGTGACCCTCAACTGTTCCTGGTATTGGAGTTGACTTTGTTCTGGAATGATTTTTGTCGCTCTCAGATGAACTTTCTCATAAGCAGGATATGTCCTTTTGAGGGCGAGTTCTCCATACTTGGATAGTGGGTACAACAGTCCAAATGAAGGCACACCAGGGACTTCCTTGTACAGTTGAATAGCTACTTTCTTTTTCTTGTAGTCAAAAGTTCGTTTAACTCTTCTTAAGGTTTGATTTTTTTTTATACGGCAGCTTCCACTTGTGAAACTTTCAATGACTGGTAGATCAGAACAAATGGTGGGGACATTTGACAAGCTGCCGGCTTCAACTTTCAATGACTGGTAGATCAGAACAAATGGTGGGGACATTTGACAAGCTGCCGGCTTCAACTTTCAATGACTGGTAGATCAGAACAAATGGCGGGGACATTTGACAAGCTGCCGGCTTCCTGTCATCGTCGAGGCCACTAGTGTGTTAATGGGAATGTACCTGAACTTACCAGTATCTAATATAAATGTATTTCTTATGTCTATAAAGCTATATTAATATTCTTCTGTGCTTGACTGAAGTACAACAAATTCGAGAATTTAGAGGCAATTTTATAACAAATATCCAAGAACTACCCAAATAATTCATTTAAATGTACCTACTACTTACAAATTTTAGCCACGTATTAAAATTTTGCATATCAATCGTGTACACATTGAGTTTGTATTTGCAGTGCCCGCTAATGTAGATCTTGCCTTAATTGGTAAGTAGTTCATTACTGCTGTTATTTTCTTGTACAAAAATAGCAGTTGAGTGTCCAGTTTCTGAATTTATTATGCCTTGAAACCCTTCTACCACTGCCCATTGCGTACGGGATACACAAACTAATTCGAGCCAACGTTTGTTTGATCATAGACGGAGTGCCTATACAGTATATTTATCTAACTCTTATTCGTGTCAAGTGTATGGCTTTTTATTCCTAGCGATCTCATCCCTATAATAATCACACATATATATATATATAATATACATGTTGTCTTTCCTATTTGACTTTATTTCAGGAAAACTGACAAATGTGGCTAAAATTAACAATTTATTTATTTATTTATTTATTTATGCATATACAAGAAGGTACATTGGGAATGTGAGGATACATAATATGGTAATTACAGTCTATTACAGGTAATTACTATGCAATATAGCCAATAAGATAACACACAACATTTATCATGTCACGGTTTCTGCAACTGGTTCATCAACATTTTCAATAACGTGCAATTGTAGAAAACAACAAAAAACAAATGGTATGTGGGCCATTATGTAGTCCGACAAGTACATGAATAATTCAGTGGTGGCGGGCGCTTGGAGGCTCACCCGGGCATGATACCCAAGTCTAGCGACAGTAACTTTCGAATCTATACAACGTTAAAGGAAGATGAGACGTATGAACCGGTGTAGATAACATTAGTGGCACGGTAACCCCATTCATACTATGCACTCCAGAGGTCCAGAAGTGTGAGTGAGTGCCCGCGAGGACTCAGCCTTGAGGTTGTACGGCACGGCACCCTCATTGGCCGCCTCACCTGTGACGTCACTATTTGTACACCTAATGAATGAAATTATAGCGAGGCTCGTCGGCTAGCTCATCAGAGGGTCGCATAGGCTGGGTATGGGGCATATACTAGACAGCGAGTCTCAATGTAATTATAGCGAGATGTCTTATGTTTGTGTGTTGTGAATGCCTATTTGCCAAGATGAATTTACCGATAAGATGGATTAAAAGCGGAAAATACTAAGTATCAGGACGAAGGTAAGGGATTGTGGCATAGTGCTAAAATCTGCCTTACGTAATAAAAGGGAGGTTTCAAGGGAAGAAGCATTGCAATTTAAGTGGTTACTCTCGGCAGGTGCAGGTCGCCAAGTAACAGGTGGTTTAGCCAAGAAGAAATGCTTAATTAAGGCATGTTGAATGTATATGCAGATGTTTACAATTGGACCATATAACTGGTGAATTTGCCAAGTGTGGGGACAGAAGGGCAAACTGAGACGAGATAGGGCCGTGGGAGAGAGACAGAGAGGGCAGGAGGCGTGTTTCTCTGCTCTCTCACAGAAATGTGAAATGCATACAAATTGTTTATATTGGCTAATTACAATCCCGTGAAACTAATTTAGCATCAAGATCAAGAACCATTTCATGAAATTTCCCCGTTAGTTTTGGATATACAAAGAGATCTACGTGAACTCTACATGTGGTCAGAAGACTAGCAAAGGCCTTTTAAATATTTACAAGTGCAAGACCCTGCATGTTGGGCATAACAACCCACGCTACAACTACCAAATTAATAACAATATTACAGCAGATTGATGAAGAAAATGACCTTGGAGTCAAAATCCATCACTCGATGAAAGTTGCACAGCAGGTAGGAACAGCAGTCAAAAAAGCTAATCAAACTCTTGGAATAATCAAGTGTACCTTTGACTTAAAGGAAAAAAGGTAATGATTCAGTTGTATAAATCTGTGGTACACCTTCATTTGGATTACTGTATCCAAGCATGGAGACCACATCTTCAGGACATCACTGCTCTAGAGAAATTACGGGCTATTCATGCCCGGGCCACCTCTAGGGTAGCTTAATCCTCATTAATCAATCTGGAGAAAGTGCAGCACCGGCAACAAAAATCATTCCAGAATTAAGTCAACTCTGGTATCAGGAATGGTCGAGGGCCACAGGGCTAACAACACTGCAAACCAGGCATGAGAGGGCGGACCTCATTGAAACTTAAAATACTGAACAATTTGGAGGATGTTGATATGGAATTTTTTTTCAAAAGATCAGATATAACAACGAGAAGCGGTTTCAAGCTCAACAAGCCACAATGTAGGACTGAGAATAGGAGATGCTTTTTCACTCACAGGGTTATTAACCCATGGAACTGCCTACCCACTGAAGCTGTAAATACCAAAACTGTGTTAAGTTTTAAAGTACAGCTGGAAAAGATCATCAAGGCAAATGGTGGGACCTTCGACAAGCCACCGGCTTCCTGTCCTTGTCGAGGCCACTAGTGTTAGTGGCTCTCAGGTAAATATAATTCTCAAAATTTGAGAAACTGTGAAGGGCATCTCACTCATGATTATTAGCCTGGCACATGAAGGCAATTACTGGTACTGTATAGGTATTTTGTACGTGGTATTTCTTGTGCAGTTTTCAATAGCATGTTCTTGCTAAATGGAAAATTTAATACCACTTTCATATTGAGGTAATGGATAAGACTTAAATATTGACATTCAAATAGGAAGAGTAAACAGGAGTACAAGTATTGCTTGAAATGATTCTGACAAGAATGATGCTCAAATATGTTCATTCATAGAGAGAAAATCTAAGGCTCGGTGCACTTTCCATGGTGGTTACCTTAAGATGGTTCCAAGGACCAGTGTCCCCGTAGCCTGGATACATAAGCAGCAAATTTGATTATCTATGTTGCTTGGGATCCAACCCACAGTACAATGTCACCTTAATATAAAATACATTGAGCTTTAGAAAAAATAAATGATGTTGGGTAAAAGAAGGACAAATATTTCCTTATCACATACAGTACAGTCTAGTCTTAATGCATTTCAAACTACTGATACAGCAGTACAGTACTATAATTTAGGCATGATTTTACTCCCTTAACTCAGAGTAAAATTGTACCTAAATTATAGTACTGTCATTAGTTTGAGATGCACTAAAACTTGACTGCATGTGATAAGGAAATATTTTCCATCTACCTTGTGTAATATGCAACAACTTCAAGCTCAATAAGCCACAATTTTGCATCCAAAAATAGACGATGCTTTTTCACCCAAAGGGTTATAAATCCCCAATGGAATTGCCTACTCACTGAAGCTGTAAATGCCAAGACATTAATGTAGTTCAAAAGGGGGTAGTACCTTTGACAAGCTACAGGCTTCCTGTTCCCATCAAGGCTACTAGAGATGTGGATGCCCTCAGGTAAATTAAGATAATCGTTAATTAGAATCTTGTTCAATAAAATCTATAAACATGAAACCATAAGGAAAAAAAGGACACTGCAGAAGGCCTGTTGGCTCATACAAGGCAGCGCCTATTTATCTGGAACCCTAGTCGGTTTGCAATTTCTCATTTTAGGATAAAGATTTATTATTCTAACCCTGTACAGTATTCACCATTTTTATTAAAGTTCTACTCGGGTTTTGTTAAAATTGCAAATATTGTCTTTAAATTAGTTATGCAGATGACAGGCATTGTCAAAGTATAAATTTTACTAGTTTATAAGTAAACAGTATCGAACCATAAAATTCACCATAATAATAGCTCTATCGATAGAGCTTCAGCTTCACATGCGTGTGGTCTACGGTTCGAATCTCCTAGAGCCCAGGTGAATGGAATGTTTATTTCCACAAAAGTGTGGATGACAATTTATTTGAAGTGGGTGTGGATCACTAATTCCTCTGAGCTTCAGCAAAAGTCATAGAAAGTCAATTCCAGTTTGGCAGGCAGGATGCTGCTTCCAGAATCTCCTTACTAAGTCTACTCAATACCTCGGTTAATAGAGCTTCGGCCTCACACACGTGGGGTACGTGGTTTGAATCTCCTAGAGTCCAGGTGAACGGATGACTTTCAGTAAATTTAAGTTGGATAATAATGTACATTTTAGTGTCATCGGAACGTTTACTGTTGAGTATGGATGACACGTTTTAAGTGTCATCGGAGCACTAAAGTGTTAAATAAATTTTGTTATGCATGGCTTATGTTAGAACTCCATGGTCTAATACAATTATTGTGTACAGTACAACTTTAATATTATTAATTTTGAAAATATCTTGTGCATAATTTTCAGACAATATGGAAAAAGAAAAATGCTGGGAAATGTATCACAGAAAAATGTACCATAAGTTGTTAAGTTAGGATATACCTAGGTATGTCAAAAGATCACGGTGTTAATTGGGATGTTGACTGAAATTCTAATTTTGCTTAATTGTTTCAAGTAGCACCACATAATCAACACCTCAAGACACATTGAAGATTTTTATCCCGGCAAAATCACCAGTGGTGGTAGTGTGATGACAGGGTTTTCCATTGTTGTGGACAGGAAGCTTGCACTGTATTTAAGTTTATTGAAGTCCACCTCTAGGTCAAGGCTATTTGCTGTTCCATCTCTGACAGCAAATAGCAGTGGCTGACACTGCTTGACATAGCTGCTTTCCTTCGCTACAGACATCACCACTACTAAGGTGATAATTCTAGCCACTTGCACTCTGATTAACCTAATTAAGCCTAATGCTGTATATCCCAACTTAACCTACCCTATCCTAGCTTAATATAGTGCATGAACCCCTTGAGATAAAACAAAATGACGTGTTGGGTACTGTATATGGCATGGAAGACCTGTTGTGATTTCATACCACTATTTCAATACTGTACCGATGTTCACTCCATAAAGATAAGTTACTACATTGATAATGACTTCCCATAGTATGTAATCATTTATTATACATTCTTGACCTTAAGATTTATGATTCATTCAATCATTCATCTATTATCATTACCCTTTACCCCCACTTTCATGGGAGCAGGTCATAAGACTGTATAGAAAAATGTAAATCATGGTTTTATATGTTAAGATAATATCAGTCATCAGTTTGACATGTTATTAATGCTGTATAGTATCACAGGGTAAACAAGAGCCACCACACTAGCAGTTGTTAATAGCAGCAGCACCCTAGCATTTCACATGATGATGTACAGAGCTCCTTATAAATTTTCATATACAGTATGTACAAATAATACATTTACACATTCCTTACAAACAGCTTCCGTCCAGCCTAATTTTTTTTTATCATATACCGTGCAATGTTAATTTTCAATTCCTGCTTCCTTATACACTCACCCAACATGTCCATACTTTGCATAAGTGGAATTTTTTTATCTTTGCATCTATTTATTGTACTGCAAGCATAATAGGTTATAGACTGCTTAGAAAGTATCAGAATACTGTACAGTATTTTAATCTTATACTTTGATGAAAACTAATTTGAAATCAATTTTACAGATGGTAGGAAGAGGGTGGTGGTTGCTGGTGTGGACAGTGTATGCTGCTTGGACAGTGTGCTTTGTATGTGGAGGGCTGTCTTGTCAACAGGGTCAGGAGTTTTACGACAGCGAACAGGGCCGGTGTGTGTCATGTACACGTTGCCACGGTTCCCAGGTGGTGGTGGTTCCATGCTACGTGTATCGGGATGCTGTATGTGCCCCTGCTGCTCAGTTCCTTCCTACCTGGTCACGGCTCACTCAACCCCAAGCCCCCATCACCCTCTCCACACCAACCACCATGCAAAACCACACACAAGAAGAACATGGACACGGGAAAAGGATTTCAACATTTTCCAATGATAAGCGAAAGCATTTGAATAACCATAGAAAAACTTCTGGTCATCAGGAAGGAAAATCTGGCACAAATAAGGCACCTTCCAATAAAAGCATGCATAGCAAAAAGAATCACAGAAAATTACATAACCAAAATGGCTCGGAAAAGACCAAAAAAGGGAAATCAAAGCACCACCACCGTCATAGACACAGTGGAGAACGCACTGAGCATAGAGCACAAAATAAATCTCTTATGGTGAACAGAGAGGAAGCTGTAAGTGGTGTCCACATTAGTCAGAAAATTGGTGCTAGTGAATCAGTGAATGAGAACACAAGTGTTCGTGAGTCAGTTAACCACACCAGAGAAAGTGGTGGTGATAGAAAGGAGTCAGTAAAGGACATCAGTGATGGTGCTAATAGTGATAAGGATAAAGACAGTGACTCACATCGGCCAGATACTGCAGACTGGCAAAGAACTATTTTTCTCACAGTTGTCATTGTTATTAGTATATGTGTTGTTGGGCTCACCATCGCTACACTTAGTCATCTAAGAAACATCATCACTAAGCGAAAATTGAGTAAGTACATACTATATACCTTTCGTGTTGCATAGTCTGTGTAGAAAATAGAAAAACTCTGCATGGTTCCATTAATCTGAATCTTGTTTAGGACTGGATTGAATTTTGGTCTTTTTGGTCTCCAGAATTTTTATCCTTAAAAAAAAAGTTATTTTTTGTGCTCTCTTATGACAACCATAGTAGAAAAATTCTTTGTAAATAAGGACAACTGTATACAGTATTAAAATATTCTTGATGAGCATGAAAGTCTAATGGTTGATAATTGATAATTCTGTTCTATTTATCATTGTCTACATTACTTTGGGTGTTATTTTTAGCCTGTCTTATTTCAGGGTGGCTCTCTTGTCTTGAGCCTTCTTGTTCTTGTCTATCATTTTCTTTGTCCTCTCATCTATGGTCCCTTCATTCTTGGTCATCATTTTCTGGCTGCCTTCTTGGTGGCCCTTGATTTTTGTTCTCCAGTTAGTGAGCTTCTTGCTCTTCTTCAGTAATAGGGGTTTTTGCTCTTGTCTTGGGTCTTGGTTCTTGTGGCCTGCAATGTTTTTTCTGGCGACTTTGTTCTACCCCAGTCTTCCTCCATTTCCCAGGGCTTCTAGGGAGGAGCCTGAGTAGGGTCCGTGGGTGCTCTTTAACTTCAGTTGAACTCTGGTGCCCGGTGTGAAGGGTCATCTTTTTCTTTGAGCAGAGGGTTTTATATATTCTATTTCTGTAGATCCCTCTGGTATATCTGTGATGCTATCTCACTGAGATGGCTCCCCTCTACTGGGTCACATCAGTTAAACAAGTTATGTTTAGCCTACTGGGAACCAGAGCCAGAACCTGGTCACCTCAAAAAGGTGCAGAGAGTGAGTGACAATCCGCCACCCCACCGGGAAAGCATCCAAAAAGCCAGTAAAACTTTATGGACAACTGCAAGGGCCATAGAAAATGATGCCTTGAAATTGTTGAACAACTCCACAATGATTCAAATGAAACAATTGATTCACTCAAAAGTAGCTCTAACCCTATAAAGTTAATACCAATAGCTGCCATAAGGCAACCCAGGTCCCAGCTCAGAGCAAATCATTCTGGATCAGGATTAGTTCTGTCGCTGATGTAGATTTGTCCACTTGTGGAGTGCTCTCCGGGCTAGTCTATTGCAGCAGGTCCCACTACTTTAAATTAAGTAATTAAGTGCCAGTGATCCTTCAGACTTTGTCCTATGGGGGCTATTTGCTTGTATGTTGTTTTCTTTTGGTACTTGCTTCACATGCATGCGTTTATATTTTGGCAAGTTTGTGTGGACCTAGCAGTATTTACGCTCCATGTTGCATAAGCTCAGGGTTTCCTTTCCTGGATGCTCTTCTAGCATTGTCCTTCCACTGACGGTTACTTCTCTGGTGTGTTTGGGAGTATGCCCCTGAGGCCTGACCATCTGGCTCCTCATGGATCACAAACCCATGGATGCATTCATATCCACAGTCTGGTTATCTCAGTAATAGTGTTAAATAAACATTCGTCGCAGAGGGTAACTTAAGTGTACTGCATGACAGATTCTTGCTGCAAGGCAATTTAATTTTTCCAGTTGGTTTTAATATTCTGTATTTCATTAGATTATAGTGGATATTTAGGATAATGAAATTTGGATAAACGGAATTGGACTACAATACCGTAATCATAAAGCTTGAACATATATTAACAAAATTATAAGTGGTTAATTTATAACTATTAACTTCAGTCCACAGTTACATACAATACATAGTACTGAATTTCTTATTGGATCTAATGATACTAAATCCATATAGCAAATAACCAATGGGGAAAATTTGCGAGTTTGGAAAATTATGATTATTTTCTAGATCAGTTTCAGTAAGTGAAGGAATTTGATAAATGCTTTAGTGCTATATTACTATTCATCATTCTGTTTGTAGAATTTTACCACCCTCTACTACCCATGTGGTTCAAGAAAATCTTGAGAATTTAATATAGCATGTTTGTAGTTTGTATGTCTAAATTTTTTCCTTTTTGCAGGATGAAAAAATATCCCACGTGAATCATGTAAATTAAAATTTGTTAAAATTATTTTGAAGCAAAATTATTCAGAAATAAATACTGTAACAAATTTTATTTATAGGAATTAATGATATGTAATTTAAACTCGAGGTGTGCAAAATGCTTCAGTTTTACAGAGAAAATTAGGCTAACTTGCTCAAATTTACCATCATATCAGTTGAATACCTTATGACTTAGTTTTGTACCATACTTTATTTCAATACAGAAGAACATTTTAATTCAATAATTATTATTTATTATAGAAAGAGTCAATGATACAGTTGCTGAAGAAAATAATGGAGAGATGAGAGTGATGGAACATCTTTTGCCATCTCATCCTGCTGCACTTACAAGCAGATCAACAGTGACAACTAGGAGAGCTGGTGTTACTTATGTGAGATCTTCTGCCACCACCCCACCTGTCCCACCAGCTTCCACTACCACGGCTGGTGAAGTGGCAGTACTGGACTCTGAACAAATATCTGGTCATGTATACCCACCCATTCCATTCACAATGGATAGACTACTAGGTTAGTAAGACTATGAAGCATTTATATATACAGTACCATTTTCATGGGGTCAATTTTTATGCCAGTATCACCATTGGATGGGTATGTTAATAGTATGGAAAATATTTAATAAATATACAGTGTAGTTTTTATTTGTTTGCACAATCAATAAACATTCGTCGCAGAGGGTAACTTAAGTGTACTGCATGACAGATGCCCGAAACGCTTTGCGTAATAGTGGCTTTAGGCATTGTATGTACTAGCCCTATCTATAAATCCATCACTCTTTGTAAAATCTCTTGTATGTACCTTACCTAAATAAACATTTGATTTGATTTGATTTGAAATTTTGTAGGTTCTTGTAAATTTTTCCTCTTAAGCTTAACCATTTTGTAGGCCATTTTAATATAAACAGTACTGTACCTCATATTACAATGTTATTTATGCAAGACAACAAAACTAATAAATAATACACTACATCTTAGGTTTTCACTCATTAATATTCATCCACCACAAACGTTAGTATATAATTAATTAGGCTCAAAATAATTTTAGCAACATTATTCAAGTGAAAATTATCCTGTCTTAATGCTGATTGATGCAGCAATAAAATCGTGGCAGCTTTTAAATAAAAATAAATTTTAATGTAATACTGTAGTCACAATCTCACTTTCTGAAATTCCCACTGTGAACTGTCCATTTATTAATTTCTGTCCAAACTACATTGGCATAGTCCTCTATCATGCATGATCACCTTCACGACACTGGGCCTGACTTGCTGGTCGGCCTGTACAATGTGTGTGCCCATGGTTATTGAAGATCTGCTCTCACACTGTTGTATTTTACTGAAAATGGGAAACACTCTGCTTCTATGGCTTGAGAAATGCAGGAAAAACTTTGGCCAAATGTTGACAAACAGCAGACTTGACAACATTTTAGCATATCATGAGTTTATAAATGCAAATGGAATCTGGCACACAAAGTAGTTACAAGCAACTAAGAGTCAGCAAAGCCTTTTTTTTTACAATACACTACAGTATTTAAGGCTAAAGATAAAGTCTTTGCTTGTTATGCTCAAAGCGAGAGCTAAATATATAAAAATGTAGGAAAAGGAAGCAGGGAACCAGGCTAAAATTAAATGTTTTAATGATACTGTTTTGTAGTCATATAAAGAATCACAAGATGAAACAAAGAAACCAGTAGATCCAGGAGAAGGCCAAGTACTGTATTTCCTTAAGTAAATACTGTAAACATTAGTACGGACTGTATTTATACAATGATGGATTGCTTATGCAGTAGTCAAAATATATTCGCGTAACATGAAATCAACATGATAAGCATTTATTCAATGTAACATTGTTTGCCCAAAATTGTCACGGGGATAGGCACTTTATAAAGTGCCATAGTATTAAGCATATTATATGGGAAGAAGTGAGTGTGCCGAGGTAGCAGGAGCATAGAAGTACAGTATCTGTCAAAATGTGAGAAGTTTGCAGAATAAATCATTATCTGAAAAATTTAAAATGCTGAAAAATCAAACTTTACTCACTTCAGTTGCATATGTATATGTACACTTAAGGTAAAAATGATGGTACTTCTAGGTACAAGCTGAATTAAGTGAGGCTCACTCCAGCCCATCACCAGGTGTCAGCATATCTCGGGAAATCATCATCCTCAGATTCAACCTGGCTATTTCACCAGCTGTGTCTGGTGCTGCAGGTCACAGTTCAGTTAAGCAACCAAGCGACTCAAGCTGTTGTTTCATATGCAGTAAGGTTATGCATTAAATGGATGCTACTATCACAGTGACACTCGTTTGCATGTCTGGTTATTCTTGCTGACTGATGTTTGTTTTTCCTGCAAGTTAATTGGGTTGTGCCTACAGTATGGTCATTCTTCTTTAAACTTGTTTATGTTCTTTAAACGTCCTTTAACATTACATTATGTAAACATCCTTTACATTTATGATTATGTTCATTCTTCTTGAGTTTGGTCAATACTTTCACAGTTCTGTAGAACTTGGTCTCAGGACAAGGCATTAGTGCTGAGTACACACTTTATTGATACCTGGTTGATGGGGTTCTGGGAGTTCTTTTACTCTCAAAGCCCAGCCCGAGGCTAGGCTTGACTTGCGAGAGTTTGGTCCACTAGGCTGTTGCTTGGAGCGGCCCACAAGCCCACATATCCACCACAGCCTGGTTGGTCTGGCACTCCTTGGAGGAAACAATCTAATTTCCTCTTGAAGATGTCCACGGTTGTTCCGGCAATATTTCTTATGCTCGCTGGGAGAATGTTGACCAGCCGCAGACCTCTGATGTTTATACTGTGTTCTCTTATTGTGTCTATGACATCCCTGCTCTTCACTGGTTCTATTCTATTTTGGGTTACTGATCACAAGTGTGAATACATGACTCATTCAGCTAAAGCTGGTCTCACCTGATAGTGTTGTGTAACTTTCTCAACATTTTCTTAGACACTGGATGCCCTTGCTTTTTCTTGTTTGCGAGTCAACAAGTTGAAGCGAAGTCAGTCAAAAACATGGTTCTTGTGAGCAGGTCCTTTATTCAGGACTGTGGTTTGGGGTTGGGGGTTTCCAGGACTTATTCTAGGTTTCTGCACAGTTTTCTACTCTTCTGTGTTGCCACTGTTCCAGAGTTGTTAACTGCATCAGATCTGTTTTGTTTCATAAAATTGGAATCCATTTGAGCAAATTCCCAATGTCCATAAAATCCATTCAGATTATGTTTATAGTACATGTACATAAAAGTTCAATTATTACTGTATTGATAAACTTGCATCTTTCATTATATCTCATTATCTAGTGAAGAGAAGACAGGATTAGCATGGAATACATATTTTATATGTTGATAGAATGATGTGAAGAAAGTGATTATTTACTTCATGTCTGTTTCAGAACAGCGAAGAGTGTTGGGTCCATCATCATCTGTAGATACAAATCTCTACATTGAAAGCTGGCAACAGCAAGATAATCACCCAGCAGTGCAACACCCACCATCTGCCAGCTCCTTTACTGCTGGTCCCCGAACTTTTCTGAGGGGAACAGTATCTGCTTGTCCAAGCCCAGTGCCAGTTCGTACTTACCGATTGGGACCTGCATCAGCTTCAGCTAGCCCAATCTTCCCTGTCAGAGGATTGGGGCCCACTCGAGGACGCATGCGTGGAACACTTATATCAGCTGCATGTGCCTTGTCTGGTAGCAGTGGTGGTGTAGTAAGTGATTGTACCTCGGTTGCACCCACATAGCAGTCTACAAAGCAGATCAAGAATGGTGAATACCAGTGGGTTTTCCTTACATTGCAGCAATGCCATTCATTGTACAAGTTGTAAAAAGTGATTTACTTAATCTTGTGATGTTGAGACCACAGAAGTGATCAGGTCTCACTTGAGACAGCTATTAGTCATCAAAATTATGCCTTAAAATAAGTTTTTGTGGAAATTGAAATGTGTGACAGCTTATCATGTGAGCTATGTTGCATCCAGTTTTCATTGCAGCTCATCTACATAAGAGGCTTATCCACTTAATTCTAAGCAGCTCATTGTGGCAGCTTACCTTGTATGATAGCTTCATCTTTTGTTCATAGACTTTTGCTCAGAATATTCCCATGACTTCTTGGTGGAGAACATTACACCTCATGAAAAATATTTAGTAAAATAATATTTTAATTACAATATAGCAATACTATGTATTGAATCAAAATTGTTTAAGAGTCATCCCATGAGCGGGTATAATATGCCACAGGCATTCAAGAAGTGATCAGGATTTCTTAAAGTAGCTTTGTAGACCCCAAGCGGTGCTCTGGCACTTGAATATTACAAAGTAATTGGGCACATGTTGATGTGTACTGTACTGTACATAATATGTATACTGTATTTATATGAGACCTGTAAATAGACAATATATTTGTGTGACAGTGTTTTGATAGTACTGTACTGTAATTGGCATGTGTGTGTGTGTGTGGCTGTAAAAATTTGTGTACAGTACTCCAATATTGTCAAGTTGTAGATACGAGTACACCATGGCTCAAGTTTGTGTGCGTTTCTTACTGCTCAAGAGTTGTATTCTGGGTATTACTTTATTAAAAAAAAAGTTTTGCCCTAGTGTTCTCGGTTTACAAATGAATATTGCATTACATCGCATGGAATGTGTGTAATTTTCCAGTAATTTGGGAGAAATGACTTGCAAATGATTTAAAAAAAAAGTGCTATATTGGGTCTGCTCAGCTCTTCAGTGCCAATTGTGCCATACTGTGTGATAATTGTACTTAGCTCGAGGACACATTTTTTTATTGTAACATGAGTATTTCTTCATAGGAACAATTAGCTATGGCAAAAAAAAATTAATTACTAATTACACATGAGCATCTTAATTTGAATAAAGTGCAAATGTGTTCTATGTTGTGTAAATGTTTTCTTTATATACATATCATCCACATCCAATATTAAACAAAATTTAGGATGTAAAGTGTATTTTTATTTTTGTAGGTTCAGTCTTGTGTCATGTTACTTGGTCAAAAAAGTATTAAATGCTTTATCATTACCATATCCCAAGGAATGGGATCTTAGCAGAATCTCTTTTTTTTTTTTTTTCCCCCCAGACAGATCTGTCCCAAGTTTCCTCAAATTCTTCCTTTTGATGTTATGATGACAAATTCTGTTTCACATCTTACTACTTTTAGCATTCTTATGTTGGCAAATATCTTCATATTTACTTTGTTAATACCTAAGGTCTTAAACTGCCAGTATGTTTGATGCCTTCTCAGTCAAGATATGGGCATCATATTTTCCTGGTCTGCTTGCCTACAACCTCTAAATGAATATTTCTGTTTGAAAGTACCTTTACACATTCAAGTTTTGAAAGTTAAACATTAGATTTAAACTATTTATTTATAAATTTACATTTTGCTGTGTTGTAACATCATTGAATTTACCAATGCTTTTGAGTATAAAAAACAAGATGTGTATAAGGAAATGCAAGATTAGAAAGCCAGATAAAATAATAGGATTTATTTATCTTATATGAATGTATTCACTTCAAAAGGCATTACAGCATTTTAAAATGTATTGGCAAGTACTGTTTTGGCTGATTCATACTTAAAGGAAACATAAATGGGAGAAAAGGTTTTCTTTAAAATTTAGGCATGTAATGTTATAGATTTTTTAATTTTGTCTATATTAAGAGGAAGCTTTTTAAGAAAGATTTATATTTGAAGTAATACCCGCCATTTAAGTTGCTTTTGAATTCAAAAATTTTGCTGTTTATTGTTAAAAAAAAATCCAAAACTGTATAGCTATGAATGGTAAACCTGCAGTAATTAAATTAACTTGTGGGCATAGGTATTTCAGTTTACATATGCAGTATACAGTAATTATTTTTGAAGTCATATCTCTTCAAGTTCTGATACAGTATGACATAACTGATGAAATATTTTGGTTAATATTGTATATCACATTGTATTGATGATAATTTACTCATCGGTTGTAATCAAATAATGACACATTAAGATTTGCCACACGATGTTACAATCCCTAGTCACATGTACCTCTAGCAGTAGCACTGAGTATTGTAGTAAAGATTTATTTATAACTTCGCCCAATTGGCGTTTCATGTACAATGTAGCATTTTCACTCCTTTTTCTGTAAGATCCACACATACATTCCAAATTAGGTTTGCCTCTCGACAGTTGGTCAGCTTTACAATCATTATACGTTTATATATCATTTATCATTATTCTATTTTAGATCATCACTGCATTTAGGTCGTAACAAAAATACTAAAAATCTTACCAGCAGGAATAATGACTACTCTAAGGTTTGGGAGCAGCCAGGTTGTCAGATGGTAAAATATTAGATTTGTCATTTTTGTGTCATTCCAAGGGATCATATATAATAATGCAAGTTTTGTGTAGTTCCAAGGGAACTTGTACAATAATGCAAATTTTGACAAAATGGTTAAGAGGCTATAACTACCTGTTTAAAAAAATTATTTGTCAAGTGTTTTGCAAGTTTCAAAACACATGTTCAAGACTTTCAAAGTACCTTTGTGTATTTTATATGCCAATATCCACGGTGACAACAAAGATAAATACACAGTTTCAGTTTAAAAAAAAAAGTATGTAAAATATCAAAGGTACAAAATATCAATATAACTGCTCATTAATAAATGAATGATATGCATTGTATGCATGTGTAGATGTCTGGGTGAATTGTATATACACTACATATACATGATGTACGAATGCCTCTGTTACTTATTGGAACTTTTTATAAAGTACAGAATGTGGACTGTATTTGATTTGTGCATGTACCAATTTACTGCACAACTAAGTAATCAGTTTAATAAAATATATGAACAGTTCTAAGAGTGTGTATTTGAATATGAGAGAGAGGTGCACGCTCGCTAAATGTGTTCATAAGTTTTTTCAGCATTGAGAGCAATACAAATGATTTCAAGTAAATGTACAGTATACTTATCTGTGTCTAGAGTGATGATGCTACCTTTACATGGAAAGTCACTACAGTTTTTCAGACATTATATTTTAGAAATATAATTTGATAATCCTGCATTTATATTTGTTAGCTTTGTTCCTTTTGAAATGTATATAAATTTTCATGCAAAATTATTTTAAAATATAATTTTTATTGAGAATGTTGCAAATTCCTATCCACATAAATGTGGATAAAAACAGGTCAAGGAATAGAAAGATACTGTAATTTGAGAATCATTTGATAAAGCTCAAGATAACTCATGCGCAGTCTTAAAACGGAGGCTAATCCTGAAACAATTCATGTTCTGGTCAGTACGTTTTGTTTTTCTACCAAACATTCTTTATGTATTTGTCGTTACCTCTTGTTCTTCAACCAGACATTGTCCTCCTTGTACTTGTCAGCATTTCTTCTTCCTCTCCTTCAACCTGACATTCTTTATGCACTTATCACTATCTTTTTTTCTAGTTTGAAATTATTCTTTGTATACTAGTCAATATCTTTTGTACTTCAGCCTGGCTACATGTTTATACTGCAGTCCAATGAGATGCATAAGAGTGAGATGCGTGTTTAGGTACTGTAGGAAAATATATATATACTGTATATAGTACATGTCTGGGTGGTATTGTAAGATGGCATTCAACTGTTTAGAAATTTAGATGTATGAAAGTTAAGCGTGTTTTAAAAGTAGCAGAGTGGGGCCGTAAAAGATACGAGTGAAATAAACCTCATATACAAATCATTTCAGTTATTTATGTGCAGTTTTATAAAAGAATGTATTGGATCTGTTTGATGAAATAATACATATTATTTTCAGCAATATTTTTGTGCAATGTTTTTTATATTTAAGTATAAAAACGTTGGAAGCCCAACAGTCAAAAAATTACAACAAAGTTTATAATAAAAATAAAAGGGACAAGCTCAGATTAGTTTTTCTAACCAATGTTTTGTTAGTAAGGTACAGTAATACAGTACTGTATTGTTAAGAGGCAAGTTATATTATACTCTAATAAATAAACTACAATCCTGTAACCGGTAAGTCTAACAATACATTAATCAGTAATTCATTCACACTGGATCAGCCGATTTGTGATTGATTTTTTTTTTTTGTGCCACTTCAAGCAAGAGCTTTACAGTTTACATTATTGTCAGATTAATGTTATAACATTTGTGGTCAGATGAATGTTGCAAGGTTTCTATGGCAATTCTTGAATCTTTATGTATGTGTTGTCATGTACCAAAGCCTTTTGGATGGCTAGCATTTTTGTGAAGTTGAGCACCCATTTAAGAGTCTCCAACTATAGAATTTCCTTCCTTAACCTCAGCTTCCGATTCTTGTCTGCAAATCTACTGAGCTGTCTGATGCCACGTTTGCTTCTATATTCATCTGTGCAACGATTCACATAGGAAAGCTCTAGCTGAACACTGGGGGGGGGGGGAGGGGGTGTGCTGGCTGAACATTTAGGGGAAGGAGGTACTGGTTGAATACTGTGGGGGGGGGAGGCTGTACCCGAACACTTGTTGATGTGGCTGAACACCGGTGATTCTGGCTGAACACTTACCTGGAGTGGGGCCTGAGAGTTATTCCAGTCCCCCAAGCCCGACCTAGGAGCTTTGGTTAAACATTTAGGGCTTTGTGTTTTGTTTTGTTGCATTGAATAGGTTCTCCCTTGTTCAGTAGCCATAGAAAACGGACGAGGAAAATGAGTAGCCCCACATTCTCTAGACCTTTTGCTATTAAAATAATTACAACCTCAGTCCCAACAATGCACTAACCCTGGAGGTTCTTGAACACTGGGCACTTTGACACAACGCAGAGGCCTCTGGCTGAACAGGGGAGGGGTTAGCATGGCTCCATTGGAACCCCTAGCCTAGTGATTCTAGAAGAGCTATATGGGTTCCGGCAGGATCCTGGGGACTCCGGCTATTCATTATGGCTTTGTTTTCAATCCGTTCTCCTATTTGGTCGTCACATTTTGACGTATACTTTACCCGAGGACAAAAACTGTCGTACTAGAAAATGGTCAAATGCATCAAAATGCAATGTACTATTAGGAGGACGAGTTGGGGGACATGAAGCCTGTTAGGCTTATTTTGGTCTCTAGTCAAGAACAACAACGCGGTCACCCATCCAATTAATGTCTGGACCCAATAATGTTCAACAGTGATTTGCACGTCAATTGGTGCTGCACACTCCAATCTCAATTTTCCAATCCTGATGTACAGTATCCTGAATGATTCCTGGTTAGGAATACTTAAAGCTGGTCTTATGTTTGCAAAATGTTGCAAACACCACTGTCATTATCATCTTGTTCATCAAATGAGATCTTCAAGTTCATCAAGTATTATTATCTTCAAGTGAGATCAAACCCAGTTGGTTATGCAAGTCAGCTGTCTCCTCCTCAGCTGGTACGACGTTATTGGCCTCCTTCACCTATTCTTATTATTACACATTTATTGGAGTGAAATTATTCTTGTACCTTGTCTTCATTATTAGTAAATATATAAACAAAATATTACAAGAAACAGATAAATAAGGTTGGATTTAGGAAAGACATAAGTAATTTCTGGTTTGGAAACAGGGTTGTTGATTTATGGAACAAATTACCAGGTAACATAAGAGTTGTGGGATCCTTTGATTGTTTCAAGCATAGTGTATATATGTATGTATGAGTTTGGGTAGATATAAATAGGAGCTGCCATGTGCGGGCCAATAGACCTTCTGCAGTTTAATTAAGTTCTTATATATACTGCTTCAACCCTGCTCCTGTGCCAGGTAAGTCCACCACGGGCTCACCATAGCCCGTGCTACTTGGAACTTGTTCCGAGCAGCTGAATCTATAACAACAACTGCTTCAAATCAAATGTTTATTCAGGTAAAAATACAGACAGTTGATTTACAAGCATAATGTTGGAGTTATAGATAGAGCAAGTACATAAAATACCTAAAGCCACTAATACGCCCAGCGTTTCAGTTGCGTATGTGGCATGTAAATGAGCATGCGTATCACTGCACGTCACGGTTGCATGTGTGTGTTGGATACATGTTACGAGTGCATGCGTGCAATAAATAATAACCCACCGAAGCGCATGCGTGTCAATATATATATATATACACACGCGAGTAAGCTGACGGTGGTCAGCACCACCAATCCCTCGCAGACATCGACAATTCGTTCCTCAATCACGGCAACGCCACGGTAAACTGTTTTCACTTATTTGACTGCCAGACCTACGGTCTTAAATCGGCCTGTTCTCCTAAGGTTACCCAAACGTTAAGAAACTGTTTTACTACAGTGCCTTATCCTAACCTACCAAAGGACCCAAAACGGAACAGTATGTTGACCAGATCACACACTAGAAGGTGAAGGGACGACGACGTTTCGGTCCGTCCTGGACCATTCTCAATCGACTTGAGAATGGTCCAGGACGGAACCGAAACGTCGTCGTCCCCTCACCTAGGTGTGGTCTGGTCAACATACTTTAACCACGTTATTGTGACTCATCGCCTGCATCCCAAATCCTTATTCCGATCCCTTCCAAGTGCTATATAGACGTAATGACTTAATTTGAAATTAGTAGATACATTATAGCAAAATTTTAGGATTATCGACAGGTACATTGAGGCATAATTTGAGGATTGTTTCTTGGTACATTATATCTCCTCATCCCAGCCACTTCGCCTCCCTTCATAACACGTAATCGCCAACAGAACCGAAACACCTAACCTACACCTAAGTAGCACATAAAACTTTAATGTATTATAATATTAATATATAAATGAGAAACCGATTTTTAATACACTATACCTTACAATTTATGACCACCTTGGAAGAAAGCCGCAGCTTTAACGAGCCTGGCCTGAGGATCTACAGGTTTAAAATCAGCCAATCCTCATTAACAAAGGGCAAAGGCTAGCTAATCCAACCGCCAAACCCCCCTGTTTATGTAACTTCTTCAGTTCGTTCGAGGTGCAGCCAACACGTACCCCAGACGCATTCATAAATTTTAACATACTATTTATTAAAAAAAATGGGTTGTTAGGTTAGGTGTTTAGGTTGTTGGCGATTATCTGTATTTTAAGTACGTGGGTGAAGCGTTTATAGCGTTACGGTTTGAACAGAGGTCGTCGGCAAAGCACTGTTCTAAAAAAGAACAGAACATTAATATTATTAGAACGTCATCAGTCGAGTTATGCGTAAACCGATTTTCATTCATAAACCACCCCGTCCTCCAAACAAAGACACAAAAGTGATTCCGTGGACCCGGCAACCCCCCTGTTATGAATGAAACAACCCGTCCTCGACTCAAGTTCATTACATCCAGCGGTCAACCCCACAGACAAATTTGTACATGCTGTTCATTCAAAGCGGGAATTTTCGCAAACAAATTTATATTATAATATATTAACAAATTGTGCTATAGGCATAAGTTAGGTTAGGTGTTTAGGTTCTGTAGGCGATTATTTGTATTTGTAGTACGTGGGTGAAGCATTTATAGCGTTGTGGTTCGAACAAAATTCGTCAGTGAAGCACTTGTTCCGGAAGTGTTCGAAAGAACATTTTCAAACAGAACAGAACCTAAACACCTAACCTATATATGCACAATATGCTAATATATTATAATGTTAGTTTATATTTGAGAAAATTCCTGTTTAGAATGAACAGCATGTTAAAACTGTTGAATGCGTCTGAGGGGTTGACCGTTGGATGGAATGGACTTGAGTCGAGGACGGGTTGAAATGCTTCACCCACGTATTACGAATACAAATAATCGGCAACAGAACCTAAACACCTAACCTAACCAGTGCCTAAATATGCACAATATGGTAATATATAATATTAATTTATATTTGAGAAAGGGCTCAACGGGCTTACCATAGCCCGTGCTACTTGGAACTTTTTGTTCCAAGTAGCGAATCTTAAAACAACAACAATTTGAGAAAGGTTCTGTTTTGAACAGAATGTTATATTTATGAGTGCGTCTTTGGGGTGGCCGCTGGACAGAATAGACTTGATCGGAGGACGGGTTTTCATATACAAATAATCGCCAACAGATCCTGACGAATTGGAACCTGACCTGACCTAACCTACGCCAAACTATATATAGCATTTTTATGTATAATATTAATTTATACATGAGAATAAACCAATTTTTAATACAGAGTATGTTAAAATGGATGAATGCGTCAGGGGAGGATGGCCGCTGCTTTAAACAGCCTCATATGAGGACGGGTTGCATAAGAAGGTATTGAGAAGTGGACTTGGTTGACAGATGCGGGTGTACACGATGGTGTTTGTGTCTGTGGTGTTTATGACATGTGGTGGTCGTGTAGTGGAGTACCAATTGCTGAGCATGGACGCTCAGATCCCTCTCTACTGTATCTCGACTACTCTACATGTCATGTCCACTTGTCAGGTAATGTCTCCTCCTTGGTCTTCACCTCTCGCTATGAAATATAACAATTACCCAGAAAGGATATTTTGTCATTTCCTTAACTGACATGAATGACTTATAATTTGCGAAATGTTTTCCAGTTAATTAGATTAAACATATTCTGCACAATAAGGATAATGCACAGGAAAATAAATTATACAGATGAGTTATAGTATGATGAAGCATCTGAACCCAGTTTGTACTGCGTTGTCCAGTGCGCCATGAAGGCCAGCATGGCGGGTGTGGCCACCTTTGGAATCCAAGCCTCTAGTAACGTGGGCGGGCTGGTGAAGTGTGCCCTCGCTCACAGTAACTGCACGACAACTACACTTCTCATCGCCAATAACTCTGCCCACACAGTCTGGACAGCTCGGGTAAGTCTACCTTATCAGAGACAACGACGATCCTTGTTTTTCCCAGAGCAATGATGGTTGATACCCAGTGATACAACTAATTTGTCACGTATTCCGGAAACGGTGGTGTTAGTACGTTAAATTTGTCTTTATACCATGGAACCATTTTCTTCTCTTCCCTTTGCAAATTTCTCATCACAATAACTAGTTTTATTTGGTATATTATTCTGGATAACAGTACATGGTATTAAACTTATTTCAGGTTTAGTAAAATGTACATATTTTAATTTAAACTTGTCCTCAGGGTATATACCTTCGTGGTAATCACTTCAAAACACCATGTAAGTAGTACTTTTATATACTTCCTATCATTGGTTAGGGTAGATACGGTTTTGTTATTAGGTTACGTTAACAAAGTGTATCGCATACTGGAATGTGAAATTCTAGCTTTCTTGGGTATCCTCTAGAAATTTACATTAAAGAAAACCTTAACCTTAACGCTTATAGAAGAAAACGAGCCCAGGATTTTAAAGCCTTGATGCTTATTAAAATACAGCTATAACCTGAGCATAATCTAGGACAAAGGTTCACTTGCCAGTTTACCGATAGAACATTACTGAAACCTTAATAAGCCTTCAGAGGATCATAAATATCTAAATCAAAGAGGTCAGGATCCCACCACTCGGAACGCTGTTTGGACACAAGATAAACCAACCTCATTGTCTAAAGGTTCTGTATTCGGCGCAAAGTAGCGTGAACGATACGTAGTGATGTTTCGTTCAGTGTTCGTTGGAATTTTGCTGAAATACAGGAAATGGAATTGCTAAACCAAACTTCAATCCAACATTATCTAGCCTAATCTTAATGTAATCTAACCAACCCCATCCTGTCTTCACCTAGCCTCTCTCTTTCAGCTCCCAGACGAGACAGCCAGCAATACAACCACCCCAGCATCAACCACCATTTTAGTAACTCCAGCAATAACCACCACCATTGGAATGTCTGCTTCTACCACAGTCATCACCAGTCCAGCTGCTGCTGTGAATACATCAACCACACTCCTTGCTATTACCACCACGGCATCGGGTACAACCGCTCTTTCAACAACGACCGCTGCTCCCACATCCACTGCAGGTGAGGCTACGATCGGATAACAAATTATTATAATTTAATGATAGTGTTAATACTGTTATCTGTTTAAGGTTGATTTATTATCTATATAAGCATATCTGCATAGGTATATTTGTTTATGTACTGTTGTTAAGGTGCTTTTTACTTTCATATATTTTGACTAGAGAACAAAAGTTAAAACGGAATTAGATCAGACTGATCGCCATTATAGACGACAGTTTAATAAAAATACTTCATAGGCTTCAGCATAATGATATTACAGTTTACATCTGCGCCTTAGTGAAATACGTAGTACGTATAGGGCTAAATAAAATGTTACAATATAGGTTTTGTAAATATTAAATCATGTTAAAGAAATACAATCTATACTGCACAATATATATTTTACAAGGGGGCCCTTGTAACAATATATTAAAATATTAACCAACAACGCATTTTGTGCCCTGCTCTTTTTAGGCAAACTTTCCTGTCCTGTCTAAATCACGAAAAAAACAAGCGTATCAAGTTATTTATCAAAGGGAGCTTTTATACAAAAACCTGACTCGGTGAAACGCTATGCGCTTTATAGTGGTTTGACGAGATTGTACCTATCTAATGTACCACGTGTACCAATACTTGTACAAACCTTTATGCTTTGTAATTAAATATATAAATGGCAGTGTGTGGTGAGCTTCGGTGCTGGCATCAGTGTGTCAACACACCAAGGGAGTCCAGAACCCTCATTTTGCCTGGTTTGGTCAACACATTTTCACAAGTTGTCTTGACAACAGTTTGTTATGACTTTTCCAGTTACAAAAAGGCAAGTGTGTTGAATTATTATATGTCATGCTTCTGCTATCGTGATTGTGTTAAATGACGAGTTTTGGAGTAGTTCTTGCACAAAGATTAAATCGATTTTTATTGAGTACAATGGAAATAGCGCATATATGTATGTTCAACGAGACCAGGATAAATGTTTCAGCAGAAGTAGTTTTTATTTTTTTGTTAGTCAAATCTAGCGTCAACATAGTGAGGCAAATACTTGGAACGAACCTATACAAGAAACGACATTGTTGATAAAGCTTATGTCTGCTTGCTGCCCTCACATGTCTGACAACTATATTTATGGACATTTGCTATATTTTTTACCAAGAGATTTGGAGATCACAAAGAAAATTGGAAAGGAATGCCTTAGTAAAGAATATTATCATTATCAAGGCAGGGGACGTGGCTGCGAGTCCTCTGGTTACACGAGACCTTGGAACTTTAACACACTTTGCTGATAACTCTTAGTATTCGAAACTTAAATATTCAGTCAAACATCGGCATTGATACACTGAGAGGCCAATTCCCACCACTGAGACACTAACACGTCCTTAACCATACCACTTTGCCACGAGGTGCATTTATGGTCAAAGTACATTCACCACTGGATCACGGACATTTATAACACCTATTCCTGCCACTGGACCACTGATAGAGGGACCACACTAGACACAAAACAGCAGCGAGCGAATCCAACAATTTGGAGGGTAACCTGACCGGGAACATTCATCACTCTTGTCGTTCCCCGACATTTTGTGACCACAGGTACAAGCCCTACATGACACCTCTGATTTATTTTATTTGTGTCAGATATGAAGTAAAACTAATCGTATCCTACAGCAGATTAATTTGTTTACTCTAGTTTTTGTGTGTGAATGCGTGCTTCTGCTATTTTGTCGCGCCTTTCAACCTTGAGTTAATTGCGTTCCTGTTTTTTCTTACGGCCTGTGAGTGAAGTGTGCCAACTATGTATATATATTTTAGTTTGTGTTGAGAGGGAAATGTGTGTGCTTAGGGGCACCCACCTCTCCCCATACTATTTGGATGGAGGGAATGGGCGCCTCTGAAGCTATATAAAATCCTACAACCCCCGAAGTGGCTTACAGGGAGGGGGGAGGAAGGAGGGGGGGGGGGGTGGAGATTACGGGCTGCCTATATCCCGTGCTACATTTATATTTCGTTCTGAGTAGGTAAATCTAAAACAACTATAACCCTAAGTGACAAGGGAAGGAAGTAAACCAAAATATATATTAACGAAATTATGTTTATATTCTGAATCGGCATATGAATACAATAAACATATGCACATGTTTATTCTTTTTTTTTCTTTTAGCATATACTGTATTCGTAATTTTAAAAATATGATTAATATTTCAACGAATATCTGAAAAGTTTAGCATGACCTTTAAGCACTTTAATCTGCATTTTAAATACATAAAATAATTTAAATACTTTTATATTCATTAAAAACATTTAAAAATCGAGGCAATTTAAAGGAGTAGAGATTTTAGTACAATAATGTAAACATGATTCTATCCCCTGCACAGGCGGCACCTGTCATCAAGTTAATGAGGCTTGTACCACAGTGGGCGCCACCTTCATTCACCCTACTGACTGTGCCAAGTGAGTGACTGGGTGTTAGTGAAGGATTTATGTTTATTGAGACAAGAAAAATACATCTCAAAGGAATAGAGTAGCTTAGGCTATTTCTAGCCCCCCCCCTCCCCCATTGAGGGATGATATACGTTCAACTGAACATACAGAGAATGATAAAATTAACCCTAGGAATTATAAACTTCCCATATAAAGAGAAATTAATATAATCTACATTTTCTAGAAAGGTGGAGTGAAGGGGTAGCATGATAGAAGAATCATAGGAATTTAAGTTTAATAGAAGACATTATTAAGGGGTTAAATTTTCAGTACTAAATGGAACAAGAAACAATGGATACAAGTTGGATAAATTTTGATTTGGGAAAGACCTGGATAAATTCTGGGTTGGAAATAGTTGATTTATGGACAAATTACCGGGTACATAATAAACGTGGGATAGCTTCAAGCGAAGGTTAGACAAGTATGTCACCGGACGCTTCTTCTATATTGCAACTGGACATTTGAGAATGGCTGCTATATTATATAACATTTAAATGGTTTAGACGCACACAACCTCGCTACAAGATTTCATAAAAAATATGTGCATATGTCGCGCAACAGTTCATGCCAAATAGTTTTAGCAGGTCTGGTGGTTTCTTTGACAATTATTTATACTCGTGTCTAGCTGTGTGTTGTCGGCAGGTACCTGGAATGCTCAGTTACATACGTACTGCTGGCGAGAGACTGTGGTGCTGGTACCCACTGGAAGCAGTCGCAGGGCATCTGTGGCTTCATCACTACGCCAGAAGAACAATGCACATGTTAATAGTTGAATTAGGTAACTCAACACCCCAGCATCTGTCAATACCCCATCACCCTACCAACGTTCCATTAGGATTTTGAGCTTGGGTAATGATAAAGCCATCAGATATTAGGTGGGCGATTTTTAAATTCCAAAATCTGCCGAGAAAACGTTCAATGTATAAATGTATTGGAATTTGACAAACGGGATACTTGGATTCACATCTAAAAGCGTTTCCCATAAGCCATCTAGCCAAGGGATATACACCGAGTTACTTTAGTCTTTAACTATGTTTATGACTAAGGTATTATTGCTGGCGAGTCAGCAAAGCATAGTGGTGGTCTTAATAATCCTCCCGCGGTTGATAGACCTGTAGTCTAGCACCAAACTAAACATCTAACTAATCTATATCTATGAGAGAATGTTCGAGGTTGGGGACAAGGTAGCTACGGTTAACCTCACGTAACTTTCCATGGTGAATTGTGATTGTATGGCAAGTGTCAGTAGTTGGGGGTCGACCCCCATGCCTGTCTTCAAGTAGGATTGGTTCCTGTTGCGATAACCAATGAGTCCTATGAAGTATGAAATGTGGGTTTGATTGTCCATAGATTGTTTTCCAACTAAATTCTCTGCAGTTATCACTGGGAGAGAGAATTGAAGAGATAGATATTTATGGCAGGTGGCTGCAGGAAATGAATCCCTCAATGGCGAACATTCCAATTGTAAACTATGTGAACTGGAGCTGGGACATACTCTCTAACACTTATATCTGCGATTGCCCTGTTAACAATGATTTCAAACCAAATGGTATGAGGAACTTTGAGCTGTGTAACTACATCATGCACTCACGAACACTGGAAGATATTCTTGTGCTCTACCAAGAGTTTGGTAGGACAGGCTAATAGATTAGACTCACAGTTCATGTTCACTGCAGATTCCATGTATGACTAAGCATCTTGTGAGATTGGGATATTAGATCAGCTCATAGCTAGTTTATGATCTACACTGTAAACCTTCGAATAGAATTGGGTTGCAGCACATTACCGTGTATACCCAAGATTATTAATTCAAAATTAGATAGTGTATACTATTATAGATTGGGTTGCTTAAGTATTGCATGTGTGATGATTAAAGTGGGTTGCATATATATATATATACTCTACTAGTGCACTGTATAGTGTTCCTAATGTTACTTGTTCATTGTACTCATTGATGTATGGGGAAACAGACGCGACAATGGCGGGCGTGATGCCGCCTAGTGGCCGGCGTTCAGGACCGGTGTCCACCTAGGCATTGTCGTCTTTGGTTCCTTAAATTATGGGTTGTAATGATTTAATTGTCACGTTTACTGTATTTGAATGTTTAGCACTTGTGTTAATATACATTTATATATATGTACTATTCACTTGTCATGTACAGGTGGTATTAAGTATGGGTTCAGAGTAAGGGTTGTGAAATGTATTGGTGGTAGCCTCGCTGTGGAAGGTACCCCGTCCTGATGCCTGCTGCTGCTGCTGCTGGAGTCGCAGTGCGACTCTCTAGGAGGGAGGAAGTGTGTATTTCGGCTAATTATCAGTTAAGTAGTCTAATTGATTTTGATTTTTTGCATAGGTGTATATTTACCTGACAATTGTGACTATTCTGCGTATGATTATATTATGGAGTGTAAAAGCTCCCTGTGGGATCAGCTCTGATCAAACTTTAAAATTGTTTATTCATTTTTCCACCGGGGACGTAATAATAAAGTACTAGATGTAATTATGTGTCGGTTTTGCATAATCTGAACGCATGTGTTTTAAAGTTATTGTAAATAATTATATTTCTTGTTTGGCCAGAGTAGACTGGTTAGTGTCCCTAAAGTGTGTTTACTTTACCCTCCGGATAAGACAGTAGTAGGGAGGGCCAATTTAAAATAGGGAAGGGCTAAGGGACACATGACAGTAACGAGCACTACTGGTTTGTCTTAACTTGTATACACTGGAGCACCGTCAAATTTGTTTATTAAGCAGCCTCGACAGGTTAAGGGAAGACCCAGAGAAACTCTAGGTCAAACACTATTGGTTAGGCAAATAGGCAAAAAGTTAGGTATTGGTTAGGAAAAATTATGGAGTGGCAAAGTGATAAGGGACTGCTGTGACAGCCTATTGTGGACACTGATTCCTTTCTTGGGCACAGCAGTGCTTTATAATCGAATACATATATGGATACAATGTTTACTTTGTAACGTTCCTTTCTTTATAAAGGTTTAACATGGATTGATCTATTGATTACAGAATACGCATATCTTGGCGTGTAATTATTACCGATATTTAGGTCTTGAGGTCAGACACTGGAACCGGTCTGGTTATTCAGCGTTTAGTCTGTGTTACGAGACCAAAAATAATTGTTTTATTGCCGCACAAACCGCACGAGACCAAAAAAATTGTTTACATTGTTTCAACACGTTGCTGTTTATCAACTCATTCTGCCTTTGTTGTCGCGTTCCCTGACTCAAGCTGCGCTTGTATCTGGAGGACTCTACTATCGTAATGAGGATATTAAATAAACATAATAAACTTTATAATTATGACTATATGCCATTTTTTTTATCAAGAGTGAGAATTAAAAGTTGGAACATCTTTGCGGTTGCCTTTCGTCAGTGAGCATGTGTGTGTAAGTACAGAACTCTGAACTAGTTCAAACATTACCTTGTGTGTGAATATAGATTGATACTAATAATATCCATACCGTTGACTTGTAAAATATTTTTTTAAGAAAATTTGCCAACCTGATATCCATCCATGTTAAACTTTTACCAGTGTTTAACCAACTCCCACTATCTATAATTGCATCAAACTACTAACAAATGAGAGAAGATACTTACCCTGGACCGGAACAGAGCCATTGTTGTCTTCTGCTAACGGCCGTAATTGTGGCTCCAGCGTCCGTTAAGGATATTAATAATAAGACAGTGTGTGTGTCAGGACTCCCCGTGATGCTGGTCAAGCTCTCTTGGCCGTCCAAACCTATCTGGCCAGTCTCTCACCCCCCACACTCACGCTCTCGTTCATGTGAGAATTAATAGTTATTGAATTGGAAGCTGGGTTGTTTAATTCGAATCATTACAGAATTTGAACTGAATATATTGATTTGTTTAATATATAATGTGTTACATTTTATCTCCACTCTTTAATTCACCAATGAGGTCTAATAATGTAGTTCAGTTACTCAAGCCTAGTGATGACGTGGCGCTGGGTGACGTCACAGATGTCATGTCAGCCCGCCAGTCACGTTATAATATTATTGTAATTCATATTTTAATAAGAGGAATAATCCTTATAATAATTTAAGTAGTAAATAATTCGTGGGTAGTTTTATAAGCTTAACAGAGGACAATCCTTATTCATAGTTGTATATTATTAAAAATATTTATTATGTAGTTACTTATAAGTGGGAAATATTTCCCACACATTTAGGCGTGCACCCCCATACGCACATTCGGATATACATGAAAAGGTTCCCAGATTTACCAAATATGATGTACTGCCAGAAATCTTTCAGTTTGCTTAATGTCTAATAGTTCCTGCACATGACTTAACCTTTCATGGCAGCCGCCATTGGATGAGTGTGAGGACCATGATTGGTAACTGGTTCCCTATTGATGTAAATTGCTCTGTATAGAGACTATTATGGCCCTCTTGTGATATAAAAAGACTATAGACATCTATAATATATTGTGTAACTAGCTTCACAAGATTGGTTAGCTAAATGAACTTGGGGGGGAGGTCAGTTCCAGATACCATTATATGCTCTTGTAACTTATTCCATTACTGCAAACGGGATGGGTATAGGGTGCATAATAAATGAACAAAATAAAATATATAAAATCCTGGTCTGAGAGACAGGACTTGTGGTACAAGTTTTTATTAAAAGAAGTAACTTTACGCAGGCGAAATCGAGACACAGAAGACATGAGCAGAACATTTAAGACTTAAGAAATCGCCAAGGTAGTTTTGGGCAGATAGTTTTAATAGTCGGGACGAACTATCAGGAGAAAGCGCCAAGCCACCAGGACTATATAACACTTGGAAGGGATCAGAATAAGCATTTGGGATGGGACGGGGGAGAGAGGGGGGGATGGAATGGTGCCCAATCACTTGGACGGTCGCTACACGAATGAAACACAAGAATCTAAAAAAATGTAGTTTTTATTATTACTTCCAGGACTACAAGTCGAGACACATTACAGGGGCAAGTTAGCTATTTACAAACCTTAAAGCAATATTCCACTGCAGCAGCGACATTTTGCACTACATACTGACCTACCACGCAGATTATATTCGGTAACGCCAACGCTTCACTTCTGCAGAAACTGTACATCAAGAGATTCGTAAACTGCTCAGCCACGTGAGGTAACAGCACCAGCCGCCAAGGCAATTCTCACTTAGTTAAGTGGCGACAATTATTTGGCGAATGCTGAGGGAATGGCTATTTGATTATAAGACAAAGCAGGTTTGCCTCTTCCTTGTAGACAACATCCAGGGGTTGGTGGTGGAAATGTGCCAAGACATACGAGATGCTACTAATCATGTGTTAACACACAAGGAGCTCCTCATCATGTGCCAACACACAAGGAGCTCCCTATGTGCCAACACACAAGGAGCTCCCCCATCCCGCTGTGTGGCTGAGACGTGGTCAAGATGGAGACAGTTCTGCTAGACCTGCTTCATGTAGTGCTCGTGGCGGTGCTGCCCTACAGCCTATAGGAACGATCAAATGTATATAATAAAACATGTAAATGGTCATGGACTGTTGACGGATCTCAGGCAAGAACATTTACACATTTCATTATGAGATTGCAAAAAAAATGTCTTGAACATTTTTTTTTCTGATTATTCTAAGTTAACACTTTTCTACTCCAAAATGATCTAGGAATAGACATTTTAACGTAGAACTTGACATTTTCTAAACACTGAATCTCGGTTGATATTAGAAAAGCTGCCCATTGTCCACCAGTGGGAGGATATTCATGCACAAACAACAGGTATTTGAGCAGAGAGTGGTAGGAGCATTCATGGACAAAACCTGAGAGTTCACATTATAGTGAAGGTTGTACTGCACAGTGCACAAGTGCCACAACACCACACTGGACACACTTGAGGTCTCACAGTGCCACAACACCCTACTGGACACTTGAGGCCCCAACACTACTCTGGACAGATTTAGGAGCATAATGTCTCGCTACCAAATTGGGCAAAGTTGTATGTCCCTACACATGCAGGGACATGCATACAGTATCCCAGAACAACACCGGAAGTACCCCCCTTTAGGTCTCACACTTCTGGAGATGCACATTCATCTTATGCACTTATGTGCATAAGTTATTATCACTTATGCACATAAGTGATAATAACTTATCACTTATTAAACATGTCTTTTTAAACTTTAAAGCATCATAAATTCCAAAATAATAACTTCAACCCCATATCCGTAACAAATGCATCCAGTATTTCCGTAGCATTGATTTAAAAAAAAAATATATAAACATCATCTTTTCACACACATTTAAAATACTTCAACACATGCCTTAGAAACATGTCACAAGAAGTTAACCGTGTAACACTTCCTGTTGGTTGTGGCCTGAAATCCTCACTATTAAACCACTGATGAATTTGACCAATACCTGAATATATGATATTCAGACTAACGACGTACTGCTCGGACAGTGTCAATATTTTCCGAGGCAACATAATGCATCTTATTTATACCCAAACGCACTTTTACAGGAAACTTGTCACCTCCTGCGTTAGCAGGATATCAGTTACCCATCATTTCGTTGCCAAGTTGCGCTCAATACTTAGTACAGGTAAAGACTTTTTTCTTATATAAAAAAGCAAACATATACTTTATCTTAAGACTTCTTATAAAAAAAAAGGGTCGAACGAATATTTTACATTCCGAGTATTACAAGGTGATAAGCGCCTCCTCGACTTAAAGTCCTCCTCAGGCTACATATAAACAAGTAGAACATGGAAGCTTTGGGACAAAACAGTGGGGTGAGTGCACGTGTGTGTTTACAGTGCACTCACAACTTGACGGACTTGTACAAACATACTACATAGCCACAAGGCGATAAATTATTTTCATGTACACAATACATTTTTTGAGCCTATTGGTAAACCGTGGTTACCAACACGTTAAATGAGCTGTGTCTTAAAGCGGATGTGAGGAACGGTGTCTGGCGGACACACACAGTGTCGCCCCTTCGGTACACTTCATCCCCTCCCCCCCCCCCTCCCAGGCACACATCAGGTGCCTCCCCAGGCGTACACATACAGTGCTTTCCCTGGTGCACACATGCTGCTTCCTCCACGCACACAGTGTCACCCTAAGCACATAAGGTGCCCCCCCCTCCTCCCCCAGGTTCACATAGAGTGCCTCACTAGATACACTCATGGTGCCTCCCCAAGCACACATTCAGTGCCTCTCCAGGCACAAATAGTGCTTCCCATGGCACACACATACGGTGCTTCTCCAGGCACACGCAACACAGTGCTGCCCAAAGCACACACATATGATGCCTTTCCCGACACACACAGTGGAACTGTTGTACTTTAAATTCTACATGGATATGTATATCATTATATCACCACAAAGATACAGAGGTATCTGCACTTTAAGGATACAAAATACATGTCAAGACATGTATAATAACACATAAAAAGTAATATTTCAATCACTTGATAAAAGTCAATGTATTTTTGTCATAACATCACAATAAATAAAGTGAAAGGCAATATTATTATTGATGCTTTAAATTCTCCAGAGATACATAAATGCTCATCGCACAAGGTGAGTGATGGATCAAGGCAGCGTTGCATAGTCCGCGAGCGGGAGCCTTGCCTGGCAGCCTAGTACGGCCGCCATACTGATGGATCGTTGGGCGAGGGTCCACCCGCACGTGTGCCATTGCTCATGTAGCGGTCGTGGGCGTGGGCGGCGTGAAGGGTGTCGTCAGGCGTCATGTGAGTGGCCATCATACTTTGGTGTGGGCCGGGCGTGGTTGCCCCAGCGCTGGACATGTCGCGGTAGCCATCGTGGCGGGTGTAGTCCCGCTGACCGCCAGTGTTAGAGGACGTGTTGGCACCGGTGTACTGGTCGGTGGCAGCTGCTTGGCGGGGATCAAGCAACGAGAGCTGACCCTGCTGGGGATAGAGATGTGGATAGAGAAGCGACACACTTGGAGAGAGGTAACCCTGCGCCGTGGTGGTTGCCGTGTAGTACCCACCACCAAGGTACCCGGAGTAGCTACCAGCGCTGCCGCCCACCGAGCCTGCCACCGCCGCTGCCGCCGCCGCTATCACTCCGCTCCCCGCGCCGCCCGTGGAAGACGACGCGCCCGATAGGTGGCCGCCTATACTGGAAGAGGACGCGGCGGCATTGGAAGACGTGGCGGGCGGCGTGTAGGGGGTGCAAGTGAGATCCTGGCGAGGGTCGGCGGTGGTGGTCTGTGCAGAATGGCGAGGGTCCGGCGAGGAGTACCGCGCCAGCATGTAGTCGTGGCGAGGCGGCGAGTGCGGCGCCTGGAGTGAACCCAGACCCTCGTAGTCGCCGCCGGAGCTGGGAGAGTTCTCCATCACACCTGTAACACACCACACCGTCACTACACCACCACACTACACACAGTAATTACAAAACTTTAAAACAGACTAAGAATCAACGGGTCATATCTTATTACTATCAGTGTTTACTGTCACCACAACTGACGTAACCATAAAACAAAATGGAGTTAAAGATTAAGAATTAGAATCACTGAACCAACGTTTAGAGGTTCTAGCCCTGCAAGTATTACAACCCTTGATAGAGTGTTACCCAGTCTATTACAGGTAGACTGGGTAACGCAGGTCCCACGGGGGTTAAAGATGTATGGATTCCAGGCCGGAATACGAAGCACCGGCCTGGAATCCATACATAGTGAAACACAAATCTAAACTTTACAAAGCACAGATGTTTGCAAGAACACCAACAGTATTGCCAGAATTAATAAGAGGACTAAGCTATGAAAGCAGGTTAAAGGACCTAAATCTCACAATATTAGGGGGAGAAAAGTACTGAAGGGATACGATCACTATATACAAGATATCAAGGATAATATACCTGGTGGACAAAGACCGCCTCTTGAAATAGAGAGAAAGTAGGATAAGAGGACATAAAAGTTGGAGAGGACAGCTAGATGTAAAGAAGTACTCGTGCCAAGTACGGCTGATCACCAAGTGCAATGTACTGAAAGAAGAAGTTGTGAAAGGCATCCATCCACAATTTCATGACCACGAAGAAATCGAATTTCAGGATCTTTAGAAAAACGCAATAGGTACACCAAGGAAAGTAGACGGCTCATAAAAAAGAGCGGTAACGGAATAATACCTCATTCCCTCTTAGGCACTGTAGGTAAGGACTGACAGGTAAGTAGCGGTGAATGGGTAGAAAGATAAGGGGTGTGTGGGGGAAATAGGCGAGAGTTGGTGTTTGGGGAAATGGGTTGGTGTGGGGATATTATTTTAGAGGGTGGTGGGGGACGATGGGTATGTTGGGGAAATGTGATTAATGTGCGTATGTAGGGTAATGAGGGAGGGTTGGTTGGGGAGGGGTAGGTGGGGTTATGAGGGAGGGGAGGGTTGGGTGGGTGTGTGGGTTATAAGGGCGGGGATGGGGGTGTGGGATTATGGGGAAGGGGAGGGAAATATGGTGTAAAGTCTTTGACAAGGCCTCTTAGAAACCAGTATGCAACAGGAGACAAACGCCAGGTCTCCCCGCACAAACAAAAATAATCACTGAGAACAACGAAACAAAAACACACACACTATCCAAACACAGTAAGAACAAAAAAAACGAGGAACGAAAAACTGAAAACCTGGCCAAGTCACTGCAGGAACAGGGGCTAAAGGTAGTCGTGCTTGAGACACAGGAGAGAGAGAGAGAAAAAAAAAAAAAAGAGTCGGTGATTGTGAAGTTAAAAAGTCTAAGGCCACTGTTGGACACCGTCAGAGGAGCGATACACAGTACCACCCGTTGTGAGGGTCAGCCTCCACCTGTACAGTTGAGGGCGGACATCCAACACTTCCACCCAAAATATTAATTGTTGCCCAAAAATCTACGTTTTGAACAATTTTGAAGAGATCCCGAGAAAGATGGTAACCAAGCCTATTTCTCAAGCATAGTATAGTACATATATATAGACTAAAGAATACAGGATAAGACGTGAACCCATTAGGAGAGAGAGAGCGGGAGGAGGAGGAGGAGGAGGTGTTGTATACCTGAGGAGAGGTGCGAGGAGCTGGAGTCGAGCGGGTTGATCTGCTGGGTGATGTCGGTGGCGTAGCCTAGGGCTTGTGCGGAGGAGAACCCGCTCTGTAGCGTCGAGGAGTTGCCTCCGGCCAGACTACCTGCAGGTGAACACACACTCATCAGTACCCGCTCATCAACCATCAATAGTGGGGGGTTTGACAATCCTTCAGGCCGGGGTCAACACCCTTCAAGATTGACAACAATCAATAGTGGGTCAAAAATCATTAATACTGGGCTTACAATAATCGGTACTGGATCAACAGTCATAAATACTGTGGCGAGTGGTCAAAGGTGGTCAAAGATCACCAGTACTGGGTGAACAATCAATACCGGGTCAACCATCAATCCTGGGGTCACAAAATCCTTAATACTGGCTTACCACTCATGAATACTGGGTCAATAACAATCAATAATGGGTCAACAATCATAAATACTGGGTCAAAATCCTCAATCATTCGTCAACACTCATCAATACTGGGTCAATAATACCAATACTGGATCAATAATACCAATATTGGATCAATAATACCAGTATTGGATCAATAATACCAATATTGGATCAATAATACCAATATTGGATCAATAATACCAATATTGGATCAATAATACCAATACTGGATCAATAATACCAATATTGGATCAATAATACCAGTACTGGGTCAATAATACCAATATTGGTATTATTGATCGGGGGCACTAACAGTGTCCCCGCTAGTGAGGACGTGAACTAGCAGTGTCCCCGCTAGTGAGGACCTGAACTAGCAGTGTCCCCGCTAGTGAGGACGTGAACTAGCAGTGTCCCCGCTAGTGAGGACGTGAACTAGCAGTGTCCCCGCTAATGAGGACCTGAACTAGCAGTGTCCCCGCTAGTGAGGACGTGAACTAGCAGTGTCCCCGCTAGTGAGGACGTGAACTAGCAGTGTCCCCGCTAGTGAGGACCTGAACTAGCAGTGTCCCCGCTAGTGAGGACCTGAACTAGCAGTGTCCCCGCTAGTGAGGACCTGAACTAGCAGTGTCCCCGCTAGTGGGGACGTGAACTAACAGTGCCCCCGCTAATGAGGACCTGAACTAACAGTGCCCCCGCTAATGAGGACCTGAACTAACAGTGCCCCCGCTAATGAGGACCTGAACTAACAGTGCCCCCGCTAATGAGGACCTGAACTAACAGTGCCCCCGCTAATGAGGACCTGAACTAACAGTGCCCCCGCTAGTGAGGACGTGAACCAACAGTGCCCCCGCTAGTGAAGACACGAACAGTGACACACGCTAGTGGACACTAACCTGGGATATAAGAAGAGTAGTGGGAAGTACCGTAGCTGGACCAGTGGCTGTCTGCCGCGCCTAGGCCCATCGACGAGGCAGCGTCTGAAACAAAGCAACACACACTTAACACACATTAACGCGGAAACAACTAACGTTGTTATAGACGAGAGACATAAACTTGAAGATTAAAATAGTTTCCGGCTCAATCTGAGCGACCCAGTAAGCGCCAGACTCCAGACTGAGGGTTTGGGGAGAGGGGGGGGGGGTGTACAGGAATTCTGGAAACAGATTAGACTAACTACTATAGAGGCAACTGCTTGTAACCGGGTCCTCAACCCACCACTCCTTCAGTCGGGGTTCCATTCCTTAAATTCTTCCTTCCTTCCACCTTGAAAAAAAAAATTGATTGACAGTTGAGAGGCGGGCAAAAAGAACCAGAGCTTAACCCCCCCGCAAGCAGAACTAGGTTAATACACACACACACACACACACACACACACACACACACACACACACACGTACATGTATACGCACACACGCGTGTACACACACCATCCTCCCCAAACGAGAGTACTTACACCAACCACTTGGCCAGACGCACACTGTGTAGTGCTCGAGCCCATAAACGTTCACGCTTTATATTACCGAATTAACCCAGATGACTGTCTATGTCTGTATTAACACGATGTACTGAACGGGGTGAGAATAGCTTGAGCTACCTCATCCCTTTGTGTGTATTTTACCTCAATAAACTTATTTCAATTTCAATTTCAAAACCCAGATGACGTTCCCGGCATTCAATCCCCCGACCATCCAAGTGGCTAGGCACCATTCCTTCCCTTCCGTCTCATCCCAAATCCTTATCCTGGCCCCTTCCCAGTGCTATATAGTCGCAATGGCTTGCTTTCTCGCCAATTATCTATCTATCTATTCCGTTAAATCGGAAATATAACTAAAGAATCTAACCTGTCCTATCCAAGAAATCCTAGGCCTAAATACTCGCCATTTTTGGCCTAATGTGGTACACATACGTACTAAAGTAGGCCTAAGAATGATTGAGTATGTTTTTTTAGTTTGAGTTATACATTTAATAGTGCAATACGTGAACTTGTTGTGGGGGAAGAGAGTAGGCAATAAGTTAGAAATAAGTCATATTTCACGTTAGAAATACGACTTACTGCCACCCATAATAAAGCCCAGCCAAGTTATACATACTGAGATGTTGACCAAACCACACACTAGAAGTTGAAGGGACGACGACGTTTCGGTCCGTCCTGGACCATTCTCAAGTCGATTGTGAGAATGGTCCAGGACGGACCGAAACGTCGTCGTCCCTTCAACTTCTAGTGTGTGGCCTGGTCAACATACTTCAGCCACGTTATTGTGACTCATCGCCTGCATACTGAGATGCCTCCCAAAGCCTCCCCCCCCCTCAAGCTCACTTTGTCTTACCCAATATCTCCCATAGAAACTTAAGAGTATCCCAGAGCCTCCCAGTCAATATAGCGTCTCCCAGCGCCTCCTAGAGCCTCTCGGATCCGCCTAGAGTGTCCCGGAGCTTGGTAGAGTCTCCTAGAGCCACCTAGAGTGTCCCAGAGCTTGGTAGAGTTTCCTAGAGCCACTTAGTGTCCCAGAGTTTGGTAGAGTTTCCAAGAGCCACCTAGAGTGTCCCAGAGCTTGGTAGAGACTCCTAGAGCCACCTAGAGTGTCCCAGAGCTTGGTAGAGTTTCCTAGAGCCACCTAGAGTGTCCCAGAGCTTGGTAGAGTTTCCTAGAGCCACCTAGAGTGTCACAGAGCTTGGTAGAGTTTCCTAGAGCCACCTAGAGTGTCCCAGAGCTTGGTAGAGTCTCCTAGAGTCACCTAGAGTGTCCCAGAGCTTGGTAGAGTCTCCTAGAGCCACCTAGAGTGTCTCAGAGCTTGGTAGAGTTTCCAAGAGCCACCTAGAGTGTCCCAGACCTTGGTAGAGTTTCCTAGAGCCACCTAGAGTGTCCCAGAGCGTGGTAGAGTCTCCTAGAGCCACCTAGAGTGTCCCAGAGCGTGGTAGAGTCTCCTAGAGCCACCTAGAGTGTCCCAGAGCGTGGTAGAGTCTCCTAGAGCCATCTAGAGTGTCCCAGAGCGTGGTAGAGTCTTCTAGAGCCACCTAGAGTGTCCCAGAGCCCCCAGTCCCAAGAAGCAGGCTGCAGGAAGGCGGTGTCATTGAACGCTTGAGCTGCCATTACAGTCAACACGTGTCCTTCCGTGAGGTGAGGGCGGCCCCCCCCCCCACCAGCACTCCCAGTGGACAGTGGCCACTGACGAGGCCGGTCTTGGCCCTCCCTCTCCCTCCTGTGGCAGGTGTTGTCTCCCTCCTGTGGCAGGTGTTGTCTCTCTCCTGTGGCAGGTGTTGTCTCTCTCCTGTGGCAGGTGTTGTCTCTCTCCTGTGGCAGGTGTTGTCTCTCTCCTGTGGCAGGTGTTGTCTCTCTCCTGTGGCAGATGTTGTCTCTCTCCTGTGGCAGGTGGTAACAGGTGTTGTGTCTCCCCTGTGGCAGGTGGTGACAGGTGTTGTCTCTCTCCTGTGGCAGGTGGTAACAGGTGTTGTGTCTCCCCTGTGGCAGGTGGTGACAGGTGTTGTCTCCCTCCTGTGGCAGGTGGTAACAGGTGTTGTCTCTCTCCTGTGGTAGATGGTGACAGGTGTTGTCTCTCTTCTGTGGTAGGTGGTGGGAGGTGACGTGTGGGGGAGGGGGGGAGGGGGGGATGGGGGAAGGGGGCAGGGGGGATGGGGGGAGGGGGGGCGTAAGAAGCGTACATCAATGGGGTGACAAACGAGCGTAATGCGTATACTCCCAGTGTAGAATTACACACACACCGCCCCCCCCTCTCTCTCCCAAGAGGCTAACGGCGGAGGAAGAGACATGATCACGACGTGAAAGATTCTTAGGACATTTTAGTAAGGCACGGATGACACTGAGTGATGTAAGGAAGCACGTGTAGTTTGCGTGATGTGGATGTTATGAGTTATATGATAAGGCGGTTGAGGCTAACTGCACTCCCTTGTTTTATTTACACACACACACACACACACACACACACACACACACACACACACACACACACACACACACACACACACACACACACACACACACACACACACACACGCGCGCGCGCGTGTCCAGTACAGTTACCTCGGTAAGAACAGTCCAGTAATATAGATAATGCTGGACTTACAGATAATGAATTACCATAAAAACAAGTAGGTAAAAGACCACGTGTGTCCAGCACGTGTTGTGGTGGTGGTCTGTGGTGGTGGTGGTCTGTGGTGGTGGTGGTCTGTGGTGGTGGTGGTCTGTGGTGGTGCTCTGTGATCCAGAGACCGTTCTCGTGGACACTATGATAAAGCTGCCGCTCCGTATAATAGACCACAATTATCAATAACACACCATTAACATGATTATGATCTTTAGTGAGGCGGAGGCAGGAGGCACCTGCCTAGACGGAAGGCGGGGGGACGGGACGGTAGACGGGATGCCAACAGGTGGGAATCCGGTGTGTAAATCCGATGAGCGGGAAGCCGATGGATGGGCAGTAGGTGGGTGGGAAGTCAATGGGGGAGAAAGCCAATGGGCGGGGTATAACAGGGCCAAGGTGGGGCAATGAAGTTGACGGGGGCCAAAGGCTGTGTTTACACCGGCGAGGACTTGACGTGGAGGTGCCGGTCCGTCTGCCATGCCCAGCTCCCCCCAACTGACCATGGACGGGGGAAGCGGTACTGAGGTCCACGACGCTTCAAGCTCACTGTACCACTAGTCTACGTTGAAGAAAATATTTTTCATGTCAAATATTCATCACTGTGCGAAGGGCAGGAAAATGAATATTCCTGCTTCTGCCTGTAGTCGATTTCGAGTTTTTCGTTCTCTCGCGGTTCGTCCTGTGGTAACCGGGTTTACCAGGCGATTTGCTTGGACTATTTGTGCTAGCCTCCCGCCAACCTTTCATAGCCACTGCATGTGATATGCCTGTTGTTTGAAGCAGGCTTCAGCTCTCCACCACCCGTTACAAGAGGAGTTTCTCGCTGCTTACAATATCTTGCTTTTACACTGACTATCTCTCAACAGACAGATGGCACATGCCCTGGATCCTATTTAGTAACAGTCGCACGCTCCGTCAAAACAGTTACTAATTTTAAATGCAGAGTGGCGTACACTCCGCACTTCCTTTGTTGATACTGATACTGTGTCAAGCAGGGCAAACAACTAACTCGACGCACACATGACACGAAAGTGACCATGTTGGACCTCTTATGAAGTCGTGACTTCATAAGACTTGGTAAAGAGTCCTGCTGGATATCTGCTTGATGGGGTTCTGGGAGTTCTTCTACTCTTCAAGCCGGGCCCGAGGCCAGGCTTGACTTGTGACAGTTTGGTCCACCAGGCTGTTGCTTGGAGCGGCCCGCAGACCCACATACCCACCAATGTTCGGTCCACGACGGACCGAACATAGGACATGTTCGTTAAATACTTTCAAGGTTCAGATATGAACCGGTCGCTCCAGAATTCTCCAGGTGTAGATTATGACGAATATATTTCTCACCTACGTTCCAGGGAGTATAATTTGAGGTTATTAAGTCGTTCCCAGTAGTTAAGGTGATGGAGTGCCCACAGTGAATGTTCAGCATTAAATGGAGCCAGTAGTGAGGAGCAGGTGTTACGGGCTACTCATGCCCGTGCCACCTCTTGGGTGGCTTAATCTTCATCAATCAATCAATCAAGGAGCAGGTGTCTCATTATACCACCCGCCCTCATACACACCTGCCTCCCTCCCTCTCTACGGGCTCAGGGCGTTTATGAGGCAGGAGAGATGGCACCTGTCTCTGGAGACGGACCACCACCCGTCATTGCAAATTCTCCACAAGCACTAACTGCTTTGCATTTCTGTGTTTCTGGCGTATGTTTATGCTTTGAATATAGTGAAGGAACTACTTTCGTGCGTGCGTGCGTGTGTGCGCGTGTAATGCTGGTCATGCGTGTCCCCCGCACAAGTGAGCGCATGTAATGTTTGGGCTGAGGTTCACCTCTTCACATTAACATTCATTAACATAATAAAGAGAAGTACAGAAAAAGCAC